GAATGATCGGTGAAGTGAGCGCCTGCTGCAATACAGCGAACTGTTTTTTTTTTTTTTTTTTTTTTTCTTTCTGTATGCCTAATAACCTTTCTAGATTGGTTTTAGTGGTGGCTCCCCATACTAATAAGCAGTAATGCAGGTGCGATTGTATTAGATTGTAGTATAACTGACATTTTAGTCAACTAGGAGAGAGATCTTTTAGTTTGTATGTGATGCCTGTAGATCGAGATATTTTAGAACGGACATGGTTTATATGGTAGGTCCAGCTTAATGTTTCTTCGAAGAAAACGCCTAGGAATTTTAGGAAGGGCGCTCGCTCCAGTTGCATGTTTTTAAATGCTATTTTAAAATTTCTACCTAGTTGCTTAAGACAAGCTTTGAAAATAATGTATTTTGTTTTGTTAATGTTTAGTTCTATTTGGTTGGAGTTAAGCTAGAGCTCAAGCATTTGATGGACCCTCGATTACACCTATATCTTTGTCCGTAAAAAAACACATTAGTATCATCTACGTAAAGAATAATGTCTGGAGTTTTAGGTATATTTATTATATCATTAATATAAATAATGAACAGTAATGGCCCTAGTATTGATCCTTGAGGCACACCATACCTTATTTGTTTCTTGCAAAGATTAAAATTTATTAATTTTTACATATTGTGACCTGTCAGATAAATAGCTGCGAATTAAATCCAAAGTTATTCCCCTTATACCATAATATGATAACTTTAATAAAAGAATGTTGTATTTAATTGAATCAAACGCTTTGCAAAAGTCTAAGAAGATTCCTACAGTGCAGAGTTGATTTCCAACACTACTTATCAGCTTATCCTTAATAATTAACAATGACTTTTCTGTCAACTTATTTTTCTGGAAACCGTATTGTTGTTTTACAATTATTTTCCTTTCTGTCAAGTAATTTGAAAGTCGAACATTTGTAACATGCTCTTGGTCTATAATTATTTACATTGTTATGTGGGCCCCCTTTATGTATTACACACACTCGGGCTAGTTTCAATTTTTTTTTTTTTTTTTTTTTTAATATGCTAGTCAGTGTTGAAGTGTTGCTAATATGTCCAGGGGTCCGGGGACGACTTAAAAAATGAGATACTGCTTTGATCGGTACAGCCTTTAGGTCGTCGGCTCCAGCGGTTGTGTTATTTTTAAAGGCAACTAGTAAATTAATTATCTCCTCCTCTGTCACAGGGTTACGAAACATTGAGCTTGCATATCCAACCGAAGGCATGTAAAAATCAATACTAAAGTTGAAGACGCAGCGGGAGAGGCCCCGGAATTTAAGAAATTAGTGTTAAATTTATTAGCCATTGAGGAATTAGGATACAAAACGCCATCAATTAATACCTCGTTAGGAAGTATATCAGTTGGCCGAGTGATAAAGCTCCCTAGGCTATTCCAAATTTTTTTGGGGATCATTTTAAGGATAATTTATTCCCATAATACAACTTACGAGCTTTCTTAATATCTGCATTTAACTCATTTTTATATTTCTTATACACGCGTAATATTGCTTCATCCCTCATTTTTATGAAATTATCGTAAAGTTTATTCCGATGACTGATTCGTCGGAATCAATCATCAATCAATCTAGGTCACGATAGCTCAGTGAGCTACCGTGACCTAGATTGAGCTCCGAAGACATCGCTTTTGTATTAATTGCGGCTTAGTTAATGCTCCCAAGTTCTTTCTGCTTCCTACTGGCGCCTCTTATTTCCCCGAGTTTCCCACCATCCTCCTACAGGAGGCACCTTAGCCGAGGAAAAATTGTACTAAAGACAACTCAAGACATCCTGCAGAATTTGATGTCACCCGATTACGCGTTCTGTACCGAAAATAACAAAGGAGGCTCTTCCGCGTAACATGGAAGTTGTTTAAAGCTTAGTGAACCGTAACCAAAGACAACAGATTTGGAACAATGAGTATTCCGAACAAGGCCAAGATCGATGCGCAGGAGCATGCCCTGTTTCCGTTGCTATCCGAGCTTGCCATCGCGCTCCTGGCACTGCCCATGTCGAATGCCGCTGTGGAGAGAATATTCAGTCACGTCTCCCTCACAAAGTCAGGCCTAAGGAAGAACATTTCCCTTCCAACTCTTCAAAACGTCCTCTATGTAAAGCTTGCTTTCCTTGGGAAGAACGAGTGCTGTAGGGACATCACGTACCCTACTGAAGAAGTTTTTGTCCGTTTTAACACGGAAATCATGTATGAGGCGAGTAAGCCGGGCACGAGCCAGTGCTTCATATCTATGTGACTGTAAAAACGCGTGTGGAAAGTTTTTGTACTTTTGTGTTTGAAATAAAACGTTTAATACATTTCAAGATATCATAGATCTTGCAAGCTGCTCCTAAACCCTAGGTATGCAGAAGCAGTGCTTTCGAATTGAGCTCTGCAGAAGATGGCTACTTTCGGGCTACATAAATCTCTTGCATTTGGCTACTTTTGGGCTACACCATCTGGCTTTTGGCGGTTTGAGCTAGACCTGGCAGCCCTGCCCGCGAGGCAGTTTCATGCGGCCCCCGGCACCGGCACGACACCATAGGAAGACCCCCTCCCCCCTTCCCTCAATGACCACGAGACAGTTCTGATATCAAATGGGGCTAGACATGTGAACAAGAAGCACTCCTAATTAGCATTGTCTGGCATCCCCATACTTGGACAGAGGACGTTTCCACTTCCTTTTGCCTTCCCTTCCCTCCCCCCCCCCCCCCCCCCCCCCCCCCCCCCACCCCTTCGCGACTTACCGTCCGGCCCCCTCTCTGTCGAGCAGCGTCTCGGCAAGAATCATGGCCCAAAGAGTAAAGGGGAAAGGGGGGGGGGGGGGGCAGAGCCCCCCCCCCCCCCCCCCGGGGCTATGATCTTTACCGAGACGCTGCTTACGTGCCCCCCCCCCCCCCCCCCCCCCGAAGTCTGCGCCTATTCCCGCCGCTGCAAAAGGTTGCCGACCCCTGCTTTAGAGTATGGTTACAGCATGGTGGTAGGCTAGCCCACCATACCACCATATTTCAGGGGGTAATAAGAATAGTCTTTATTAGCTCAGGAGAGCCGCGGCACCGCAGAATGGCAACAGCTCGTACCATGGAGGCCCGCGGTGTCGCGTCTAGTGATGGTGATTACCTGATGGTATATAATATACAAGATGAAAGTGCGTGAGGAAAAGGCTCTAGATAAACCCTTCACCCGTGAATCCATTCAGCGGAACAGTAGGCCAAAAGAATCCAAGCCAAGTAAAGAGCCTCGAGCTCCGCCCCGCTCGTGGCTCGGGCCCGCGGCCCAGCCGAAGCAGGGGCTACCCGTCGGTGCGCGCAAGAGCAGCGCCAGCCTGGACCGGCTGTGGGATGCCGTTAACTGCCCGTGGGTATAGGGCATGACCGGCCTGCCCTCGGTCGTCTGCACCGTGGCCATACTTCTTCGCGTCGCCTTCACGGCCGCGGGAGGCATGTCTCGCCGACGCGTCCAGCAGGCCGTCTCCAGGTGAGCTCGTCACCCGCCCTCCGCGTCGCCAGGTGATGGTGAAGACCTGGTGCTGTGCACCATATTTTTGGCAAGTAGCGACAAGAACGCGCGTGATGAAGCACGTTTTGCGGTCGGAACATGGCGTCTTTCAGTTCTTTCTTCTGGTGACACGCCGACATTCCCAAAATCTGCCCCGTCACGCTGCTGAAGAGAAGCACCTGCGCATATGCCGTGCCAACAGCAGCCTTACGTCACAACCGCGTGTTTTCTATAGATGAAATACCGCGGAAGCTCCTCAAATGTACTGCTATGAGTCTGCATCCTCTTCAGCGTTGCGAAGCTCTGTTTTGCAGCCGGACAGCATACAAAGGCGTAAAATTGTACACATTCGTGCATTTTTTTTTTTTTTAGGGGCAAAGCGGGGCGGGCATTACGACTCATCCCAGCCAATCCAGCTATGTGAACTGTGCACATGATATATGCTTTCCGCGTGTCACGGCGCTTCTTCTCGGAGGCTACATCCTTCATCCACTGCTGGGAGACAAGCTGCCCGTTGAGGCAGACTAAATTCCATGCTGTATAAACATACACAAACCCCAATTTTCTCGAAGGTCACGGGAAACTCTCACGGCCTTCGATTGGCTCCGATGCCTCGCATCCGCTGCGTCTTTGAGTAAGATGAAACGGAGCTATAGTACCATCCTTGGCAGCTACGTGCCTATATTAAGAATACTATACAACACTCAAGGAAACTTTCCCTCCAGGGATACGTGTTCGCGGGCGGGCGAAGGCCTCCGTACCGCCCTGGAAAAAGCGCAGCACCTTCCGCTACCGCAGCTCCTCAACCGGATGCTCAAGGAGTCGTCCGGCCAGGCTGACTCGGGCCCCTTGCAGCTGGTCGTGCTGGACGACGACGCGGATGACACTGTAGTCCTTGAGGACGGCACCGCCTGGAAGCCGTACCGGGAGGTGGACGAGGTACGGCTCATCCGCTTCAAATAGCACCCTTTTACACCCTTAAAACGCGAAGGATGTTCCACGCGGCAGCCCCACTCTTAGGGTTAGAAAGGGTGTATTGCTGGAAATAAGGGTGCTGAAAGCGTGTAGTCATGGGTGGGAGTCTCTGAACACCCTTTTTACACCCGGGCGTAAAATTTATTTCAATGCGCATTGACATCGGATTTCGTGGTTTGTAGGTGAAAGCGGCTGGCGAGTACGTCGGGATCCTTCCCGAGACCAAAGCAATTTCGCCAGATGCAGACGACAACGCGGTGATCGACACTACACGGGCCAGGTCACCCGTTCCCCCAGTCCTCGAGAGGGACCTTCAAGCGGACGTCTTCGAGGTGGACAACGCGATCGACAAGGCGGGTAGCCCTGGCGCGCGGGAGCTCGGAGACTTCAAAACCAGAAGTCCTCAGCATGTTGCCACGTCACCCCCGAAAGACGTTGCCATTCAGCCCAGGCCTGACCTCGGGCGAAGTCTTCAAGACGGACGTTCCGAGGCCGTCTGCGAGCAGAAGTCTGCCAAGACCTCTCTGCCGGACGTCCGTTCCCATCTCCAGGATGGGACCGCATCGGTTCCTCCAAAGTCCCTCTCCGAAATCCCTAGAGTCACCCAAAACGAGGGGAACACTTTTGAGGCCGTACCCACGAAGCCTCAGCTGGAGGACGTCTCTTCGTCGAATGTCGCGGTCCTGCTCGGTCCTTTACAGAAGGACATCTCTCCGAAGTCTCGAATTCAGAAGGCCATTTCCTCGGACGTGGAGGACACCGAACAAGTCTCTAACCTCGATGTAATCAGGGCCTGTTCTCCGGATGCTGGGACGCTAGTTAACGCGAAGTCCAGGTCAGAAGACAGCATGAGCCACATAGAAGATAAGCTCGAACAACACAAACTCTACGCCGACGCTTCAATCAAATTGCCCGCGGTATCAATACCGGTGAAATCGGACGAGCCAGCTTTGAGGGCTCGTTCGACGGTAGCGGTGAAGAGCCAGATGTTGCAGACGGAGCACGGGGGGTATCAGGTGTCATCAGTCGGCACACAAACGGCATCGGATGGCAAAGCAACGGCCTGGTACACCTTTCACGGAGACCGCCAAAAGCAGGTGGCGGCAGCGCTGTCGGCCTTCTTCGTCCTGTTGTATTTTTACCTTTGTTACGCGCTGGTCGCCTGGGCAAAGGAGTTCTACGAGACGGATATCCGTGAGGACCTCGACTTTCTTTAGCAAGTCAAGTCACTGGCAATTCTGTCGAGTTAGCGCCAAAAAGAGAGAAAGGAGGTTGGCTTAACAACACCCCCATCCACCCGATTTTTCATTAAAAACAAGAAAACAAACGTCGTCACATTTGGTATGTACCGCGGCAAGCGTTAGAAATGTGAGCACATAGCTTCCGAACGTGCTTCTGTTGCATGAAAGTTCGTGGAGTTAAACGGAAAATGATTTTTCAACTTCTTCTTCCTCGGCCTTGACCCTCAACTCAAAAGCGAAATGAAAAATCCCGTGGTCGTGAAGCGCTATGGCACCGGAGGCAATGACACCAAGTTTCTACCATGCTTTTTAAGCACGGCATGGAACTTGTCATTCTCAAGTGATAAGTTCCGTCACGGCGCTCATTTGCGATGAACGCGAATTGAAATATTTGTCGACGGATTGATATTGTTGACGAGCGCATACGTTCGAGTAACGCAGTGTTCGTGTTCAATGCGGGAGCTGGGTTAGGCTGATGTGCTTTGGCAATGCGGATGCATCACAGCGAAGAGGAGAACTTTCGAAGGAAAGAAAGTACGAAATAGTCCGCTATATTTTTTTTTTTTTTTTTTTTAAATTTCGATCCGAAAAGCAGGGTTTAGGCTTTCTACGCTCGTGTACTAGTTTTATTTTGGCGCACTAAACTATATCCGATTAGTGAAATCCCAGTTTATCCTAGCCGAAAATCTGTTTCATGGTTCCTTCCAGGCACGTAGCCAGGATTTTGTTTGGGGGGGGGGGGGGGGTCGCGCTCATGACAACATGCTGTATGAGGGGGAGGGGGTAGAGGAGGTCCCAGATAAATGAAAGATTTCGGGGGCGGGGGGCCGGGCTCCATGGGCGCCGCCCCCCCCCCCTCTTGGCTACGTGCCTGGTCCCTTCTATAACAGTTTCAACGAGAAAAATATGTTCGTCGAATGTTGTAAAGAAAGTAGACCTCGTTCGATATACAAGCTGCAGCTGGGTCATATGACATGATACATCTGACATGGGCATATGATGTTATCCAACGTGAAAGGATTAGATGGGCCCACGCGCTCACGTCACTAGTGAGGTACGTTTTGAGGGAGTAAGAGAATTGTGGATGACGCTGGTTTTGGAAACGTCTGGTAGAAATAAAAGAAACCGGCTATTGTTGATAGCCACAAGTGAGAGACGCCTTGTGTGGTATGCTGTAATTCTCCAGCTGTGGAAGACTAGCCGACATGTGGCAGTTTTGTCTGTAAGAGAGAGAGAGAGAAAAAGTTAAATTTTAGCTGACCGATTGTGCAGGAGGGAAAACAAAATAAAGATTTGCAGATGACAGCATTTGGCGATGGAAACTTAAATAAATGTGGGCATGCCTACATTAAAAAAAAAAAGAAAAAAAAAAGAAAAATAAACCCAGCAGTCTGCAAATGGTATTGGGAAATTTACGTCGTCAGCGGGTTGCAGTGGAGGGTGACCATTAGCGCCGAGATATTTCGGTGGCGCCCTCTAATGGTTATTATCAGGGACGTCACGATTGGGATTTGCCTCGCCGTGACGTCCACCAGTTGTTACCCTGGCTACTTACCACCAGGTGCGACGACGAGTTCGATGGTGCGTTTAAAAACCGCAGTGGAGGCTAGGAACCATCGCAACCGGAACTAACACACCGTCAAAGTTGACTATCTGACAATGCTCATATGCCCATGGTTTGGCCAATCGTGGAAAGCTGACCGCAGCGACGCTTTTGGTCGCGCACATAGAGGCACGCAGTTGCTAAGACAAGCAGGATGGATCGCAGAAGAGGCTACGAGCCATCCTAGTCAATCCAATGGCGTGTGCGGCTCATGTGACCTTCGGTAATCACGTGACCTGAGCATAGTTACGTGATAAATTCAAAACTAGAAGATTTAAAAAAAGTACAAGTATACAAAGTCTTAGAACGCAACTACTCCAACATCAACTAACCGGCGCTTTTTTTTTTTCTTCGTGAGTTAGTGTGACGCGATGAGAGAATGAGGAGTGAGTGGAGGTGACTACACGTGATGATATCCACAGGAGATGCAGAAATCGCAAGAGTCGAAACAAGCAGCCAGGGTTAAGGAACGGGCTAAGGGGGCTACGCAGGTAGCTGCTGATCCACACAGCAGAGTTGCGTTCGCGGCGGGTGACCATCAAAATAGCAGCAGCAGCAGTAGCAGCAGCAAAACAGCAGCCAGGCAGGCGGACGAATGTAGAAAGCAGACAACCAAAGACAACCCGAGGCGGGGGAGGGAACGCAGGAACTCTTTCCCACGGGAGGGCCGGCCCCTGCGGCTCTTGTGTCTCTGCGAGGCGGAGCCAAGGTTTTTGGGACCGGCGTGCTTTGCTTGTCTTGTTCATGGTGGGAGAGGAGGTCGGCACACGAGCGTTGGGAGAGGGAAGAAAAAAGCATGGGGAGAGGAGGAGTTAAAGAGAAAACGAGAGGGAAAAACATCATCCGTCCTCCTCTCCACGGCTAACTCCACCCTTCCTCTCGATTGCAGTGCAAACATAAAAAAAAACACACACACACAAAACGCAGGGCTCTCAGCAGCTCTACTACTCTTCCAACAGCGAAAAACGCAATTATTTTCAGGTGGTCGCGCACCGGTGATGAGTTATCCCAGTGCATACCGGCCAAGGCGGTTACAAATAGAGAGGTGAATATATGAAATAAAAATAAACGCACGAAATAACCGTGCTTTTAAATGTCACCCGTAAGGTGTGGTGGCGAGCCAAGGCGAGCTCGGCGGCTGAAGTTTGAAAAGCTGAGGCGATAAGTTAAATGATGACGGGAAACAGTTTCGAGCACATCATGCGATCGATTATATTGGGGTAAATTGGTTCAGGGACCAGATACACAGATTCGGCTCCTGAATCGAGGTGAAACTGAATTATATGAGGATCAGAGTCGGCTAACTGACACGCCATTCCGAGCAAGAAATAAGCAGAAAAGGAATGAAGATACAAACAGGCATCCAGGGTCGGGGAAGGCAGCCGCGTTTATCCAGAAAGTGGAAGCCCGTCACTGCACGGAACCGAAATGATCGAAGCTTGTAGAACTTTCACGGCGGTTTTTTGAACCGGTAAAACACCCAAGAGCGCAGAAAGCTCCACACATCTTCCGCTCGCGTCGCGATCTGATTTTGCGACGGACTTTTCGCGGCAGAAACCTCTGACGTCACGGGATTTCGCGCTCGCTGCGCCCAAAACCCGGAACAACGCCGAACGGCCCCAACGGCAACGCTGGCGGAAGAGATTTTTGAGCGGGTGGGTCCTTTACGGCCGGTAATTACTCCGGACAAAATTTACACGGGCGATAACGGGCCCAAAACGACGTTTTGGGGGGCCTCCCGGGTGCGTATTCGGCAGGCTTGCTTGAGCCCCACGTTACGCAAATGGCCGCGTGACGTCACGGCCGGGTCGTCCAATGGCGCGCCGGCAAAGCTTCACCACGGGGTGAAGCTTTCTCTCGCTCGACCAATGAGAACACGGTCGGATATTGGCATGTTACATGACGGGTGAGTGTGTTTCTGAATATTATTTTGCTGATAAAATTTTCGGGGGGAAAACATCGCGTACCCGAACCAGCGAGTCTGGGTCTAGAAGAGTTCCGTCGGGATCCTGGGAGCCCGTCGCACGGTCGTCGACACGGCGTCGGAGCCTGAACGCGCGACGACGAGGGCCCCGACTGCCGTTGCGTTTTCCTTGAATCGGCGGAGGCCTCAAGAGAGGGAGGGAATGGGGGGGTGAAAAAAAGGGACCCCGCACAGCGTCTTCTTTTACGGGGGTCATGGTTCTCGAACGAAAACTCCACTGCCCTTGTCCTTTCCGCCGCTGTCGTTACCTCCCACGGCCCGTTTCCCCGGCTCGAATGACGCCGACGCGGATCGGCCGACGATGTCGCACGGCCGAGGAGGGTTCCCGTCCTGACCGACAAATGGCGAAGCGGGCAAGGGCACGGATCGGGCGCTTTTTTTCGCCGTGGCTGTCGCGGGCTGCCGAGATCCGTGCGGAGGCAGGCGTTGCCGCCGCCACGACGGCGGCACGGAGTCTGAGCATCGATCTCGGTTAGGTTCTGGGGCAGCCCGACGAAACGAATGATTTCGCGTCGGGCTCGGGGCGGATTCTCTCTAGGCCTCGATGGAAAAAATGGCGTGTAGTGCGCGCTCGGCTGGTTTACATGTCCGGCGACACGTATGCCACGGCGCGAGGTCAGAACGGTGATCGCGCATCTCGGACATAATCGGAAGATACGTTTTTTTATGAAATGTATTCGTATTTTTCTGACTCGGGCAGTGTAGCCCTCGTTCCCGCCAACGTGGAACAAAACCAGGAAATTCGTGTCCGTTCTGACACTTTTTTTATATTTTTGTTTGTTTCGTGGTTGATTTCCTTCAGCTGGCGTGGCGACCGCTACCGCTCTCACGGTCACCATCGTTTGTGTGGCACCTTGCGCAAAAATCGGACTTACCGATCCGCTCCTGATTTATCGATGCTACTTTATTGCCGCCCGAGTTCTCCGAGTTCCTCTTTCAGGCTTAGTTCTTATTTCGTATATATATATTTATTTATTTTTCTCTCCTCGGGCGCTCGGCTGTGCGACCTCGATTTTACAGACACACAGCCGTACGCGGCGACGGTGGCCAGCGCTCGCCGAAGGAGCATCGCCAGCAGCAGTAGCAGATGCGCAGCATAACAAACATGGCGGCTGCCTCTGTGGTGTCGTCGTCTGCGACCAGCGCTGCGGCGCCTTGGGGTCGGCGCCGACGGTGCAGCCTTCCGCTCGCTTACGTGAGATCGCCGCCCGAGTGACCGAGTCCTGCTCGGAAAGGATACACTGAAAACAAGGAGAGCGGGGAGGAGAAACGGGAAAACAAAAGACGGGACCGTTGCATCAACGGTTCGGGACGTACTCTGGTACGGCCTTCTCCGGTGGGGAACGCAGGCACCACGGCAGCGGCGGATGGCGCCTACGCACGTCTAGCACCGTGTCTCAACCAACCGAGGTAAATTGGGGTTGTTGCTCGTTTTTGCGTCTCGCGCTCGTGCACCCCGTCCGATCTCGTGCTCGTGTTGTTCCACGCGCGCGCTCCCAAAAAAATAAAAGCTCTCCGTCGTAGCGTTGACCTTGATGGAACTCGCGTCTCTGCTTTCCTTTCCTACCTTTTAGTTTTTAATAAGGACTCCAACAAAAAAACGCCCACCAAAAAAAATATAAAGATAAAACCAGCAATGCGATGTTTACGTTGCATCTTCGTCTACACGTAGAGGTCCTTAGGAGTCCAGCTCCAATGAATGACAAAGAGTTGCGATCGCGTTGATGCTGATGTGGTCTGGAGTGATTCGGATCACCTCTCGGCGTTTCAGCTAGCAGTGGGTTTAGTATCCGAGTCAGTGAGCGTTTACTGGCAGTAAGTCCTTACGGCTTTGAACGTATTGGGAAGGTTCTCGGACGGCGACGTGCACCAGAAGCGTTGCGTGCGTACGCGATACGGCTTCAGGTTATACCAAACGTAGCCGTTAGATGATGGCCTGATTAGGTATTGCTAGGTAGTCCCCCTTCTCTTGACGCAACATCGTTGATGTACAAATAAACGTCAGCGTGTTTTCGCATGCCCGTTCAGGTTTGTGCCAAGCCCACATAGCAGATTGCTGTGAAAGGCGAAAATGCCTCAAGCCAGCAACTGCAAGTTCTTGCAACGTTATGCTTTGTATGTCACTTGCTTTAGTCACATCCTCCTCACGTTGCCGTTGCTTACGCTTCAATGAGAAAAACAACTTCTTTCTCCTTGCTCACCGTAAATTTGAACCCGCAGTATGTGTTCTTTCTGTAAAAAGTGGAACTGAGAACGGTATTTGTGCTTTCGTGTGCACTTTGTGTTCTGTGTCTTCTTTGTCGTTAATCACTCACATTTGTGTTCTTTTTTTTTTTTTTTCGAGGCGCTCTTATGTAAATTCAGCTTCCCCAAACTATGAGCATCCTGTCTTATTGCACTGACCTCGCGCATGTTTTCAGTAAGAATGCAAACCAATGATATTGGTTTCTGATGGCGTGGTATGTTTCACACACCCCTAAGTCGACTTTGTGGCTCATAGAGTTGCGAGGTTAGCGTAGCCAGCTCTAGACGTGTTATTTATGCAATCGATGGCACTTGAGTGAGAGTAGTTCAGGACGGTGCTCAATTTGACAGCAGACCACCAAGTTGGTAGCTTGCAGCTGTCAGATTGTGTTATCAGGCTTATAATTGATGACACTTCATGGAATTTTTTTATATGTGAACCTTCTGGAAATCTGAAACTGGGCCCCGATGCAGCCAAGGGGTAAAAACATTGGCTGTCTCTTCCAGTCTTTAAAGAGCTCCCTCTTAAATTTCTTCTTACCAACTTTTGACTAACTTTGTGTATTGTTTAGAATTGGGGGGCTGTCGAGTATTTTTCATGCACAATATTTATTTATTAAGTTATTTGAAAATACTGCAGGCCTTTCTCAGGCCCTGGCAGGTTATAGGCAACAATACACAATAGTACCATATACAATGCTAAAAAGAAAAAAAAAACGACAATACATAAATACATAATGACGGAGAACATAGTATGTTAAAAATTCAATCAAGCAATGGCACAAAAATTAAACACTTACAGTTTTTATCGCATTCAACAAAGGTTACTGTTCAGAAATACATACTTTCATCAGATTACATTCAACGAATGCTGATGCAAAAAAAAGATGAATTTTTAGGATATCCTACATGTTAAAATCAATGACATTTTGGCTATAAGATTTTCTAAAAGTGCTTAGTCAAGCCATCTACAAACGACTGCATTTCTCAAATGTGCAAATATGCAATATGCAGTGAAGAGATGCTATAGCTGACAACACTGTCAAACAAACAGTCTAGGCATCAATGTTTGCACATTTTTATGCACCTTTTACATCACTTATTTGTGACTCTTTCTAATTGTGCGGTATATATTTTTTATTTTACAACCGAATCTTGTAAGAGCTATTTTGCATAGTGTATAAACAAGAAACAAAATTTGCTTTTTTTTTTTTTTTCTTTCTTGAGGTGACAAGTTTAGCGTGCTAGCTCAAGAGGTTGTCGTCCTCTTTGCCCAACAAGTGTTTTTTGTTTCTTTTTGTTTTTTGCTTTCTTTCTTTCCCCATCATAGGCCCACAACCAATCTGCCTCAGTAGCAAATCACAGTTCTGCATGGCCTATTCCATGTTTTCGGAATGTTCAATCCAGGTGACTGTTTTTTGCCCCCCATCCCCAACTCGCCCGCTTCTGCGGGAGGTTCTGTCGATACCTTTTGGCCCCGGCGCGAGACTGTGTGCGGGCGGAGACACGGGTCTGGTAGTTTGGTCCTTGTAGTTACCAGAAGTGTGACTCAACGAACGCTTCTCATGTAAGGAAACTTTGAAGCTGTAGGTTCTGCCGAGAACAAAATCCCACTTTAGTATCATAAACGGTGCATACCAGAGAACTGCTCTAGCCCCCTCCAAAATGAGTAACTTTCCCTCTGTTTAACACTCCAAAATAGCATATCCAAATACACGAGAAAAAATAATTGTTTACAATTTTTAAATAGTTGTGTGGAGGAATTGCACCTGAAGAGGAGTGATTTTGCACCTTCTCAAGTCGCATTCTGTGGTGCTCACCATTTAAATTGGGAAATGACCAATCACATTTAGCATTCCAAACAGTCACGTCATAGTGGCAGCGAACAGGAAAATATGTTCAAAGGCGTTCTAGGCTCTCAAGGGCGACTTTCATATATAACTTTAACTGATCACCTAAATTTCAAGGTCTTCACCAAATGGACCTGGTTGGAGTAGCATTCAAGTCTGTTCTTCTGACCGGATGCTATCGGCATGTTGCGTTTGTGGACATGAGTGGTTCACGTCGGGTAGTCCGAGGTCGATGAAAGCTGCAGTACGGTTGCGCGCAGAGCGTCCCTGTCTCCGCCGTGCCCGTTTCGTGCCGTGTTTGCGACTAACCCCCGCCTCTTCCAGCTCTCTGTTTGCCCGTGAAGCCCCGACTAACTGCACTCCCGACTGCCCGTAGTTTGTCGACCGGTGCGATTTCCCCTCTCTAATGTCGGCCTCGCTGTGTTGTTCCTCCTCTAGGCACCATTGCAATGGATGATGGGGGCCGATGTCTGCTTGACGTAATAAAGTGAGTGCCGTTTTGGTCGTTATCAAGTCATCGCTGCATCTTTGGGATGTTGTTGTGACATCGTCGTCCTCACGTCTTTCCAGCGACCCCCTGCTCCTGCAGTCTTTCCTTGAGGACAAAGACGAAGAGAGTGCAAAGGCGAGTGTTCTCCTTGTTTCGTTTAGTATCCTGCAGTGCCCACCGTTAGGGCGACATTTTCTAGAAGTGCCCAGAACGGTTGCAGAACAGCCTGCAAGTATTTGCACCCTTAGCGTGTTTAGCGAGCCGTCTGCAGTAATATATAAATGCTGTAGCCTGTATTGGCTTGTTTTGCCTTGTCTGGGATATCGTACGTGAATACAGCACGGAAAGAACTCGGAATGGTGCTGCTTATTGGTATTTGTATCTTGTAGTAGCATATAGCATCGAGGTATCATTTTTTTAGGAAAGATTGACAGAGTGCGCTGAAGCTCCCGCTAAGGTTTTCCTCAGCTACGCAGGAGCAGAATGAAGGGATCACCGTGTACGTAAATGCTCGTGGAGCACGTCTCTGTGAAGCGTGAAGTGTGAATGCGTCTCCTCTCCTGTAGGAACTGGGCTCGCTGTCTGCGGCCGCTCTGGAGAATGCGCTGCTGGGCCAGCAGGACCAGGTGACGAGCACGACCTCCATCCCGGGGCTGCGCCAGTCGCCGGACTCCATGGGCTACGCCTGCGTTGGCGCCAACGACAAGTCCCTCGCCACAGCCGTGGGCGAGCTGTCCTCCGGGGCCGCCCCCTCGCCACAGGTGGTGGTCAGCTCTACGGTGCCACCGCCGCCCGCCCCGTCCACTGCCTCCAACGGACTGCCGCCCGTGCCGCACCCGTCGCCCCACCCTCACCCGTCGCCCCATCCCGCCCCGCACCCGTCCCCTCACCCGTCCCCGCACCCGTCACCCCACTCGACCCGTTCTCCCGCGGGGCCGCCGGCGCGACCCCAGTCGGCTTCGCCGGGCGCGTGGCCTTCGACGAGTCCATCGCCGAGGAGTCAGTCGGCGCCCACGGCCGCAGCGGCGGCAACCAAGACTCAGCAGGCAGCGCAGCAGGCGCAGCAGCAGCGTCCTACGGTGCTACAGGTTGGTCTGGCGTTAGAAGCGGTGCTTTGTGCGCTGGCGATCAAGGTGCAAGCTGTCCCACTTGTGCGATTGCCACCTGCAACAAAGAACGCCCGCGAGAAGATCCGTTCGATTTGGCGCGATTTGGGGCATGCATGACATTGTGGCAGGTGCACCGTGAAGGGGCTAGGAAACAATATTTACGCTTCTGCAAACTTAGTCACTGACAAGATGTCTTGGATGTCCGGCCTCCAGCATGCACTCATTGCCTTCTGTCGTGCCTTCTGTCGCTCGAAGCTCTGGATATGCCAAGGTGACCGTAGTTGTTCAAACAAACACGTTACCTCAAAGAGCATGGAGCAGAAATCAGTTTTTGTTTACGTACGCTGTACTCTTTGAATTTTCGAGGTTTGCATTAGTTTTCTTCGTCAACAGCACTTTTTAAGCAGCCCCACCTTTCCAAGGGCAACTCCAGTCGAAAACGAAGCCAATATAAATTATATATTATTTTAGTGGCACAAAATATGATCGCAGCCAAAAGATTACATCGTAGTGAAGCCACATGCTTCACTAAACCCGATTTTAAAGATGCGACCGCCTGCTCCTTAGTAGGTGGCAGGTGGATTAGCTTTTTGTCAAGGAACACTGGGTGACGCATACTGTGTACCGTCGAGACGTCACCCTGGTGACGTCTCGACGCAATGGACCTGTGGTTGATTCCGCACGCTGTACTTGCGTCCTGCAGCACCACAGGGGCGTTACGTCGCGGCCGCACCGCTGATCAGTGTTGCCATCTCTCTTAGTTCCGTGATGAAAAACTGTGTGGAAATACAAGGACACAGAGGAGAGAACACACAAGAAAAGGTGCTGACTATCATCTTTCTTCTTATTATTATTATTAGTACTTTTACTATTACTTCTTTTTCTTCTTCTTATTATTATTCATAATAAGAAAGTCGATAGTCAGCACCTTGTGCTCTGTGTCCTTGTATTTTTGCACTTTTGTTTTTATCATGAATGTGTACCAATAGCCCAGATGTTCATTCTAGTAAGGTACATTCAATTTAAGCAAAAAAAAAAAAGTAATACCTTTTATTTTAGGAGTACTGCCCGAGCTGAAAACTGTCGTAGTCCCAAATTCGAAAAAATTGACCGGAGTCATTAGGGTCAACTTTTAAACCTTTGACTTAAAATGAATTAAATTTGCAGTATATACTGGCAGTTGCGAGGCAGAATCCAGTGCAAAGTTTACTCTGTGTACATGAATTGTGAAAGCAATTACTGTCGTTTTTATCAGGATCACACTCGCATTGTTTATGGAAACTATCGTTAGAAAACTAGAATAATATCCAACATTTTTCTTCACTATATACTCAGCAGAATGCCTGGAGAGTGCAGCTGTGAGAACAAAATTTCCAGAAAGTAATTTATTTTTGCCAAGTTTGCACTGAAAACCGAAATAGGTTTTTTGCCTTTTATGCCGTCGACAAATTCTTAACTAACATCTTTATAAAGGACATTAACAAAGTAAAATGGCAAGGCAACAGTTGCATTACCCAATAAATTCCAGTTAGGAAGAACAATGAGCAAGCCTTTCCTTTTGTCCTGCTTCCTAACGATAAGTTTCCTAAAGTGAAATTGAGGCCAAAATGTGGAACGGAGAAAAACGCATTCAAAGTGCCCAAACCTCTACCTTTTCTTTAGCGTCGGTGGACCGAAAATGATTTATAAGAATATAACTATGCAGTGTAAAGAAATTAAACTTTCTGGGATATGTTCGTAAACATAAATTAAACATTTCTTAAAATGTTTTGTTTGTTTTTCTGGATAGTGGGCCCCCTTAATTAAACAAATGACGGAGGGATTATTTCTTAGCAAGGGATAGTCCACTTGGTGGAGATGGCTGAAGTTCGAACGCAGCAGGGCCGTGAGCATCTGAAGGAGCAAAACGGGAAAAAAAACAAGCAATTGGCAGCGGCCCCTATCTTCAACGTCCTGTAATGCAGGGAACAGAACATTTAAGGAGCAATCGTTTAAATTTGTTTAGGAGAATTAAAGAGTTGTTTTGGGGGGCAAAGAAGAAGGTGATGATAATGCAAAGGTGCAAGTGAGCTGGACAAGATTGACGAAAATAATCCCTGGAGAAGGGGAACAAGAGGGGCAAAGGACAAACCAAATCTCCAAACACAGCTAGGTGACTGGTGCGCGACCGAAAAAATCTGCCTGGTTTTGGTATCGATTGAGGGACCTCTCCATTTCCTGTGGAGCGTTCTACCAACTAATTGAAGGGTGTGTGCAATGATCTCCGGACTTCTGTCAAAAATATGCGGATGTTGCCCTCCAACACTTCTGAAGGAAACAACAGAAAACCGATTTCGCCTGCGTGTCCTAGTTGTTGTGTAAAAAATACAACATAAATAATGGCATTTGGCAGAGAAGTGTCTGATTCCCTGCCGCCGTCTTCAGTTTTCCGAGCCTTCCGCCGAAGCCCCTCGATTAAACCCATGCTTTGCATTCCTTACGAGTACCGATAACCTCCGCACGAAAGCGCGGGACTCGTGTTACGAGCGTGTGCTCCGCCATCCCTCGCCTCCGAGGGCCGCCCCTTTTGGTGACGCGCCACTGCGCGACCCAGCAAGGGGGCTCCACCTTCCGCTCCCCACTTCGCCGCAGGTGGCGTCGGCCGCGACGACGTCTTCCACGCCGACGGTGGTGCGCTCCAGCGGGGCACCCCGCCTCATACAGCCCAAGCAGCCGCAGCTCCTGCCCAAGCTGTCGGGGGGCGGCCACCACCCGGCCCCCACGACGCGCTCGCAGTCCCCCCGGGCGGCACCCCACCACAAGGCGCCACCGCAGCCCGCGCCGGCCCCTCCGGCACCACCTCCCCAGCAGGTGGCGCAGGCCCTGCCGCGCGGCGCCGCGGTCGGCGGACCGCTTCTGCTGCCGCCGGGTCAGGCGGCCGGGATGTTTGCGAGCGGAGCCGGGGGCGCCTTCCTGCTGAACCAGTACATTCCAGGTGGGCTCTGCCGAGAAGCACGGTTGTTCGAGGGTGCCCTCATTACGCTCTCGTACAAGTGTCACTACGGCCGCGCCGCGATTCTGGACGTCGTTTGTTGCTGCTTGGGGACCGTTTTGGATGCGTGGGCGCCAAACGCACCCGTCGGAAATATGTTCCGGGCTTGTGGCGTCTGCGCACCGCGGAATGCGGCAACTCGAAAGCGTGCCAAAGGACTGGGCAAAGTGAAGGAGCGCGCATGGCAAATGGGCACTGGCTCAAAACTAGGACGTATTAGTGAAAGAGAAAAATGTGGAAACAGGTAGCAAAAGAAAGCACTGGGTCTCCTTTGTTTTTCCTCGCTTTACTTCGCTACTTGTTTCCTGCCTTTGTGTCGTCTGTTAGTATGTATCGATTGCGAGTCAGCGCCTGTTTGTTGTATGCGTTTCCTTCTCTGGCCCCATCTTTTGTGCGCCGTTTTAATGCAGAAATGCACTCTTATTGAAACCAACTTCAATTTGGCCTTGGAAGAAAGAAAAAAAAAAAAGGCGTGGCGGGCTGCCAGACACTTGTACTGAGAGCCCTATTGACCACAAGCACACACATAAAAAGAAAAAAAAAAATGAAACTAGAAGTGGGAGGGAGGTCTCCGAGATGCTTTGAGAAGGCTTTGCCAGCTGAACAGTGACTGGTCGTCAAAAAGCTTGATTGGCTTGTCAAGTTCGAGCACCGGCCATATTGAAGGCAGGTTGCTCCAAAAATACAAGTTCATCTTCTGCTCATTGATTTTGAGCAGGTCGCACGGAGTGGATTTTCTCCTCTTGCTTATTTTGGAAGGTGCTCGAGACCTAGTGGCGGAATTTTTATAAAAAAACAAGGAGAAGAAAAAAAAAAACATGAAAGAAGAGGAGGACATGGCGACGCTCGACACGGCATCCTCTGCCTGGAAGGCCGAGACCGGTGTCAGCGTCCGCTGCGTTCCTTATATAGTGCAATTCTTCATAGGATGGTTGTGATCAATAGGGATCGAAATACAACTGCAGTTTTTTTCTTGTTGTCACATTTAACGGTCACCAGCTTGCTCGGGTACTGCCCTACCCAACGTACCACACCGCCTGGTGTACCACCTTTGGAAGTGACGTCCCTTCTTGATGTCATAGTTGGCGTAGTACGGCGTAGGGTGTCCTTTGTCGATGTTGCCGAATTCTCGAAAAGGATTGCCCACTGCCCACGGGAATCAAACCTGGGTCCACTGCGTGCGAAGCGGAGGCGTTACCGCAGAGGTATGCCACAGCGTTATAACCCCGCTTCACAACCACTGCTCATGCTCCCTTAAAAAAAAAAACAACAAAGATTTAATAACAAAATGTTGTTGTAGCACTCCATTCGAACAGCTCGTGCTCCGGAACCAAAAAGCAAACAGGCATTCGGAACAAAATGACCAGATTTCTATTGTGTTCCAAAGGCTTTTGTTTGCCACCACACAGTGTGTGAACACCACGCCGACGTCCTACGACTTCGCCGCGACATGTCGCAGCTATCGCTGTGACTCTGCCGTGGATTAGTGCACGGCAGAGTCACAGCTCACTTTTTTTGTTATGTTTAACGATTCCCAGCTTTCCTGGCGTACCGCCTCAAACCCCCCTTTCCCAACCTGCAGGGATTGGCCAGAGTCCGATCCTGATCCAGGGCTCCCTGGGCCAGATCCAGGGAGTGCAGCTGGCCCTGCGGCCCTCCCATCCGGGCCCCGGGGGCCTGACCCTGGGGGGGCCCGGGGGAGGCAAGCCCCACGCTCAGCACCACCACCACCACCAGGGGCACCCGACTCTCATGATCCCCCAGAACCTGGGGCCCCGGCCCAACATCATCCTGGCACCCAGGATGATGTCCTCGCCCCTCTCGTTCGCCTTTGCACCGGGCCAGACGCTCACCCTGCAGCAGCTACAGCAGCTCCAGGCCATGTTGCCCCCACAGGTGAGGGAAGGGGTGCCACCGGGGGTGCACCGAGTGCTACAAGGGGTGCACGGAGTGCGACAAGCGGCGTGACGACACACTTTTGGCACTTCTCAATTGGCTCCGTCAGGTCCTAGTGTCGGTTGCAGTCGGACTTAATGCAAAACGGAGTATAGAAGGGGCAGCGGATCGGAGAGTTGCCGGAACTAGTCACGCTGAGTTACCTAGGCTTCCGAGTCGAGCGCGGTTCAAGCCGACACACATTTCGTATTCGTATGCCGGAACACGTATAGATGCCCGCTTTCGGTTTTTACGTGTTCTGGCACCAGTATTAGCGGTTCACATATCTCGACTGTTAATGTACCCCTATTGCGATATAGGTACCTGTAATGTGACGTAAGCGTCCGTATTGAGAGATTGGCCAATCACAAAGCGCGCTTCCTTCCCGCCGCTGATTGTCTCTGACGCCGGTGTCACCGGGTGGGCCGGGGGCGCCAGTGCCGGCTTCTTGCGGGGATTTTTCTGCATCGGGTTGCGTCTCTCCCGTCGCAAATGTATGTCGGTATTCGCTTTTGTGCGCATTAGTTTCGGTGTGATGACGCGGCAATTGCCTGTTCTGCCGACGACTGTTCTATGTTTTCGCGCTTGATCGAGCCGAGCGTGGTGTCGAGGTGCCCGTCGATACCGGAGGAAGGTTTGTCGGCGCCGCTTCTCTGTTCGTCAAGTTGCGTCGCAAACTCGTGGTGGTGTGAGCTCCTCTCGCGGTGGTTTCTGTTGGAGGGCTCGAACATGCTGCGCTCACCACGTGCTCGAGTGACGCCACCACCGTGATGCCCCGCCGGACTCCGTCTGCTTTCTTGCTGGCGTTATTAAACGAAGGATGCCTACTGAAACGTCGCCTTCGAACAAGTATTTATTCGTCCGTGATATGGGGCGTTCGTGTCAAGTATTATAGTTTGCGATCAGTCGCATGTTTAATCGGGTAAGCAATGTGATTGCCTCGTCCTACCGCTTTCGCACATTGAGGCTTCGTGAGACAAAGTTACAGTCGTGCCCTGCCGTCGCCTTTTTAGTTTCGACGACAGAAAGTATAAACTTTTTGACCCTTTGCTCTGTTTCGTGCCAATTAGTGAAGCTACTTTTGCTGCTTCTTGACGAAGTCGTTCCGCTCAATCGTTGCCGAGCTTTTTGCCCGAAACCGATCAATGTTGCCGACGTCGTTAGTCGCGGAGCAGAAGAAGCGCTATTTTTTCGACAGCGGAAGCCGCGTTACACTTGTGGCCACAAAGTACGTCCGCCTCGCTACATATTTTCTTCCTCCTTCGCCTCTTTTCTGAATACGTCCATGTCTTTTTGTGTGGCCGTGCAAAACAAGATGAAAAATCCCTCTCCGTATTTCGTGCGCCGGAACACATATTCTTACGTGTTCTGGCATACGAATTCGGAATGCATGTTGGTTTGGACCACGCCTAAAGACGGACCGGCCATCTCGGTGCGTAAAATTTTTGTAGCCAGTTATCTCCGAAGCTTATTCTGAAATTGCGGGAAGTGTTTCTCCAGCCTCTAGGAATGTTAAGCAGCCTGTGACAGAGTAAAACGACGTCGCCCGAACTTTGTAGCACCGCGTCTGAAACTCAGGAAGCTTGGGAACTGGATCTCGAGATCCATTTCAGCGCCCCTTTAAAAGGAAGCTGAAGAGGCCCTTGAATTTCAACAGGCAGCTAGCAAAAAAGACGTCATTGGCGGGGTCAGGTGACCCTCGCTCGTCACTAAGCTGGCTCGGGGATGCCGATGATGACTTCACGACGCTCTGGACAGATAACGGATGGCAGAGAGGATCGTCGCATGCCTGGTGTCAATCGCAGCACATATTTTTCGAACTGAATGCGGTTTAGGTTTACTTCTGTCCAAGATAACTGCGATAACTCAGTTCGTGAAACGAAAAACTATAGAGGTCTGCTCTTAACTTAGATTTCTTGAAAAGTGCTTCAGCTGTCTCTGCCCGTTCACATATACTGCAGAGTGCTAAACTCAGAGCCATACACATACCATCTCTGACCCCACCCTTTATCGGCCCCCACTGCTTGAGATGCGACCTTTCCCCATTTGCACTCGGGATGCAGCAGAAACTCGGTGCTGACACTAGCACCGATGCAGAGCTAACTTAGCGCCATTTCAGCGCTGCGCCACCTTTGCGAATTGACCTCTGAGCACTGTTGGCCTCAACTTGACCTCACGGCACGCGCGCACATCTCGACTCGCAGACAATGCTGGCGCAGCCGACGCTGGGCCACTTCCAGACGGATCAGCAGGGGCTGATGCAGATCCCGACCTTCAGCCAGCCGCAGCTGATCACCCACGATCACCACCACCACCATCACCACCACCCCACCATGGCGGGGCCGCTGCTGTCGGCCGGCGGCACCGTGGTGTCCTCGGCCCCCACGGCCACCATCGTCACCCACCACCCTCCGGTGACCACCACCACAGTGATGCACCCGGTGCCCCTGCAGCAGCAGCAGCCCGCCGTCGCCGTGCGGCACACGCCGCCGCCGCAGCCGCGACGCACGCCGCCGCAGCCACAGCCGCAGCCACAGCCGCAGCCGGCGGTGGTCGAGAAACCGAACAAAGCGCCGCCTGTGAACCTGGCAGAGTTGCTCAAGGAGCACGGCATCATGCCGGAGTCGACGCCGCCGTCCTCGCCGACGTCTGAGAACCAGGTGGTGATGATGGAGGCGCCGGCACCGCAGGCACCGGCTCCCATGGCCGTGACTGAGACCGTGCAGGTATGGTTCGCCTCTTCCTGTCTTTTTCTGGTTCTTTTAGGGGATTATTGCTACACGGGTTGGGGCATGGACGGTTCTTCAGCGTTCCTTGTCGGTTGCCAGGTGGTGGGTTTGAATCTCGGCCGAGGGCCCTGCAATCTGACAAAGGCTTCTCGCAGAGAAGGTGCCATGAAAGCCCAGACTTTGGCTAAAATTATGAAATTTCTTTCTTATTTATTTGTTTGAACATAATATTTATTCCTTCTGGGATCAGGAGAAGGAGTGTGAAACAGAATTGTATTTAACAATATATATATATATACCGTAAAATACCGGGCAAGCGCCACTCAAACTTCAGAGATAATCACAAAAAATGGGGGATGGGCGTTTGTCCGGTCATCAATTTTACATACAAGTGTACTGTGCGTATTTTCTCAGATCTTACAAATTTGGGGATGGGCGCTTAATGTAAAATGGGCGGATGCGAAGTATTCTACGGTATACAACAGCCCAGCAATCAGGTGCAAACAAAGTCCGTGCTACCCTGCTCGAAAGCAAGCACAGTACACACGACAGTGAAACCCTTTTAGAACGAACCCACACACAGCAAAATATTGTCGATATCGAACTCACAGAAAATTTAAAGTAAAAATGCATGTAAAAAATATTTTTTATAACAAACAACCTATTGGCTATATCAAACTTTTCCCCCGAGAAGGCATCCAAAAACGCACAAACAATCGTCTTCTAGCCTGTCCCTTCCCCCCAAAAAGAAGTAGGATGGAAAAAAAAATTTAAAAAGCTCAAGTTGCAAACAAAATTCAGCGAAGAGAAGCGATTCAGAAAAGGAGATAAGCTAAAAGTACAAACTGCATGTATGCAAAAAAAAAAGAATCGGCACGTTGTTACAAGGCGGAAGTGAAGAGATGAGAAAGAAAGAGAAGCTCTTGGCCTTACAACGAACGCATCGTGGAAGTTTGTTGTAAAAGGCTTCTCTAAATCAAACTACTTGCTCTATCGAACTGATGAAAGCGTTTCCTGCTGTTCGTCACAAGCGGGTTTGACTGTATTGTAGTGCAACAAACAGCCATTAAAGAGTCACTAACACGTCAAAATCTTTTTTTTTTTTTTTCATTTTAAAACAATTGAAAACGATGCCTGGACATTACCCTGAAAATTCCAAACTCGGGAACTCAGTATTTGGAAAGTAAAAAAAAACAATTTCCCAAAGCCGAATTTGAAGTTCCCGCATGATTCGCGCCAGTGCAGTGACGTCAAAGATTGAGTCGTCCTGCTACTAGAGTTTCTCTCGCACCTTTCAACCGCCACGACCACCCGGAGTGTCGTGTTCGCCCGCGTCCCGCAAACACCCGGTTTTCTCCGTGCGTGCTGCCTATCGCTGCGAGCAGACGATGCTTGCTTTTTGAGTTTGAAGTTCTTTGAGGGCCCTCTCAGCAATCTCAAATTCTTTGAAACAATGTGAGGTCGAAGAGAACGTGCATCGACGTGAGGGTCCAAAATTGCACCAGTTCCGCGTGAAAGGCTGCCTTGGCGGAGTTACAACCGAAACTACGGTTTGACAATTTCCTTTTCGAAATCTGAGAGGTTGTCGGGCACCTAAATAAGAGAACTTTGTCCGATTCCCCGACTCGCCAATCATCCTCACTGCAACACGTGCCGCGCCGCCGCCATGTTTTCCGAGGGAGGATAAAAAGCCAGGAAGCGACATGACTCCGGACTCCGATTTTTTGGTATTTCAAACAGAAGGGCCGTAGTGCGTTCGCAGTTGCGTTTAAATGTTTTACGAATGTCGTTATTAAATGTTATAGAAATTTCGCTTGTAAAGCTTCTAAGTTTCCTAATCATTTACATTACAAGTAAAAAGAAGGGAGGAGGTGAGAAGGGGAGAGAAGAGCGCAAAAATAAAAAAGCCTGCTCGCACGTGTTTCATATTTTTTTGCGTTGTGCTATTTATTTGCCTGTCTATGACTACAACTTGCATCATTCTAGACAGCAAAAAGAAATACGACCCTTGGGGTGTCAGTGTTCCTTTAAGCATTAAAGATGAGGACTGTAAACTCCTCCCGGCCACGAACACCCACAACACTTTCAGGTAGTTGGTTCCAATCCCACGCAGTCTATTTGCTTCACAAAGAAAAGTATTTTGGCCAAATATTTGGGTTGCTGTTTCAGCGATGTCTGTTGGTGTGTTTAGTAAATATTCAAGCAAATTGGAGACTATGAAGAAAACGCCGGATTGGGGGAGGGGGGGGAGGGGGAGGGAGGGTGATATGACCTCAAAATATTTGGAGCAGGCTTGCTTTCTTACAGGTAGTACTGAATTGGCTGATGATATAAGATGGCCCTCGCCTTCTATCAAAACCCCACATACTGTCTTAAAATTGGACTTTATCGGTTTGTCTGCTGTTTATCTTGCAACAGCTGATGTTGTAGGGGCGTCGTGTCAATCATCCTGTTTCACCTTTATTGCTTTTGAGCTGCAATATCATTTCATTATCTGCCTGGTTAGATAAGGGCACCTCGTAAGCCTGCCAAGTGATCAGTAACATATCCTGCAATAATAAAACGAAGCCAGTTCGGCGTTCCTTGCCACAGATGTCCCCGTTTGCACAGAGTATCTTTGTGCCGACTGTCCCAGTAGAGCCAGGATCCAAGGTGCCGATCCTCTCAACTCGCACAGGTGGTGACGAGCAAGCCGACGCCAACGGTGATGGTGTCACCCCGGCAACAGGTGCAACTTTCCCTGGCGCACGACGGCAGCGTGGTCCTGCGCCAGCCGACGCCGCCAGAACCGGTGGCAGTGCCGCCGCCACCCGTCGAAACGACAACCCCGACGCAGCCGGCAGCCCCGACGAGCGCGCCTGTCAGCACCGCCCTCTCGCGGACGCACTCCGCCCTCCTGGAGCGGTTGTCTGTGGCGCCGCCCGTCAACGTTCCCGACCTCGCGTCGCTCACGTCGTCCGTTCGCCAACCGGTTCCGAGCGCGGTGCCGCCACCCGCTGTCGTGGCGACGACGCACCCGCATCACCTGACCCTCCACACCGTCAACAACGGCATGATCTCGACGCAGCAGTTGGCGGCGGCACAGCCGCACTCGTTCGTGACGGTGCACGGCGGAAACGTGGCGAACGTTGCCAACATGGGGAGCGTCACGCTCTGCCACGGCGCCAACAATGGAAGCGGCGCGAGTCGGCTGAACCACATCGTCGTGAACCCGTCGCCGGCGGCGGCGCAGCAACAGCAGACAGGGACGAGCCAGCTGCCACACCACGGGTGTCACGCGATGGCCAACTCCATTGCTGGCCCGATCGCCAATCAGATCGTCAACCCGATCGCTCACCCGATCGCTCACCCGGTAGTCAACTCGATCGGTGCAAAGTCTGGTCCGAACGCGACGACGTTGGTGGTGACGACGCCGAAGGGTGGGACGCAGCAGGTAGTGGTGACGACGGTGGCAGCGACACCGGCCGCGACCACCTCGGCATCTTCGGCGCCGGCGGTGACGACGCACCCGGCGCCAAACAGCGTGGTAGTGGCGGCTCACACGTGCCCCAAGCACGCACCACAGTCGGTCCTCAACTCGCAGAATCAGCAGGTGAGTGCTCGTCGTTAGAAAGAGTGGCGCGCATCTTACTTGCAGGTGTTTGAGGGGTAAAAACTACAAAACAACCGAAAACCATGAATTTTTATTTTTTGCTGGAGGGACGGTGGGCGGATCTCATTGAGTCGCAGTTTTGTGGTTCTGTTCAGCTTGTAACCTTGCTTAAAGGACACTTGGCACCAGTGTTGCAGAGTTGACCCTCTGGAGTTGGAATGATTCTTGAAATGATTCTGCAAATCCGCAACTGTGAAATGGGAATGGAATGGCGGCAGCAGCACTGATAGGATTGGAATTGGATTGGAATGAATTGGGGACAAAAGTGGTGTTTCGTGCGAGCTGTGTCTATCGTCAGCTAGTGCCTACGGCCTGCTACAGCACAATGCTAGTGCACAGTCAAAGTGAAACCGCATCATTGCACTTAAAAGACATATACGAAGGAAAAATTAATTTTTTTAAACAGCTTGGGGGAAAAAAGGGTGTCATAAAGTAAATTTACAACGAAAAGATAATTGTTTTAGAGCTATATTAATGGCACCAAACGAGTTTGTAGTTGGTGCCTGCGGGAGCCCACGAAAAAGTGGCCAGTCACGTGACTGGCCACTGATCAAGTGGTGCTTGCGCTTTTTTGGGAGCTTCCTATGGGGGGGGGGGCTCTGAAAGTTGCTTATTAATCTTTTTTCTTTTGTTGTGCTTTTTTTTTAGCAAGGTATTTTGATGTTTGAGAAACAACAAGTATGAGAAAATCCTTAATTCACGTTTTGACTCGTACGATAACGAACAAAAGCTCCACCGCTGCCTTTTTTCTGACACAAGCTCCTTAGCGCTCTCGCGTTAAAAACAAAGATTAATAAGTAACTTTTAAGGCCCATAGGGAGCTCCCAAAAGAGCGCAAGCACCACGTGACCAGTGTCCAGTCACGTGACTGCTCGTTGCAACTTTTACGCAGGGTCCCGCGGACGGCAACTACAAATTTTTTTTGTGCCGTGAATATAGCTTTGAAAAAAGATTTTTTTCATCGTAAATTTCTTTTATAACGTCCTTTTTCCATCCAGGCTGTTTAAAAAATTTTCTTTCCTTTGCATATGCCCTTTAAGGTGAGTGAGTGGAGGCCTTGACTGTCTGACCGGGGATGAGGATGAAACTGGCGTCCCCATCGAGACAACCAAGACTGAGAATTTATAGACAGGCAAGACGTTCCTGGCACCACGACATGCGACGGAGCGCCTGTTGGGACTATTTGCGATTGCAGCACCGGTGCTGGCACCATAGCGATTGCACTCTGTTAGCGGTTCTGCATTCTTGCCACAGTGTGCGGAGATTTGGGGCAGGTGAGCGTAGCGTTGCTTCTGACAGCGCTCGAGCTGTGCAGGCATGTTCGAAGAAAGCAGGAAGACAGCTTGTTGTGCCGCGCATGAACTGGACATTCTTGAGGCTTTTTGCCGCCCCTCGTTGCTAGCTTTTTATTCTTGATCGCGCGATTGATGTCTGCAGTACCACCATCCGACACTAAGTGCTCTTTGCGACCTCCGCTCGGCATAGTATCAGTGGTTTGGGAACGCATTTTGCATATTAGGGGCAAAGCTCCTTAGAGTCAAGCCTTGTCCATCCGGCGTCTGTGCTCACATCGATTTTGCTGGTGCTCGTGCTCGTGATCGTGCTTGTGAGCTCACGTTCTCGTGTAGAGCAAAAAAATTAAAAAAATGTTGAAAAAAGAAAAAATGTTTGCGCAGTCGACAGGATTCGAACCTGTGTGGGGATACCCCAATGGATTTCTAGTCCATCGCCTTAACCACTCGGCCACTATTGCGGGACGAGTAGGGGGCTCTGAGATGTGGTAGTAACTCAAGACCTGGGGTTCTTGTCGTGGAAGAAACGTTGCATGTAGCCGCTCAACGTCTATACAGGAGAGGGCGCTGCAGTCAAATGCGTATATAATCGCGTTCACCTTTGCATGGATTGGCTCAACGTTTATAGACGAGAGGGTGCTGTGGTCAAATGCGTATATAACCACGTTTCATACCACACATTCTCTTTCTGACATGGATGAAAATGAACGAAAGGCTTGGCATGCTGCGGCTCGGCATCTACGCAGACAAGCACCACGAGAGACAAGCACCACCACCGGTCCACCAAAGCACACATCTCCTCACACGTCTCCTACATCAATTCCACTGAAAGCAAGGAACCCATTGCAAAGATTGTAGACCACTCTAGGTGGAAGACAAATCTCCTTCGACGTGCCTTTCCACAATGCAGCAGCTACTGCTGTGAATCGCGGCGCACTTTCTGGGGTCGTTTGCCATTCTTCCTATCGCGGTCGGCGGAGTCGTGGCAGGGCACCGAGTCGTTCCTCGCTATTTTACAGCTGTACGAGCAGCTGCAGACCCAGATTGCCCACTTGACCGAACTGAAGAAGCCTACGATGCAGCAGAAGGTGATCCTGCAGCAGATGCTGGCCGTGGTGGACAGGGTGCGCGAGACGCCCTGCAAGGCGCACGTGACCTCCTCGTCCAACGACGGCAACGCCGCCACCGTCGCGGTGCCCCCGGCGCCGCATGTGGTGGTGCCACCCCAGGCACCTTCCAAGTCCCCCGCACCACCGCAGGTAGGGTCTCTACGGCCATGTTCCGCATGTCACCCGGGTAACCTGTCTCCCATGTCAGCGAGTAGCATCACGTGACATCGCGAGTAGACGATCCGTGACTTCGTTTTGGAACGGCTGGGATTATCACCTGGATGCACCGCAGATTGGCTTGAGCGTGGGCTACGGCAAAAAAAAACAAAGAAAAAAACAGCAGTGATGGCGGAAAATAGCAGACAATCGTTTTTGATCATGGAGGAAACACTCGAAGAGACGATAAATATTAACCGCTGCGCAGTTTTTCTTTGAGATTGACAACGCTGTGTTTTAGGAGGTAACTCCACCGGCTCTATTTGGTTACCTTCGTGGTGGTGGTCGTGATTGAGGGCTATGGCAGAGCGATGCTACCTATTTTCTAGTAGCATTGCTGCAAGTCGAAACATTATTTGCTTACTATATCGATATAAACATAATACGCATACAAACGTGACAGGATCCTTGAAAACTGTATTTGCCAATCAGAAGCTAATGTACCGTGTCACGTTCGTTGGGTACATTACCCCTTGTACGCGTAATTGAAGTAGATGTATAACGGATGCGTGCCGCCTGCTTCGTTGGTTTCAAAGCAAAGGACGGGAGCGAGTAGGGTTTCTCAGAAACGCTTTAGCGTGACGTCCCTTCCGACGCCCGGTCTCTCCGCCAGCCTCAGCAGGTGAATGCAGTGATCAACAAGGCGTTGCCGGGAGTGGTGGTGCAGGGTGCGTCAGTGGTCGCGACCCCCACGAGGACGGTGGCGTCCCGTGCGAGTCACCACAAGTCCAACCATGTGGACGCCAAGTCCAAACCTGCCCCGTCCTTGGCGCACTCCGGCAACTCCGGCACGTCTGCCTCCGCATCCAAACAAGCTCCCACGCATTCCGTGAGTCCGTCCGTCACTGCAAATGTGGTAGGGCGGGTAATGGGAGTCTTAACGTTTTGAGACGTTTGTCTCAAAACTCGTTTCTATCTAATTTAAGTAATTATGGAGTTGTAATTCGCTTCATAAGTTGTCTAGGTTTCTATAGCCAATTTTCTTTTTAGAGGCGGAGCTCCTTAGCATCTAGCCTTGTCCGTCCGGCGTCCGTGCTCACATCAATCTTGTTGGTGCTCGTGATCGTGCTCATGAGCTCACGTGCTCATGAGTACGTGAGCACGTGCCCGTGTAGAGAAAGAAAAAAAAATGTTTGCGCAGTCGACAGTATTTGAACCTGTGCGAGGAGACCCCAATGAGACCCCAATGGATTTCGAGTCCATCGCCTTAACCACTCGGCCACGACTGCGGGACGAGTAGGGGGCTCTGAGATGTGGTAGTAACTCAAGACCTGGGGTTCTTGTCATGGATGAAACGTTGCATGTAGCCGCTCAACGTCTATACAGGAGAGGGTGCTGCGGTGAACTGCATATATAATCGCGTTAAACTTTGCATGCATTGGCTCAACGTTTATAGACAAGAGGGCCCTGCGGTCAAATGCTCACATGCGTATATAACCACGTTCCATACCACACATTCTCTTTCTGACATGAATGAAAACGAACGAAAGGCTGGGCATGCTGCGGCTCATCGTCTACGCAGACAAGCACCACCAGAGCTTCTCCCCAATCAACATCATTCACCACGTGGAGATGCGGTCATTTTTTCTTTAGTTCGAGAATTTCTTGTAATATTGCCGGGGTGAGGGGGAACCTGGAAAGGCAGGGAAATTGAGGAATGTAACTATGGTAGACACATTCTTTGAGACCCGAGCCCTGCAATGTTAGGAAGCGTCTGCGCAGAAACGTCAAACGTCTCGCGGCAAACAATGAACGGAAACTTTGGAGGCTGGATGTGATGTTCTGGCTGTTTCCGAGCATTTGCCGGTGGTCATCGGGCAGCTAGTCTTGCGACTGACCTCGATAATAATTTTCAGAAAAATATTAGCCCCGACAGCATCTGAAAATGAGCGAAAGTGCCCGACATCAAATCTGGCTGCCGGATTTTCAGTCGCGTGTTCAAGCGTTTCGCACATGACAATTGCCGACTAGTATGTAGTCTGCCTTGCTGCGCTTTGCAACCCCTGTCGACTAACTTCCTCTCCCCCTGCTCTTCTCTGGCCATGACCGTGCAGACTCCACTACGAGTCATAGCCCCTGCGCCGAGCGTCGCTGCCGCCACCGCCGCCCCTGTCTCTTCCGTCGCCTCCTCGTCCTCCTCTACCTCCTCTTGCCCCTCATCTTCTTCCTCCTCCTCTTCTACCACTGCCTCGGCCGTCGTTAGCGCAGCCGAGGCCGCCACGCCGCCGTTGCCTTCCCGCCCCATGGCCGCCGTTGCCTCCCACTTGCGTGTGAGTGTCCTCTAATCGCTGCATATCTTCGTCTTCTTCTGTTTCTCTTTTCTGTCCTTGAGCTACGTCTTTTCGTTCCCTTTCTGGCTGCGAGGGTAGGCGTTGTTGTTAACCCGACTTGGAGTGCAAGTCTGGTTGACTCGGAGTGTTGCACGGAAACTTACGGGACGGTGCTCACTCCGCCACAATTTCCCTTCCATGACAGTTCGCTCGCTCTGTTATCTTTCTTTGTAGTATTCTGTGGTGTAGTTTTACCAGTAGTTAAGAATTCTCTGGGCAGAAACAACCTAAAAACAGTTTTCTCAAATGTTTGGGTGCTGTCTGTGTCCGTGTGCAGTCGTGACAATGACTGGCATCTTGGTCACTTGTGAAAAAACGTTGGGCCGTCTTCGGCTTTGGTGGGGACATTGCTCTGGGCTTGGTTTTTTGCTTTTTCGAACCTATTTCATATTGCAATGTTTTCCGCTCCTGAAAGTGCAAAGAAAACACCTCACTTTTTTCTGTGTGGCCATTTTTATGGATGATGTAGTTTCAGTTATTGCTAGGGATGTCGCGATTCTGCCAAGGTTTGGGTTCCTCTCGGTTCAGCATTTTAAAACTTACGAAAATTCGTCTATGTGTGCCGATGCGGAAATTGAAAATGAGCCGACACCGCGTGGTGGAGGAAGGGTTTATTGGGCGTATTGGTTTTGTTAAAAGCTAACTAAATCTTTCGAGCCTTACATGTTTGTCGAACATTGGGTTGGACAATGGTTACCCACTAACATGACAAACACGTCGTCGAGGGAAAAAGTCGGAAAGTTGAGCAGCTGCCTCTAAAAGTAGCAGCTGCTGGATACGAGCGTCCCAAATGTTTACGGCGAACCAAAGCTGAGCTGGGCTCCGGTCGAGCAGGTGGGAAACCAAGTGGTGAAGCTGACGGCCCAGCAGCAGCACCAGCTGCACCATGCAGTGCTGCACCCCCACCCGCACCACCCGGGGCGCGACGGCGGCGATGGCCGGCGGCGCGGCAGCCAACCAGCGCTCGCCGCCGACGCCCCACCACCAGCCGAGGTCGCAGACGGTGGTGCTGAGGCTGCAGCAGCCGACCAATCACGTGATTGCGCCGGCCCCGCCCACCAAGCAGATCCTGGTCCAGGTGCCTTCTGTGACGAACAAGCAGGTGAGCCGATTCGGATGGCTGTCTTTCTGGGTCGTTTTTGCCCGGCTTGAAATGCGACGCATACCCTTCTGTGGCTAAAGGAAATCTCTTTGAATGCAGAATGTCTTTTATGGGTCGTTTTCAATGAGTCCGGGGTGTTCTTGTCCCACTACTCTAAACCAGCAACGGACTGCGGACCGTGCCAAGAGTACTATCGTATGTGAGCGACGAGGGAAGAACACCTCCTTTATTCGATTGCCTTCCAAGTTCTGAGTTTACTAACCTAGACGATGAAATTTCCAGGGACGGACCATCTCGTCGTAATAGTCGGATAAAAACATTAAGAAAGTCGTGCCGCTTTTTTTCTTTTTTTGTGGAAAATCTGTTGGGTTATTACGCGATAAATTTAGAAAGCCCTCCAGCGAAGGCACGGAACGTGACCGGACTTCACGTCGTGACACGATTTGAAGGGAAGCGTAAAGATGCTGGCGAGCTGCATTTTTTCGTAAGTGTAGCATTCCACAAGTTCGGGCAGTTCTCTCAATGGTGTCAACCTTCGCGCCGGGTTTTGTTATCGCAGGTTACGAGCAAGAACAACAGCAATGCGAGCAGCAGCAGTTGCGTTGTGCCCAAGGCGCCCCCTGCGACGTCGGCGCTGTTGCCGAGCAAGCAGGAAACCGTCATCGCCCCCAAGCCAGCTCCTCCGCCCGAACCGGTCAGGGGCCATGAGAACACTTTCATACAAGCGGTTAAAGGGACCATGAAATGATTTTTCAACTTCTTCCTCCTTAATCCTCAACTCAAAAGCGAAACGAGAAATCGCACAGTCGCGGCACTCCATTGGCCAGGAACGCAAATCCAAGTATTCGTCAACGGATTGATCATTGACGAGTGCGTACTTCCGAGTTACGCGGTCCTCGTGTCCAATGCGGGGGCTGGGTTCGGGGGACGTGCCTGGACACTGCGGACGCTTCACGGTAAAAAGGACAACTTTCGAAGGAAAGGAGCTACGAAATAGTCCGGCATATTTTTAAATGTTGTTACCGAAAAGCAGGCTCTAGGCTTTCTACCCTCGTGTGCTAGCTTTATTTTGGCGCACTAAACTAGGGATGTCGCGAACCACCCTAGGTTCGATTTCGAAAGGTTTCGATATTTGCGAAGCGAACTGAGGTTCGATTTCGAAAAATTTCGATATTTTCGTACCGACCGAGGTTCGATTTCGAAAAATTCGCAACTTTTGTCCACAGCGGAGTTTCGAATTCGAAAAGTTCGAAGCTTTCACGGTTTCTAAAATTTCGAATTCGAATATTTCGAATATTTTTTTACTTCAGGTTCGATAAATTCGAAGATTTCGAAATTCTTTGTAAAAAAGATCGAAAACTTCGAACGCTTCGAATTTTTATAGACATGCAGTTCGAACAATTCGAAGATTTCGAATTTCTTTTTCCATAAAGCTCGAAAAGTTCGAAAGTTTCGATTCTCTTTTAAAGCTAAATTAAAAAAAAAAAATTCGAAAATTTTGAATTATTTTCTAATCCAAGTTTTCAAAGTTCGAAGTCCGATTTTCAAGTTTTTCCACAATTTCAGTTTCAAATAACGTTTTCACGACTCACTGGTTTTCACAAAATCAAGTTTAGAAAAGTTAGGGTGTGATATCTAGATTCTGCGAAGTTGGTCAGGCAATTAAATGAGACGACGAGTGTCCCGAATGTGCTAGAATATTTGCCAGTGCAGAATTGTGACCGCCAGCCCCGTGTGGGGGGGGGGGGGGGGGGGGGGGGGGGGGGGGGGGGGGGGTCTTTAACCTGCATCAAGCAGTAGTGATTGCACGAACACACTGTTTTACGAGACTCTTCCAGTTCGAAACGGCCAGGGGCGAGCAGAAGGTTGAGGCTCAGAAAAACCGTGAAGCGACCTGGCAAACTAGCTCGCCACCCCTTGCACGCTGGTAGTAATCCGATCCGGTGAAGTTTATAATAGTCCTCGAGGTTTATTTTCTGGGACGGAGGAATCGCCTCGCAGAAAGCACAAAAGCCGACACAACTCGAGGTCGAGGAGCGTTCTACCATACAAGTGGCGTCGGAAGAGGAAAAACGGGGGGAAAGAGGGTAGCGGGGGGGGGGGGGGGGGGGGGGGGGGGGGGGGGGGGGGGGGGGGGGGGGGGGGGGGGGGGGGAGGGAGGGGGGGGGGGAGGGAGGGGCTTCAGCCTCCTTCTTCCCCTTGCAGGTATTTCGGACTGTTAAAGAAAACAATACGGGGAAAGAGGGCGTGGTCGAGCTTATTTTAATCTGAAATTATTCATGCATATGTATAGCTAATGTCGCTCTTCACTGCATAAAAGGTTGCGTATAGATGGTCATTGTTAGAAACTCGTTGTCAGAAGGCACTGCTCGTCACATGCTTAGTGGTTCGGAAGTTCAAAGCTGTCTTTTCGACCTAAACACCTGTGCCGATAGTAAAAAAAAAAAAAAAAGAACAAACGCGGGGATAAAAAGCAGGAGAAAAAAAAAAACTATCAAGAATTCGTCGGAAGTGTTCTATTCTTGCATATTCAGAGGTTCAGAACTTCGAAACAAGTTTCTTTTACCAAAGTGTGTACAGGCTAAAAGAAACACGTCCCAGGAACGTGAAGCGAAAAAAAAAAAAAAAGTTTTCTTTTAATGACGTGCTGAACTTGAACACTACTAGAAATCTTCTCCCATGAGTTAATTTATTCCTTAACGTGAAAAAAAAAATATTATTTGGTATTCTGCAGATGGCAATGATATGTACTGTCTGTGGTGTTAATTTAAATGCGATACCTCAAACAACTTAGACGAAATAAATATCAAGTTTAGGTCATAATTGCATGCAGATACATGTTTGGACATTTCTTCGAAACTCACGTTGAATAACAATAATCACATCTTAAAACGGCACTTACCTAGGCTATACATAGATCATTCTTAAAAAAGTATATCTTATCTACCATGAATAGCTCCGGCTGCAGCGTGCTTCAAATCTGGCACAAACGATAATCGTCAAAAACCCGTCGTCCTTCCTCGCCCCTTCGGGGATTTATTTCTTTAAACCTAAGCATGCCAGAACATTGAAATAAACGACATTGTCTTTCGTAAGGAACGCAGCACCGCGTGTAAAAGTTTGAGAAAAAAAAATTACGAATGTACCCCACTACTTGAAATCAAATGAAACCGTCCGCCGGTCTTTCGAAGTTCGACGAACGTCGAACTTTTACCCTAAAAGTTCGAAGTTCGTCGAACTTCTGACTTTTCAGAGTTCGAAAGTTCGAAACTTTTCGAATTCTCTTGATAAATAAGTTCGAAAGTTCGAAATTCATCGAATTTTTTGGTCAGTCAAGTTCGAAAGTTCGACAAGCATCGAACCTTGCAGCGCAATAAATTCGAGAGTTCGAAAAAGATCGAATTTTTTAGCGTAATAAGTTCGACGGTTCGAAAAGCGTCGAACTTCTTAGCTTAACAAGTTCGAAAATTCGACCTCCGTCGAATTTTACGATATAGACAATTCGAAAAATCGAAATCTTTCGAACCTTTCGAACCGCTTGATTCGATCATCGAAACTTCGATTCGAAAAAAGTTCGCGGCATCCCTACACTAAACTCTATCCGATTAGTAAAACTCTTAATTTAACCCGGCCGAAGGTTCATTTCATGGTCCCTCTGCTCAATCAATCACCGAGCGAGTGTGTAATTTATCCACTCAGCGAGTCTGAGTAAGAGTGAAGTTTGAGCGAGTGGGGTGTGTAATTTATCACCGGGGTGGAGAATAAAAATCAAGGTGATTTGAATCGTGATTTAAATTGTGATTTAAATCTGACTGGTTTTACTATGATAATTTTAATCAAACCTTTCCCGCACAAAATTATCCTACAAATATTTATTTGTTTATCGTTTGTGTATTGCTTTATGCTTTTTTTGCACATTTGCTTTGTATTCAAATCGAAGAATTGTTGAGCAAGAAATATTTATACTGGGCTGAGCACAAAGCAGTGGTCTTCGGAGCAAATGGGAACTTTCGTTCTACCCTCCACTTAGTTTGTCAGTCGTGCGACGTCTTATTGCAGGTGAAAGAACGTGAAAGAATAAATGTTAACTAGAAAAGTAATGTCCTATTGCAAGCTAATCAGAACACTAAAGGGAAAGCATTTAAAGCTTTTTTTCTGAACGTCTTATTGCAGGTAAATAAGAAAGTGAAAGAATAAATGTTAACTAGAAAAGTAATGTCCTATTGCAAGCAAATCAGAACACTAAACAGAAAAGCAACTGAAGGTTTTTTTCTGAACTAAAAGAAAATCGAGCTGTATTTGTTCCACTGTGGTGGGGCTTACTAAAAAAAATAAAGTTGCTATTAAATGACACTTTGAATTTACTGTAATTCTTTCTTCCACTCTGTTTCTAGTAATCGATCAAATTTATTAATCAATCTGCCATATTCGAAAATGCATCTAGTGATTAAGGATCACTAGATGCATTTTGAATCATATGATCAGAATCAGATGATTCTGATCTTATGATTCTCATTTAAATCAACAAAGTCTGGTTTATACAATTTTTTTTTTTTATCATTATATTTTTAGTTTTTTTATCACTCAGTGACTGTTTAAGAGTGAAGTTTGAGTGAGTAAGTGTGTAATTTATCACTCAGTGAGTGAGCTAGAGTGAACAAGAGTAAGCTTTGAGTGGGTGAATATGTAATCTATCAGGCAATTACTGAGTGAGTAAGCGAACGTGAGTTTGAATGAGCAAGAGCGAAGTTTGAATCAGTGGGAGAGTAATTTATCGCTTGGGTGAGCGGGCAAGTGTCTAATTTATCACAGAGTGAGCAACAGTGCGAGTTTGAATTAATTGTGAGTGAGTGAGCACGTGATTGAATGAGCCAAGTTTTACATTTTACGGAATTCGGGAGGTTTCGGGGATTTCCGGTTGTATTCTCGCGTTGATAATTTGTACAACCAGAAAATTGCTGTAAGGGCTTCATTTTAAAAGTTTTGAAGTGGCAGTGGCGTGTACTTAAGTTTTCCTGTTTGTTTACTCTAGCTTGTAGCTCATTTACTGAAGTGCTCATCCGCACCGTGGTTTCACGTGTTTTGTCGTGGTTCCAAGGTAGTTTGGTTTTCTTGCCTGTGCTTATGCCTTGTATATTCCCCAAGCCTTTTTCTCTTGTTACAGAATAGCTGTTACTATTTTAATTAAATGATCTATTAGATACTCGTTTTTATTTTGGTCGGGACTTAAAGATGCAAGCTTAACTTGGAGCGACTTCTGCTTGCTTCTTCCAGCCCAAGCCTGCCGTGGTGAAGCCTAAAGTTCCTGATCGCATTCAAAGAATGCACATGTGAGTCATTGATTTGTTTATCCTTTTCACTGCCGTGCAAAGCTTGTTGGCCCATGGTTTAAGTGTGTTGGCACTGCCCTTCAGAACAAGCCTTGCAGCTTTGAAGGAAGTTTTCGCTCTGTGTGTGCTCATCCAGACGGAGCACCTTATACCTAGGTTTTCAAAACAAGGTTCCGGGAGCAATTGTATATTTTCTCCTGTCGGTTTCATTATTAATTTCAGAATTTCCTCAGACTTGAAATAATAAAAAAACAAAACAAAAAACTTGGGCTTAAAGATGATTTTGGCCTATGCTTTTGACCGAAATTATGACTCTTTTTGTAATTGTCTATCAGTACTCTGGGTTAGCCTAATATGTCTCCAAATAGCTCTAAATCTTCTTCTTTGTTTTTCTTATTGAGTATTTTTTAGATGCAAACACGAAGCCAAATAAGGCTACACTAAAATTTAAAGAACCCGGTCAATACTTCCTTCCCTCTTCTTCCTTAGTTAATTTTTTCTTTTCTTTTTTTCTTTAGTGCGTAAGAGTAAAAGATAACGAAAATGATGTTTAATATATCCTAGAGTTGACAGTCAGTGCTGCATGAGTGTGTTTCTTTGTGTGGATCTGTTTTGATGGTGTGTTGTCTTTTGTGCACTGTGAAGTATTAGCATTAAAAAACCCCATTAGTAGCGGGGGATCTAAGGCTAAAATTCGGAAACATCTGTCGCAAACTTTGGAAGGGAGTCTCTCTGAGCCCTCGATCTAGTTTGCAGCGGGCAGCCGAGCAACTTGCTCCCGTCTCTTGTTTTTGGGTCCGCCTGTCCTGCGTCGTCTTCGCTTCCGCCCATAGGAGTTGTTGTGCTGTTTCGGCCTCTTCTGTCGCTACTACCAATGACAGTAGTGTTTGCGCTGTCGGGTGCTCAGCCGTTGCCGTCCGCCGTTTCCGTCCAGGTTCCACCAGCAGCTGTCGGAAGACCAAAACGGTGCTATGCTCGCGGACACCAAGAGTCCGTTTGCGTCAACGAGGGACGCTTGCCGGCGGTTGCTGCGCTACCACGTCTACAACACCAGGCTGCCCCGGGAAGAGGACCTGGGCAAGAGTGCGTGGCTTGCCTTTCTCCTCCGCAGTGTTTGTGGCGTGGATCGAACCCACCTCAAACATCTCTCAAAGATCAGTGTCCCTCGCTAGCGCACTGTAACTTGGCACACCTCAAACATCTCTCGGAGATCGGTGTTGAAGTTCAGTGTCGGGCTGGGGGCTGCATTTACTTTCTGAAAACGTCAAAGAGCACACTTACCTCGATCAATGTTTACAACTAGGAAACTAAGATTTCCTGTGGCTCAATAGGCAGTTAAGCCTTTTTTACACTGAGAGTGAAAAAGAGTTCCTGCGGGTTATTGGAGCATTTTATTGGGAGAAATCGGGAACGAGAGCAAAGTCTGAATTTTTTCTTTTAGACCCTCGGTCGTTTCCTTAAATCAGACAACCACGGTAAAGGTTCGTTCGCACACTGGAGACGGCTTACTGCCGAGTGCCTCGAAGCCTCTTCAGACGAGAGAACATCCCAGCAGTGTTTCAGTATATTTTCTATTTTCCTGAGCGCATCATTCTTCCTTTCTTGGCTCGATGAATTTTCGACGAAGTTATAAATGACGAATCCTCGCAGATAGTACATACATATGATCTTGCGAATCCCGCAAAACCTTCGCTCTGGCGAAATGCGGTTCCAGGATTAACTCTTAGATGGCGCTGGCGTGCCAGTGTGTTCTCTCGTCGTAAGAGGTTGCAAGTACTCGGTCGTAAGCATACGCAAGCGTGCGAACGGCCCTCAACTTTTTTTTGTATTGGGCGCGTCGTTGCTTCGACCGTAGGTCATGACCCACTCGTCATCTCTCTCGTTGCAGCGGACGAGCTGTTTGCGGAAGTTTCGGAGCGGCTCCTGGAGGAGAGGAAAAAGCTGTACCACAAGTTCCACTACCTGATGTTGCTCGAGGGAATGGTGAGGGACTTTTTCCCCATTTGGGTTCCGGTCCTCTTCGACTTTTCGGACTTCTCGGACCGGTTGTTTGGTGCGCCGCCGGCGTTCGGAGCGTTGCGGTGACAGACGTTTCGTTGGCAGAGGGACTACTCCACCGCGGAGAAGCTGATGGTCGAGAAGCTCTTCCTGGAGCACGAGAGCGACGCCCTGGCCGAAGAGAAGCGGGCGGCGGAACAGGGCCAGTGTGAGTTCCAAGCTTTCCCGCTTGCGCTTTTTTTTGTTTCCAAAACTTGTACGCCCAGCTGCCAGGATTGCGACGTCGGACGTGAGGACACACCGGCTTTTGCGACGTCATCTGCTGCGTCGCCAGTGCGCGTTTGTTACTGGAAAACGAATGTCGCACCGTGGGGACGAGCCTCTACGCGGTCTTGTTCTCAAGTGTGAAGGATCTGGTTCTTGCTTCCTTATTTAATGTCGTGGTTTGTCTAGACCCACACATTTGCGTTTGACTGTGCCAATTGCTTCGTGATCTCCCGTTTCAGCTGGCAGACTGGCACCATCCATTGGGCAGACCTGGAACACTTCCACTTTGTGTATAACTAGACCGAAAGATTTGCAGTATTTGGGAGATCGGGTCTACGCACACTATTTTTCGAGAAGTTAATGCGTATACAATGTTGTCAGATTAACACAGTGAAGGAACGATGCGCAAAAAATTGTGAAAATGTGGGTTGGCAGTGTTCCGAGGCTACCAGCGGTTACGAGAGATTCGACACGCTCGGCGAAGTCAATTGCAATGTGCTGAATAGCCTCGAGGAGTTTGCGGTAATGCTCCCAGGTAGCACGCCAGAGAAACTTCCGACCTGGCCCGAGTTTGGCAGCTCCAGGGGCCTAGCTTAGGCCTAATGTGGTTTTGCCCCGAAGCACGAGTTCGTGTCGGAGCGCTTTTCTTGGGCGTTTTTATGGCTTTTCTTTGGTTTGCCACTAAATTGCCAAAGGGCTAAACCTGAGCCACAGATGCCACGTATGAACTAAAGAACCAGCAGTGAAGCCTTAGATCTGGCACTTGCAGGTCAGGACAATACAAAAAGTTGTTTCACTATAGAGTTGCGTAGTCTTTTTTATAAAAAATAGAAATACGAGGCCCAGTTGAAAGTTCCTGCCAATGCACTGTGACGTAACAGTGTACCGCAAGGTGTCGGGCCGGTCAGAGGGGAGGCGTCGACCTACGTCACTAAAATTGGGTTCGCAGGAAGTCGCGCGAGTTTCACTCCACGTGTTCTCCGCGACCGTGCCTAAGACTTTTTTTTTCTTCTGCTCTTTGTACGAGCGATTGTAGAAAACGAAATTTCAGTTCCAGTAGCTCTTTATCGCTGCACCGTTGGTTGGTTTGCGTGCTGTAAAAGTTGAGGACGAAGAACCAGTGGATCGACGTGACGGAGGTCAATGATGAAAGCGTTGCGAGTACAAGGCAGTGTATGACTGCATGCCGTCAGTCCGATGATTCAGAGCTATACTGGACACAAAAAAAACTATCAAGTTTTGAAAAAAAAAAAAAAAAAAAATTTAGAATGCTTGCAGAAATTGGGATTACTAGCGTACGACACGCACAATTGCATTGCTGAAGGTTCGGACACCGAGGTCGTCGAATCATCGTATACTCTCCAGGCTGAAGATGCCTGCCGTCTCTCTGAAATGCATGCAGTGTGATCTCTTCTTCAGTTGCTGAAATACCGGGACAGTCCCTCACACAGCACCTTCTAGGCATTGTAGTTGATCACGTCAATTCACCGACTCCTCTTCTTCTACCTTTACAGCAACATTAAGCGACGAAAAGCAAATAAAAGAAACCTTGTCTGCTTGGATCGCTCGTGGAGGTGCGGAGAATGACAAAAATATTTTAAGAAATATTACACGTGCTCGCGGTAAGCACGTGTAATAAGCACGTTACTGTGACGTAACGGTACACCGTTACGTCACAGTGCACTGGCGGGAACTTTGAATTGGGCCTCGTATTTCTATTTTTTATAAAAAAAAACTATGCAACTGTATAGTGAAAAAATTTTTTTGTAATGTCCTGACATGCCATTTCAACGCCTGGCATGGAAAAACTAAAATTTTTGTTCGGCGTGTCAGAGGCCCTTTAAAAATGCCACATGAAAGCCAGACTACCAGCAGTGAAGCTTAATTAACTTTGGCACTTGTTTGGCGATTTATGCCCATAGATGCCACGTTACAGCCAAACTACATGCAGTGAAGCTCAGTTAACTTTGGCACTTGTTTGGCGGGTTAGGACCAAGATGCCCAGACTCTGTCCAAAGAAGGCCAAGCTTGCCCCTACCTTGACTTTTTGGGGCCTTTGAAGGCTCTAAATTCCCGGACAGAAATCATATCTTGGCCCATAGTACTGTGCCACCTGGGCTCATACTTGGCGCAATATTTGCAGATATCAACCTCCCCGTGGCGACGGAGTCCTGGACGTCGGAACGGAGTCCGCCGCCTCCGACGTTACAGAGCGGCCGGTCCGTCAAGAAGGAGCCTCCGGACTCGTGGCTGGACGACCGGGGAGACCTCGAGCCCGCCGCCAAGCGGCGCTCCGTCAAGGAAGAAGACGTCGCCAACGACGTCTCCACGTTGGCACCACCCCGAACATCTGCCGCTGCAGCGGTGGCGACTCCACCTCTGGAAAACGACATTGTGTCAAGCATCCGAAAAGAGCTAGACATGTCTGCGGAAGAAGAGGAGGACTTTGAGGAACTAGAGGACATCGATCCCCTGCTCCAGTTCACGTCGGAGCTCAAGCCGCACCGTCACCACCATCACCATCACCACCACCACCACCATCACCATCACCCGCCAGTGTCCGTGATAGCGGCAGATTGGACTAGTCCGCTAAAGCCGGTGGAAGTGTCGGTTCCGTCGCGTGCTCCGGAGTTGGACCTTTCCGGGATCGAGGGACTGGACGATGACGAGAGTGGGGGCGGCGGGGGACCGTTGGCGCGGACTCACTACTTCAGCGACGAGGACGACGACCTCGCGTCGGACCAGCCGCCGGACCAAGTTCAAAGTGCCATCAACAGCATCCTGGACTTTCGGGGCGATGGCACGGATGGCACGGCGGGGGCGGACGGTGGTGCCACCAAGAGGGGGGGCGCCGAACCGATGGACTACGACGAGGGGACGGGGCCGGAAGCGCCGCCGGACTCGGTTCTCGACGAGGCGGTCCGAAGCATCCTTTTGTGACCTCTCCTGCCGTCTTCCTTTGTTCCGTCTTTTCTTTTTCTTGTTGTTGCTCCGTTTTGTTTCTTTTCGTGCGTGTTGTCCGGCTTCTCGCTCTCTCTCTCTCTCCCCGGTTTCTCCGCGTGTGGCTAAAGGAAAGAGGCAAGGTTGCATCCTGTGCGTGTGGATGCGTGCACGTGTGAGGCTTGGCCGTCGCGACGGCGGTGATATCGGCGGGGTGCCCTCTTCGACGCACGCTCACGTCTGTTCCGTTTTGTTTTTTTACGGCGCCACACTGTTTAACTTATTGTCGCTGCGTCTGTGTCGGCGGCAACTCGGTTTCTGCCGCCCTCGGACGAGTTCGGTTTGCGTTCTCGGCCGGTAGCTCTTTTGATCCGTCGGCTTTGTTTCTTCGCGTTCCCCGGCAACGTCGGGTTGCCTCCCGCCTTCTTTGAGAAGCGGGTACACTGCCCAAACGATCTGGGCTCTACGACGAAAAAAAATCGACACCGCTTTCGTCGGTGACCGCCGCGTGGAAAGAAGAGACGGCACATTCCGTCGAGTCTCTTCGTCGTGGCGGCAGCCAACCGTGCGAACCAAACCTGCATCTTTGTTTTCTTTCTTTCTTTGGTCTTTGGTGCTTTCTGCACACACAGGGGGCCTTGTGCGCGATTCGTCGGGTTCGATGCGCGCTCGTTTTCGGCGTGGCGAGATTTCCTCCTCGCTGCTTGCTTTCGGCGTCGGAAGAACATATGCAAACCTTGCCACTCCTTTCTCATTGAAACCTACTTAAGAAGCGAACGTCGGGGGACATCTAGCCCCCCCCCACGACAGCGCACCCGGGTGCCTCGGCCGAAGAAGAGCGTCCGGTTTCGCTTCCCCGTCGCTCGCGCGGAGCGCACCGAACGTGCTAGCCGGTTTTTTCGTGTCTTTTTCGTTCCTCTCTTGTATAGGTGTAAATACGACGACAACAAAAGGACAGACCGCACGTATTTATACAACCGCACATCCATTCAATACGGGACAATGCTCAAAGGTCAGCGTTCGAAGGGAAGATTCGTAATTGGGGAGGGGGAAGGTCGAGCGGTTCGAACGAAGGTGCTTTCGGTCGGCGCAGGGGTGGGCAAAGTGTTGTCCGGCGTAACTATTTGTGCTTTTCCGCGTGGTTTCCGGACGTTTGTGATAGGCGGCGACGGATCGCAGCCCGCCTCTCCCGCTTGTGTGGATCGGCGTTTGTGCGTTAGCTCCCCCCCCAATTCCCCCCCCCATGAGGACAGGATAGGTGAGGCACGTGCACGCGCTCACAGGCATACGGTCGGAACGAGGGAGAGAACGGCAACCCTACGTGTACAGAGTTGACGAAATTTTTTTTTCTACAAAATGAAGGCGAGGGTGCGACGGTTGGGAAAGAAAAGAAAAAAAGAACGAAAAAAGGAGGTGTAAATATTTTATTAAAAATTTTGAGAAATTGAACATCGCTCCAGACTTGTTCTACATACTTTTCCTTTTCAGAAGTATGTTGGTTGATGGCCTCGAAACTGCGCGAGTGCTGAATGTGTCAGCACAACAGGAATTCGTTCTAGTGGAATCGGAAGAAAAACGTGCTGCCGTGAGCCAAGATGGAATGTAGGATGCGGTGAATTTTTAGGGAAACCGCTTCTTGACTTGAAGCAACGAAAGGAAAAAGGTATGCAATCTTGTTCGAGACAAGAATATAGAAATTGATGAAAAGAACTAAATGCGGTATCGCCAATGTTGCCAGCGCACCGATATTGTTACCACACGTCTAATGCATAGAGAAATTATCATTGACAGTGCCTTGAAACAAATTTTAGAGCGTGCAATGTTTAACACTTATCACATTTGGCACAATGAAAGCCTTGAGGTCAGCGCGTCTCCCCCATGGAGCGTTGGCTCTTTAGCAAGGCCTTGGGGCTGTCATTTGAATGGCATGGAGACATGGTCCTGTGAAGGCATGCATTGCATGTGGGCACCTATTGCTGTGTCCACAGATGGCAATTGCCTTTACAGTTGCAGCTGGAAATGATGCGGCCGGTTGCAAGTTCCTAAACTTAACAGCTCCCGGTTGAGACTGTTTGTCCATCCCTTCTCGTTCCAGTCTCGGGGGGTTTTTAGTCAAATGTTTAACAGCTCTATCACATGTGCGTCGTGGTTTTGACGTGTTGCAGGCTGCAGCCCTTCGTCTTGGAACTTGGCACAGCGACGGTGCTCTCGTACAATTAGAATCCAGAGAAAGTTCAGGGTTATAGAAAACATTGCTACACATAGGACAAAGGGTTTTATTTAGAATTTTCTGAGAACAACTTCGCGACACCAGACCACGTGTTTGGTCTTGGTTATGAGTCGAGCTGGTTTCTGGTTGTTTTTTGCACCATATCAATAGATGGTCAATGTTCTTTCGGAAAGCAGTCTGGTAACCAGGTAAAATGAAAGATAAATGCTTGTTGCTTTGCCATTGCTTTCGGCATAGTACAAGGGAGGAGTAGAATGGTCAGAAAAAATAACTTGTTTTATTTACACGAAAGAAAAAAAAATACATTTCAGCAGTTATTGCACATCATCGAGTTTCATAGCATCCCAGTGGAGACTCTGCTTTGGCGGCAAAAAGTGTCCAGTCACAGGCGTTTAAAGAACGGATTGGGCGAGCCCCCTGAACCAGTTCTTGAAAAGTGACGTTCTCGAAGAGGACGTCTTCAGGAGGAGGAGAGTCTTCAATCTAGGACAAGGCACGATAGATGTCCTGCTATTAGTTCAGTTGAGTGCCGTAAAGCGACACAACTTTTCTTAGTCATTTGGCAATGCCTAACTTTTGTACAAGTTCACACTCAGCTTGGAAAAGATAGCATAGAAAACATTGGATCAGTCAAAAACCCATGAAATCACTGGATGTACGGAAGTAAACACAAGTGTGTTTATGCCGCATAACTGAACTATGCACTGCAGCCAGCTGGGAAACATTTACCTGAAACTAACAGCAGCGGCACTGATAAACTTTCTAATGAAGAGCAGCAGCTCGTGTTCTATTGAAGCTTTCTGGAAACCTCCACTAACTCTTCAGGTAACAATGTGAGCTTTCAGTCGATGTGAGTACTGTCGAGGGCAGAGTTTCAGTTTGCTTCTGCTGTGTGATGGGCCCCACAAGCTTTTCTTTGTGATGCCCGATGGAATAATTGAGAAAGTCAGCATTGCACTTTTCTGCTTACGCGAAGGGCAGTGCAGGCGCAATGTTTCTCGTCAAGGAGCGTCTCCTGAAACATCCAGTCGGTCAGCAACCGCCCGTCGAAGTACAACTTGGTGTCCTTGGTGAGGGAGCCTACACTGACCTCTGGTGTCTCGCAGACAAAGTTGAGCCGCTGGAGGTCAATGCCGAGGCCGACCCCTTCCGCCTTGACAAAGCTCTCCTTCAGCGACTGCAACGTAGGAGACGGCACAACTCGGCACTGGTATACTGCCTTTCACCTTGCGGTGAACTGTAGTAGACGCGACAAGCCACCCAAGCGAATCCCATGCTACGAGAGTGTCGCGTTTGCATTTCTTCTCATTGGCCCAGGACCCCAACATGTTTTACAAACATGATAAATGATCTGACCTTGGATGTTGCTCTGTGTAGCTAGACGAGCCTCATAATGTGGGACGGCTACAAAGCCTCTTGTTTCAATTGGCCGAGTTAGTCTTCCTCAATCTGTCTAGACTTGTATGGCAAACACGGGCAACATGGAGTGGAAAAGGACATGCGCTTGTCCTTGTTTACTCCTGTGTTTGTGCACAAAAGTTTACTCAGTAAATGAACACACTAGCCCAACTGCAAGTCTTGCTAACCTTCTAACTGTCTGGAGGCGTCGACTGAAAGCATTGGAGCAGAAAAAAAGGCAACGAACCCAAAGTCTGTAGAATCGACGCAGGAGGTCACGTTCCGTGCCTGGACCTTCAATGAACCTCCATTCACCTGGAGTGAACTGACGCCGCATGAGAGAGAAGAATTCGCCGACTGTCTTTCCACCTAGTGAAAGGGAAAAAGAAATAGCCTGTCTTTATCATTTTGACTAACTAGGAAAGCGCAGAATGAGTCATGCATGCATTATGCAAGTTATAATTCGTTATCCTTAGATGTGGGATGTTTATGTGGTTTTGGACGTGTTGCAAGCATGATGCAATCATGTACGCTCTGGGTTTATCAAAATGACCACATTAAGTAAGTTTATTCCGGACCTGTGACGTCATGAGGTTACATGGAGAGGGAGCTATGCTTTGTTATTCGAAAGCCAGCTGTGCAGAGACAGTTGCATACTACTGCAGGCTCTCTCGAGTAATACACCTAACGGCACAGAGCAAAGGTATCGAGTTGTCGATCACACTTGGGTTAATGCCGCTAATTATGATCATTTAATTAGTTATGACTATGTATGCTTTGTGTGCTTGTATATTGCCTGCAACGGGCTAGGTATACTTTATGTTGCCTTAGCCGGCGTGTAACAACGTTCTTCGCGTGAGAACCAAACCAAGAGCACATTCTGTGCTAAAAAGGAAAAATAGAGATACCACGGATATTTTGGGAGTTTTCAAGTGAGGTAAACATCGTCTTGCACCAGTACTTCTACCCGACAGCGATGATTCCTACAGGTTATTTACCCGAATATTCGATCTTCATGACATCGACGCCCACCTTGGAGTAGTGGTCCGCGGCCAGCACACTAAAGTCTCCCTGATGTGAAACATTGAAGTCGAACGGCATATGCTCCTGGATGTCAGGATCCTCGACTACGGGACGGTTGTTTTCAGTCCTGCCCAATCTCAGCGCTTCGTACGGAATTTCCAGGCATTCCGAGATGCACTTTCGCAGCAGAAGGCGCCCGATCTGAAACGTGAAGCGCAGCACGCGTTGGAAGGAACAAATTTACTACGTCTTTTTTTCTTACAAAGTTGTCATCACCGACCATGGACGATTTGGCGTCTTTGGAGTAGACGAACTTGTCGATTCGGCACTTCTCTTCCGACTGAACGCAGCGGGTAGCGAAAAGCCACTCTTCCTGAGTCGGTTTCCAGGCCATGAAGTTGAACGCCCATCTCACTGATTTTCCGTTCATAATTTCTTAGAGACCACTCTAACCTAGCGCCAAACGAGGTCGTGAAAAACCGCCATTGTTGACACGGCCTGACTTCTGACTAGGATTATTTAGACAGAGTCACTCGTAGACGGATAGATTAGGGTAAACTAGGTCCGATAAACTAGCGCAACTAAAGGCACGGGGGTCACTTTTGCCCGGTGAGCGGGATAGCAGTTTTTTGCTCCAAGCTCTTCTGCCTCGTTGTGGCAGCGAGTTACTCGAATTCACCCTTTTATTATTTTACTTCAAACAAAGTTTAACTCATGACGTCAGGAGATATTTTATGCCCAAAACGAGTTGAGTGCAGGGTGGGGGTCATATACGTAGAAGTAGCGAACGCATCACAGTAACGATGACGTCAAATTTAGCTCCTTCTAAAGCGCTGACGGCTTTATAAACACAAACTGCAGCTATATTATGAAGTTATCTAGTATTATAAAAAAAAGAGAGTAAAGTAAAGTGCTGTTTTAATGCAAACAAAGTATAAATTAAGTATATATGTAACACATTAGACTCTGTACTTTGATTCTTTGGTGCAGGTCACTGCGGAGGAGACACAGCACGTGTCGAGTGGGTTCCTTTTTTCCAACATTTTAGAGGCAATGCTCAGGCCTCTCCTCATTATAACGACCTAATCTTTCGCCTTTTACTAAAGATTACCGTGGGGAGGGGCACTCCAATGAGCCTATAGGCCAATTTTTGGAAGGCCACTACCGTTTGGTAGAGGCCTAATATTGAAATCTAAAGGAAGAACTCGCGCACATCATACCAATACTAGCAATGCAGTATGAGTATGAGAGTTGCTGGTAGTTCCGATGTGCTGCTGGCGACTTCGGTTAGAAATGTATCACATTAAAGGCGGGAACACATTTGCGAAAAAACGAACCGAAAATCGGAGAGAAATCGGAGGCTGCGAAAATCGTAGCTTGCGATTTTCGGAAGACGAGCCACATGAGGTGGAATGCGCGGCGCGGAAATCGCAATGCACTGCGGTTTTCGTGCTCCGACTTCAGGAGGCTGCGCGGTACTCTGACGAACTGGCGTCCCATATTTCGCGCCTCTTAAAAACTTCAGCTATTAAAACCTCGTTGAATGCCACGCGAGCCTTTGTACCACCATCCTTTGATAAAGACAGAAGGGGTTTTCTACGAAGGTTGAGACGAGAACGCAGGGATGGCATACGATGTTGCCTGCGCGCTGCTTCCGAAGCTGCGTGAGCCGCCATGTTGCGAGCCGATCGTCTCTTTTCGTTCCGTCCTGTTCCGGGCTTTCGCTCATCGAGCTCCTCCGCCCCGAATTTGGAGGCGCCGTGCGAAAATATCTGGCGCTGCAGATCTTTCGAACCGCTCCCGATTTTCGGAAAAGGGGAGGAGCCTAGCTGCCGTGCGATTTTCGTGTGCGGTTTTCGCACAAAATTCGGCTTTTTTTCGCAAATGTGTTCCCGGCTTAACACGTGGCAAGTCCGCGACAACTTTCATTGGCAATGCAGCGGAAGGTACAGGCCCGCGTCCCCTCTCCCATTTTGAGTGTGCGCGGGCTCTCCTCCTCTCCCCGGAAATGGGGGAGGGGACGCGGGCCTGTGCCGCTGTGCCTTCCACTGCATTGCCAAGAAAAGTTGTCGCGTAGTATAGAAAGAAATAAAGAGAGGGGCTACCGGCGTGAGTCAGTTTTCCTTGGCATTATTATATAGTGAGGTCCTGATCGTTGTTTTAGAAGTCGTCCTCGAGGTCGTTCGAGGCGTCGTCCTAGTCGCCGTCCTCTAGGCGTCGTCTAAGCATCGTCCTAGACGTTTTAAAGACAATAGCTTCTCTGGTCCTCCATCTTCATGTGAAGTGAAAAGATTCTACAATCTTTTTTAGGGGCGAAAAGAAGTCTCTCTCCGTTGGTGCATTTGATGCTGGGATGGCATGCACAAACTGTGCTACAAGAATGAGGTCCGGAAACTCGCGCTGGCGCAAGTTCCACCACTCCAGAGGATCAAATTCAGTCTCCTCAATATATATTTGAGGCAAACCTCTGCAGGCTGATTCTACATTCTTTACGTTATGGCCAAAGAACGTTTTCCGCTCTTTCCGTGCCAAACAGGAACACGCTTCCAAAACAACTGATACTTCTGCGTTTTTCACTCTTTCTAGGGACAGCATTTTCGGCGGGTTAGAACATTCTAAAGCGATTTTTGGTGAGAATCCAATCTTTATTAACGTTAAAACAAAAACAACATATACAAAAAAAAATGGTTTTGGGCCGGAGTACAATTCGGTGGGCCCGGGCTTTTGGGTTGGCCCGGCCCGTGCAGTGTTGTAGTACAAATTTGTTCAAATAAGTGGGGCGGAAAATAGAGAACTCCGAAAAAAAAAAAAATCATAATCAAATGAATCATACCTACATTTTGCATACCAGGATACAAACGGGGACATTCTGGAGACGTGGGGAAGTTTGCACCCGGAAAAATCCCCAACTGAACGAAGCCGACGAAGCGGCGAAGCCATGCGCCAAGCGCGAAACTGGCGAAGCCCTGACGATGATGATGATGATGTAGACGTGGCTTCGTTTTTTTGCGTCATGAGTAAAAGCCGAATAGAAAGATGTCGTGTGTCGAAATATTATATTACTTTTAAGAGATAGTGTTCAAGCTGTGAATAAAAGGCATGTGTTGGTTATTTAGCGACTTTATATATTAAATAAAAGCAGCAAAGTCTACGTTCGCAACGGCATCACTGCGGAGTACAGGTCGCACGTGTCGAGTGGGCTCCTTTTTTACGACATTTGTAGAGGAATGCTGAGACCTCTCCTCATGAGGACGACTTAATCTTTTGTTTCTTCCTGAACCTGCTGTCCTCCACAGAAATGTATCGTGTATCATTTAATATTGTCACAATCAATATGTCCGAAGTTTCGCCTTTTACTAAAGATTACCGTGGGGATGACTAGGGGTGTCGCGAACTTTTGTCGAACCAGATTTTTTGGTCGAACTTTCGGGGTTCGGCTGGGTCGAACCGGTTCGACGAACCTTCGAACTTTTCACCAGATTCGACCGGTTCGACTTTGTGGACAGTGTGGCCAGACCTTGATACAAGCATGTCTAGGTTTGGAGAATTTATTTTTTATGCAAAAGGTTATTTCATTGTGTGGACAGCTGCAATTAAAAGAAACTAATTCTATTCACTGAAGAAGTTAATAACTTAAATTTTAGTACTGTATTGACTGAAATAGCCGATCAGCGCTGCACTTAATTCATCTCTTAGCCATTACCATCCAATCCGAAGCTAACTGGCCAGCCTGTCGCGCATGCGCACACGAGTCGAACCTCAATACAAGCATTTTGTTCTTAGCCCGAGACTGAGGCAGGAAAAGAGGAAAGTTTCGAAGTAGAAGAAAAATGAACAGTCGAGGACACGTCTCTAACACAGCTAAAGACAAGTTTATTTGGTCACCTTCTTATATACACTCCACAAACTTCACCACAGCACCTTCCCGATCTCGAAAGCCAAAAGATAACAAAGGTCTCACATCTTTCCACCACAATTGTCAAACGACCTTGACGTTTTCCACAAAGCAATGAACAATAGCTCCCCTCATCCGGAAGACACTTGTGAATCCTTCGCGTACACAGTACACTCTCTCCCTCTACTCTCCGACCCATAATAACAAAGCATCCCGGTAACAGAAGATATCAATCCACGTGATACACAAAGGAAGAAACCACTTACACCTTCACATTCAACAAGCACTTCACAAAACTTTCAAATCCGCAAGAATGATTTTGCGCTGCTGCTAAGCTGTAACGACACATGACTAATGCAGTTGCCCATTGATTTCATTCTCATTGTTTCTTTTACAACCCTTTTGATGTCGTTTAACTCCCTGTGTATTATCTCTGTTTCAGACCAGTGGGGTATACAATTATTACATTCTTGAACATGTTTCGCTATTTCCGAATTGGCAACGTTGTTTTTGACATTCCTTTTGTGTTCAGTCAATCTGTCATTTATACACCTTGACGTCTGCCCCACATATTTAAAGCCACATTCCAGCCCCACATATTTAAAGCCACATTGGCGTCTGCCCCACAAATATGTGGGGCAGACGTCAAGGTGTATAAATGACAGATTGACTGAACACAAAAGGAATGTCAAAAACAACGTTGCCAATTCGGAAATAGCGAAACATGTTCAAGAATGTAATAATTGTATACCCCACTGGTCTGAAACAGAGATAATACACAGGGAGTTAAACGACATCAAAAGGGTTGTAAAAGAAACAATGAGAATGAAATCAATGGGCAACTGCATTAGTCATGTGTCGTTACAGCTTAGCAGCAGCGCAAAATCATTCTTGCGGATTTGAAAGTTTTGTGAAGTGCTTGTTGAATGTGAAGGTGTAAGTGGTTTCTTCCTTTGTGTATCACGTGGATTGATATCTTCTGTTACCGGGATGCTTTGTTATTATGGGTCGGAGAGTAGAGGGAGAGAGTGTACTGTGTACGCGAAGGATTCACAAGTGTCTTCCGGATGAGGGGAGCTATTGTTCATTGCTTTGTGGAAAACGTCAAGGTCGTTTGACAATTGTGGTGGAAAGATGTGAGACCTTTGTTATCTTTTGGCTTTCGAGATCGGGAAGGTGCTGTGGTGAAGTTTGTGGAGTGTATATAAGAAGGTGACCAAATAAACTTGTCTTTAGCTGTGTTAGAGACGTGTCCTCGACTGTTCATTTTTCTTCTACTTCGAAACTTTCCTCTTTTCCTGCCTCAGTCTCGGGCTAAGAACAAAATGGTTAACATCCACCAGCTCGCCTGCGCAATCACTACATTATCTCAATACAAGGTTCGACGAACTTTCCACTAAAAGTTCGAAAACGTCGAACCTGGTCGAACTCGAACCGCGGCCGGTTCGCGACACCCCTAGGGATGACATTTTCCACAGGGGCGCCGCCATCTTGAATTGTCGTCACTTCCAGTATGGGTAGAGGCCTAATATTGAAATCCAAAGAAAGTTTTTGTGTAATCCGTCCCTTCTCGTTTTCTGCCTCAAGTTTAATTAATTTGGTGAATTAATTTACCCCTTGACAATTATGGAGCGAATTACTGGAGAGTCGGATTCTGGATGTTTCGGAAGGTCGATCTAGTGATGGGACGAATCACCGGAGATACGGATTCGGACAGAATCGTAAATATCCGAACTTCCCGCGACGAATATAATCGGGGATTCGTCGCTGGTTGCAGACGGCAGCGTAAACCTTGTCGTTAACCTCGCGAATGCGGTCAGTTGCGTTTTTTTTTTTTTTTTTTTTTTTTTAGGTACTGTTATTGCATATAACCATATTTCGTCTTGTTTATATTAGCGTATGGTATGTACTGTACTGTTAATCTAAACCCTGGCACGCGCCCAGGTCCAGCTGAGCCGATCGGTGTGGTTGACGTAGGCCTAACCAATGCACGGTCTCGGTTTCTGGGCGGTTTTGCGTTGATCGATAAATGTAGTGAAATGCTGTGTATTATACATAATGTGGCGCAACGCATAATAAATATATTCAGGCAAGGAAAAGATTAGTCTCCTTCTCTAGGGCTGCGTATGTCTGTACCTGTAAGGCGCGAGAGGCCTTACAGGGGGTCCCCTTACAGGTATTGCTCGTCACAACTTCGACCGCGCATTGGCACCGGTGGCAAAGAAAAAACGTTGCACTGTCATTTCTCCGTTCTCGGCAGCAAGTTTTGTATACGTGAACTTTATTTGATGAAAAAGAAACGCAACAAAGGGGTGTCCAACGCAACTTTATTGTTCGGAAACAAACATTGTAACTAAATCGGATATCATTAACCAGAAAGGTACAAACGCAGTACAGGAGACTGTAATAGTATGGCGCAAGGAGTTTCAGGTTGTTTCCGTTCTGATAACAATACCTCAGTGGACACACTATGAAGATAATCGAATCGAAATTACTCACTTGTGTGCCACTATGACCGTAATTATGGGCACGAAATGTGTTTGTACCGAACAGCATGTACGGCATAGATCTCTCGCGGCGATGAAAACATGCACTTGTATTTCCACGAGCACCAAGCTTGCCTATTTTGGTTGTAATCCGGAACCAAAACCAATTTTCCCGCGATACCGTTCTCGACCAACATCCAAAATAGTATAAACAAAGTGGAACATTTTATTTATTACTACGATATATTACAACATTATTTTGTGCACTTTGTAGAATTTAGTAAATTTAATATCACGAAAAGTTGAAGCACTCATCAACATGATATGGCAAGCTCCTACGAAGCAGAGTAGCGCAATCCTTTGATCCGCGTGTGTCGCCGACAACATGGCCGACAGAGCGGCTCGGCGCGAGTCACGTGGTACTCAGGGTTCCAGGAGGCGGCCCGCCCTATGGGAGAATACATGGAGATCGACTCAACACGGCTGATTAAAAAATAAACGCCGTTCACACTTTTCGAAACTAGTCTGTCGTGAAGTTGGTAAAGCGATAAACACTTTATCAAAGTTTTAATAATATTGAATGCGTGTGAAAATTTTGCGAAGGCAATTTTCAAAGCAATGGCGTTTGAAGCAGACGATTTTTTGACGCAGCGGAGATGGACTTTATAGATTGGCCGGAGCGGGTCACGTGAACGGTGTGACGTCGCCGCGTCGTCTGCTGCATGATGGTGCTTAGGCAATTTAAAAAAAAAAATTAAGTTACTTCATGGCGCACAACTTAGCGCAAATTATTGTAAACTACTATTGTTGTTCCATAGATCACCAAAATAATAAGGAAGCAGCGATTTACTCCCGTTCCCCATGCATTTGTGGTTGGAGTTGGAACCCCCGGGCGTTCGCCGCTAGTCGCCGAGGGACGGCGTTCTAGATTGTGGTACTCTGCTCCGAAGGAGCTATATAGTACTCTAATGGCAACCATGGCAACACTCCAAATCTTTTCAAACTTTTTTGATTCGCTTGAGATTCGGCTCCGAATCTCGATTCGGGTAATGATTCGTCTTATCACTAGTTTCACTGGTTTGGTCGTCACTCGTCGTAGGTCGTCTTCTTCGCCGTCCGCCGTAGATCCTGGCAAGTTTATTTTTTACAGAAAGAGAGATACGCTTTGTATTTTTACAAGAAAAACACCGACCTGTGAAATACACCTCGCCAGTACCGCACGGACATGCTGTACCAGCAGGGGTCAGTAGTGTGAGAAGGAACGAGGATTGAGCTCTGCGACGGATGGATGCAGTCCGTCTGCTGGTGACGGTGCCTTGTGTAGGATTTTACGGTGGTGACGCGAATCACATTCGTATGGCCAAACTTCCGAAGGGGTGAGTGCGCGCGCGCATACGTTACCCTCTTCGTGGTCGGGGATCCACACCCCAGCTTGATGCAGATGATGATGATGAGATGATGCAGAGGTGGACACTCCCCACCTTGACGCTGCTTGGTTCTGGAATCTGCTAATATGAAAATAAAGCATGAAGACTAGGATGCAACATGTCATCTTGCCTGGATGACAATGTCATCCGATGATTCAGGCAAGATGGATCTGGGGTACTCGCAGCGACTAAAGTTTCCAACTACTGTTTGTCGGTCAGCAGCTTCAAGACTTTCGCTACAAAAGACACACTTTTAAGCTCTGAATGGTGCCAACTTTATGGAGGACTCGGCACGAAGCTTACATGAGTAGATAGACGAACCTGTAGAGGTTGGTTCACACATTAGCATTTGACTGCGACCACATGCATTTTGATCTCTTGCCACTGCTTATAATGAGAAAACATACAACAGATCAGTGGAACATACCGACACCATATGTCAGGGAGCCCTGGAACAGCATATGACTAGACAAAAGGTTTTACAGTATCTGCGAGGTAAGATCTACGCAATATCTATGAGAAGCGGTCGCTCATAACACTGTCATAAAGCACTTCAAGCTTCTGGTAAAAGCATAATGCGTAAAAAATTATAAAACAAGTGCAGGGTCCAAGGCTCCCTGATAGATGGTGCCAGCGTGCTCTTTCATCATAACCGGTCACAAAAAATCACAATGCACTCGGTCACAAACGCAAATATGCGAAAAGAATCGCACAACCACGGTGGGAAATGGTTCTGTACATTTCATTGTGACGAGTAAAAAGACGACAAACGTTGGTTTCTTTGTATACCATGGTACATTTAAAAACAATGCAATCTAGCCGATCCACCAACGAATCAGGACTCTCCCTTCTTCCTCCCGTAGATGAGCCGCGCCTTCACTTTCTTCGGGTTGAGACCGTACGCCTTCAGCCGAATGTCCGACATCTTGAGCGCCGAGGTGGCGTCGTTCTGTCTCTGGGCACGGACCTGCTTTGGAACGCCTCCCTTCTTCACCTTGTTTCTCTTCTTTTTGCCATTTGTTAAAGCGGGGCCAGTCCGAGCCTTTTCCACGGTGGGTGTGGCCTCGGTAAAACTTTCCGACTTCAGAAGCCTCTGTTTTTTTGCTTGAGGGATAGTGTCGACGGCCGTCTTCTTGTCTTCAGGGCTCCTTCCAGAGTTCAATTGCTCCGAGATGTTCGAAGTTCTTGCAGTGCTGTGACTGGATATCTGTTTGGCCGTTTCATTACCTTCGTCCACAGCTGGTAAAGATTTCTTCTTACGTTTCCTTTTTCGTTTACTGGAGCTCGAGTCTGCACCGTTCTTTGCCGCCGCTTCAGAGGAAGTAGTCTCGGGCTCGCTAATGAAAATGGAAAAAATCAGAAAGGGCACGCCTCAATGACCAGAACAAAAATATTTTTAACACTGACAAATCTTTAACGTTGTTTGCGATTACTACAGCACCGGCTGGGTGCTGACATCATTTTATAGAAGAAGAACTGAGCAAACTATAGTCGGTGACAGCTTAAGAACTCTCGTGGAACTCGGTTTCGAGCCTGTGGCAAGAATTAATCGCACGAGCAGGCAAGGCCCAGGGAAGGCAACGGGTGCATGCTGGGGGCAGAGAATGCAAAGGGCTCTTAGCCCGCCACTGATCTGTTGTGGCTCGCTAGACTGCCCTTCAACTGCCGAAATGAACCGTGGCAGACAGACCGAATTCAGCACTCGTGACCTGATGCATGCCTGATATGAAGGAACAAAAACTTCCGACTCACCCGGGCTGGAACAAGCTTGGAAATATCTTCCGCTTCAGAGCCAGGTTAGACGCCTTCTTTTTGTAATTCTGGAGTTCCTGGAATTCCTCATGCTCTGGCCTGCAGAAAAAGTGATAGCACATGACTCATAAAATCTCGAAGAGATACATAGCACCGGTGCAGTTGCAGGCGAAATAGGATGGAATCGGCAAACGCAATAATTAATGATCCACATTTGTGCGATCAGGCAGAACAAAATAAAACATGATTTCAGTTAAAAGGTCAATCGGTCATATTGGTAGACTGGTTTGAACTGTTGATAAGTAGATAAGAACAAGGGCAAGGGATACACTGCAGAGCGCTACGCTTCTAGTTGTCTCATCGGTCTCGAGTAATGCTGAGTCTCTTTATGTCCCCAGAATAGCAAAAGTTTTACATTTCTACTTTTGTTGTTTGACAACACAAGTAGAAATTTAGTTCCCAGAGAGCCCTTGTTACAGGAACTCGAAACAGAAATTAATTCATTGCTTGCCCGTCCCAGTTGGTTTTCAGACCAACAAGGCAAAACAAGTAAAAGGAGCATACTACGAACGGCACCTCTTTCATCTAGTTCTATGGCAGCAGTCCCACTGAGGTGCCAAGGGGTTCTAGCAACTGCAATCTTTGCAATCTTGGGACCAGACGGCTGTACGCTACGATTATTATTCTCTGCGACTCTACGTTCCATGATGTCAACCCACCTGTGCTGACACGTCTTCTTCACCGAACACCACCGGTTTAGCTCCTTGTCCTTCGCTGCCAAGATCTGAAACAATAAATGGCAGTTTCATGTTTGCTGCACTTGGCAAGTTGGCGAAGTGAGAAGAGGTTCTGCTCTTATTGCCTCTTACCTCGTCAACACTCAAGCCGAAGTCGTTGGGAACCACGCTGCGATACCGGAACCGGGTGGGCATCCCTCCGACTATGTCTTCGAAGTCCAGCTTGTAGTACTCGTCAAAGTACTCCTCAAACGTCTTGCTGGCTGCAGCGACCATAGCATGGACGAAGTACAATGAACCATGTGGGTCTGGACAAGATATACCATAACGATGGTGTACGACTTCAAGGTGACAGAAACAACAAGAAGAAACCTTGGAAAAGAAAGACAAAGTCTGCTAAACCGCTTCAGCTGTGGAATTCAGGGTAAGACTTTGTGTCTCCTTACCACAAAAAAAATTGCAATGTAAAGATAAAAATATGAATTATGCTTATGCCCTACATTCAGATGAAGTGAAAAGAATAAGCAATATCTACAAATTATACAAAACATAGAATTTGTATCATCCTAATTGGTCCTGTATGACAATGCAAACTATAGTACGGTCATAGCTAGAATTGTAGCCGCCCCTGAAGAACCAAGTCGGGTTTGAAACGTTGGGCCCCTAGTTCTTAGGGATTGGTTGAAGTTCCTTTTGTTTTCTAAGTTTTTACCCAACCAGACAGATATCCGTCAAATGTTTAGCTTTAGGTCGTAGCTATGCCAAACACTGAGAAGCCTATTAAAGTGACTGTTTCCCTAGATTGAAATTTCACTTCTTCAGTGCTTATCTCTCAGTGTTTAATTATTATGTATTACCCATCTTTGTAACATCTACTGATGGGTTTCAGTATTGGCAACAAGAACAAACTACTGTCACACATTTTGCAGTTCACCTTCCACAAACTCGACACCTAAAGTATGTTGATAGAAGTAAACTTTGGTTACATTTAATTTACCAAAAGGAAACATCACTAGAAACAGTGTGGATATGAGCACTTGTTTTTTGTCGCTCCGATCGAAAACTAATAAATACCGTAGGCTATGTTTCTTGCTCCCACAGCTGAGACATTCTGCTGGACTGTTCAATTTTCTTACCAATAGAAGAGATCATAACAGCAACTCAATACTGTACTGAAATGGCTGTAAAGACTTGGCAACCCTCCTTGAAACCCTCACAAAACAAGGCTTACAGGGGTCAAAGAGCGGCTTCTTCTTGCTGATGGTTTTTGCAAAGACAGATCTGCGCCGTCGCTTGCCGCGCCTCTCCCCGTCACCTGTCCAGTCTGAAGTCTATGAAACAAGAGAAAAGCACAGAGGTCAGTGGAAACTCGGAGATTCGTTCGTAAAACAGACCACATCTATCTCCAGGTGCCGTCCGGCTGTGAAAAAAAAGAACCGCATTCTTTGGCCCGTGTAAGTAAGCTTTGCTATGCGTTGCGAAAAGCTCAAGCTACGTAAGAATGTGATGCTAGCTGTTGGAATGCAACGCAAAAGTTTGAGAACACAACGTTACTCGATTATTACAATCGAGAAAGACGAAATTTCCCTACGAGCCGACATCCACTTAAGCATAATTACATCAAAACCACCATGACATTGTGGGTTTGAAGCGTTAGTGTACATGCTGTACTAGTACGCCCAAATTTGTCTGAATTATAGAAGGTGCCAGTCACACAATGGATTCTAATCAATTTGTCTTTTAGTCTCGCTGCTTCAGTAGGTGAAATGCAGCTGAATCCTCACCTCCGCTCTCTCGCACAGAGTATTGCAGGCATGCTGTGCCACTTCCTCATGATGCATGCCCCATATATTCGTAATCAAAACTTGTTTTTCAAAGTTGGAAGAAGGAGTCACTTCAGCTGAGACTTTTAATGGGTCTCAATTAGAAAAATTACGAGTCTCAATTACCTAAAGGTTTTCACATTAGGAGTGCCCTAGGAGTCTCAATTCCTTTTAACCGCGAGACCTTCCGAATTGCCGGTGTAGGAAAAGCTTCTACGACATGTGTGGCAGAATTTGTCTACCGGGGCGTACTGCGATCAAATCTCTCTTACTGCTTAGCAATACTTTAAATTGCTTTATGTGTACAACATGATCGACATTCCGGGAAACCCTTCTAAATTTCCGAGGGGCCGAGGAAGTTGTGGTACGGTGCCCAGAAAGCGTCTCCAACCGGTGTGTTTAAGGGGGAACACTGGTCTTGGAGCTTTTTTTCTTATTTTATGAACAAACTCAATGAAATTGAACACACTTGTTCAGCTTTTTGTGCTGATTTCATATATCTGGTAATTTCCTCAGTCAGTAAAATTTTCATGAAGGTAATTAAAACTTGCCTGCCTTTGTTTGGAGGAATGATATGGAAAAAACTGCTCAACAAAATATCTTTTTTAACACTTGGCCAGATACTACGAAGTGTAAAGAATACAATGTTGGAAGTACTTTTAAGATAAACCCATTATTAGTGATGTTACAACATATTGAAGTTCAGTGCTCAATGCATGGCTAACAAGTAATAAAACAAAAAATCATATAAAAAATTTTCTAGACCTATATTAAAAAATCTGCTTTCAACATTGTATGCTTCACACATTTAGCAACACATTTCAAGAAAGATTATATTTCTGACTGGTTTAGATGCTGAGATATCCTTTCTGCAAATTTTCAATGAGTCCAAAATTTCTGTTATATGAAACAATGTTTTAGAGTCAACTTAAATGCACATTCAGCCCACATAGACATTATAAATTGATTTATATCTCAAATATTCATCCACGAAATTAGAAGCCTGGTAGATTCAGAAGAACAACAGCCATTGCCGTTTTCAAAAGAACACAGTTTTAGGAAGTTTTTGGCTCCAAAGACCCATGTCCCCCCTTAACGTCGTATTCCGCCAGCGCATCAAAAGGGGTCCCGACACGACGTCACAAAAGCCGGAGTGTCGCGCTGTCGGACGTCGCCATTCCGACGCTTGGGTGCAGAAGTCCCGACAGAAAGCACGAGCGGACGTGAGTGTCGCCGTCGTTGCGGCGTCCCAACTGCCGGCTGCCGAAGCTTCCGTGAACTGTCGAGCTGGAAAGCCACCTGCAGCAGAACAGGCGTCTGCCACATCATCGCCGCTACGACACCGCCAGGGTCGCGACTGGTGACAGCGTGACATGTCTACGACGTCATCGGGAGGAGATAGAGGGACCACTCTTTAGGACGCGGTTAACACACCAGGCAAAGACACGTTCCAGGTACCGCAGTTGTCGTGAGCTCACCGACGGGTCGGCTTTGTCGTAGTCTTCTCCGTTGTTGTCGCAGCCGTAGCCGCCTTCGTCGCCGGCTTCCTCCTCGCCCTGCTCCCCATTCCAGTTGTCCCAGTCTTCCACTAATCAGAGACACAAATGAATTATGAAGCACTGCCTCGCTGTACAATGAGACTCTCTCTCCAACCAGTACCGTTTTAACAACCTCTTCGCCGTTTTTAACCCTTGGAGTGCCGAGTTTTTGTTTCCGCAGGCCGAACGCAAATTTTGGTCTCGGTAACAATGTTGCGTGCTCTGTGAAGAATAGTTATTTATCAAAGATGCACTATTTTATGGGCAAAAAGTTTAACTAATGTCTGCGTGCCTCCAGCATACGACGTATTTTTCGTATTTTACTTTTCGAGACACGGTGCCACGCACCTCCAGTTTGCACCCCGAGGTTGCTCTCTTGAATGGCCTCACTCGGCCTTTGTCACTCGAAAGTGTAACTTTCTCGTTTTCACGGTCATCAAATACCGAGTTCACTAGTAACTCCAAAATTTCGGTGCTTGCCACAAAGCGAGGAATTGAACGACATCGGTTTGCCATTGCATAGCAACGAAGGAGAACACCAAAACATGTACAAAAACACCCGTAGCTTCCTGCGAGGAATCCACTAACAGACACAGATAGCCTTAACAGGTAATTTCGCTTTTGAAACTGCTCCCGAACATGGTGTCAGGCACATAGCCAAGGAAAAACCAGCCCCCAGCCCCAGCCCCAGCCCCCCCCCCCCCCCGCCCCTGAAATCGTCCATTTTGCTGGGGCCTCCTCTCCCCCCTTCCCCTTCATACAGCATTTTGTCATCAACAGCTCCGCCCCCCCGCCTGCCCCCCGCCGAAACAAAACCCTGGCTACAGGCCTGCATGGTGTCGTGGAACAAACCGATCGGGCATAAAATCTTTCAAGTTCAAGGCTAAGCGAAATCTTGAAGAGAAGAATTTACTCTCCAATTATTCCTGGCGAATAATAAGGATCGAATGACGCAACTTACAGCCAACCTCCTCGTCAACGGGGTCTTCGGGCTTTTGCTCTTCGCACGCCTGTTCGTAGTAGTCCTTGTTGAAGATGTCCTGCAGAGGGAAGACCCCGTGCCACTCTTAAAGGGGAGCCTGGTCAGTTTTTTTTAGCTACCTAAGGTAAACCAATGTTCCGAATACCCAGGCTTTACTCTTTCAGCATTATCTCCAGACTCAACATAGCTACCGAGAAAATGGCAAATGGAGGTGGTGCCAAAACTAATGTTCTAATTTTCCCACACTCCGCAGCGGAGGAGTTAATCAGGCAGTCTAAAAAGACATGGGATTATACCACCTGATGTCACATTTTCAGTGTTGCCAGTAGAGCCTTTCAGCCTCTAAAACCAAATATAAAACTTCAATAGGCTTCTTGCACCTGAAGTCACTTCCGGTTAGACTCGAAATCGAAACCAACATTCTCGTCTGTTATCAGTGCATCCGTGCCATGTTGGAGGCAATCGGCGTCTTATTGCGGCAGCAGTAGTGCCGTATAGTCAGAGAGCCGTCTTTGTATAACAGCATTTCAAAATATTCTCTTGTCCTAGTCAATCGCAATGAGGTTACTCACCTGACACGGAGTGCACTCCACAAACCTTAAGTTGGAATACGAAGGTCTTCTGTCGAGATCATACAGTTAATATAATAATCTAGAAAGAAAGGTTCGAAGCATTTGGCCACATCCGAACGGCGGCCAAATGCTCCTCCTCCTCCTCCTTCCCCCCCCCTCCCTCTAGCGATGTTACTGGCGCAGTCCCTTTTAATCAAGCGGCGGCGGCTGGTGCCAGCTACCTAAAGCTTTTAATTTATTAAATTACCTTGCGATGTCGCAGCATCTCTGGCCATCCAATGGGCAAGACTCGCACGAAACTCTCACCAAACATGTTTTTCTCCAAAAATATTGTATATAAAGCGGATTTTCAAAGCTGTGGTGGCGTAGCTCTGTGATAACACGACCGCTTCAAACATAATGAACCTAGGATTGAATCTCCAGAGCAGGGGGCTATTTTTTTTCAAGCAGTTGGAGATGTCGCGACGGACGCCCTGCGCCCTATTATGTTAACTATGACGCCAACAACTACGACGTTGGCGAATGTCACTTCAGTGGTTGGAAAAACCCATAACTGCTATTGCAGTGAAACAAACGAGGTGGAAAAATTCAGACAGGAGAAGAACAGAGGGAGGATAAAGGAAAAAAAATGCTCAGGCTTTTGCCAGACCCCTATGAACGAGTAATATGCTCACAGGTGTCACACGATCATGTGTGACAATCACATCACATCGTCATGTCATGCGACATGGTGAACTCGCCCACTAAGTTTAGCATGAAAATTTCCCTGCTGAACGAAGCGGTAAAAAGATGCGTCCTCCATCCGTGACATTACATCACTTTTTCAAATTATTCTCCCGCACCAAGAAAACATATTTTACATTAAGAAAAAACGCCGAGGCACACACAACACACATACGTCAAAGGCAAAGCACCACTAAGCCAGTCGGCAAACAATGTTGGCCGACACTCGACCACGAGACACTCGAGACACTAGCCGACGCTGCGCCGATGTCGAAACAAACTCGTGCCGACATCAGACCTGCGCTCTGTGTGCCCCACACATAGTGTGTTTCGGCCGCGGTCACACCGCTACTAATACATTGCACAAAAGACAGCCTGCACATGCCGACTGAGACGTGTTTCTTCCCTGCACGAAGGCCTTGTCGCGTCGGTCATAGAAAACCAGTATGCTGACATGTTCGAAGCACACATATGCAAAAAGCAAACATGCTTGAACATGTTTGCTTCCGCAGATAATTTGGACATCGTGCAATTCGTGGAATTCGGGCATCTTTTGTGCGATGTGTTAGCAGTGTGACTTTGCGGCAAATGCGGAGTCAGTCCGTCTAAGTCGGTCAGGGAGGCCCGAGGGATCGAGAGGGGACTTACATTCATGCGTCGGTCGTACTCCTGGGGATCAAAGTCGCCGTCAATGTCCTCGTCTGCAAAGCCCACTTGGTCGTTGCCGGTGATCTCCTTGAGCCTTTCCAGCTTGTCCAGAATCTCCTTGCGCTTGAGTGCCTTCAGACGCTTGATCTCCTCCTTCTTCAGCTCTTTCTCCTACAGCCGCCGAGGCAGAGATAAGACAGACATAAGAAGAAACATAAGAAAGCACGAAAAAACAACATCAACAAAGCAGTATCTCTTTTCTATCGTAATATACCCAGAGACGTCCCTCCACTGATAGATAACTTGCCACCCATTTTTTAACTCGAATTGCTATTTCTTAAACACCAATAGATACCCCACTTCTAGCAATCATCGTGTTCGGATCAATAACGGCCTCGGGGTAAATGCGGCTAGTTAGCTAAGTTGGGATACAAGCGAACATTGCTGACTGGGAAGTACAGTCATCTTTGCTTCATTGCCCCTAGCCATGATTACAAGTTTGGCAGGAACACACAACCTAAAAAATAGCATTTTTTCAACTTTTTTCGATTGTACACCGAAAGTTAGCCCACTCCTAATTTTCACCCGATCTGCTCTTAATTTTAGGTGCGCTCAGGCTGTTAAGGTATATGGAAGGTCACTCCGAAAATATTCTGTTTCTGATACAAGGTCCAGAAACACAAGATTGTGGCGACAAGCAAGTTTATTACAAAGCTGTGGGGTACAAGGTCACTGACTACCACAATTCATGTTCTCCTTGCCAGCAATTTGTCGTCAGTAGAGAACTTGGGTTCCGTTGTGACCAGTACAGCAATGCTGTAACCCCTCTCACAATACATATCCTGTAACCAATCAGACACACACACAAAAAAAAGACGTTTTCAATTTTTGTAATGTCGAATTAGAGCTCAGCTCTTGAGGAGGGGATGGTATGCCCTTCCTCCTCCTCCCCTCCTTTTTACTGCTCCCCTCCCATTTCGCGGACAATTTTCACTAAACTTAGCGAAACTTTCCCCGCTAAGTTTAGCGAAAATCTTCCCGCTAAATTGAACAAGGACTTTGAATTGGTGTTGATGTCACGTAATATCAATTTCCCCGTTAAATTTAGCAGGGAAATTGAATTTATCTTGAGGTCCCGTGACATCAATTTCCCGCTAAATTTAGCAGGGAAATTGGTGTCACGTGACCTCAACACCAATTCAGTTTCTCCGCTAAATTTAGCGGGGAAACTGTGACGTCCCATAATGCAATGCGTGCGGTTACGCCGACGGCGACGCCGCTTAACCCGGAAACGGGCGCCTAAGAGCAGCGCCCTGAAAAGTTTTAAACTTTGGCACTGACATTTATCCCATGGCAACTGACAAGATATGAATAGCAAAGTGCCTCTTTTGAATGCCCAGACTCCAGCATGTGCTCGCTGCCTTTTGCAAGGATTTGGTTGCACGTGCTCGCTCGATGCTCCCAGGACGCCAAAGCATCATCGAGGATAGGCAGCTTGCACTGGAGGCGGGAGATCTCAAATTTCTCCCTGCTGTTCTCATCTTGTCGGTGATTATAGCCCATGTCTTGCTTCAGTGTCCCAACACTGTACTAACTTTTTCTCATTGTTGGGAAGTATGTTAAGGGGGAACACTGGTTTTGGAGTTTTCATCCTTTTTCTTTGATGGAATTCAACAGTCCTCAAGATAATTAAAACTCACCTGCCTTTGTTTTCAGGAACAATAGAAACACATTTACTGAACAAAAAATGGTGTTTAATGCATGTCTAGATACTACGAAGTATAAAGAATACAATGTTGGAAGTACTTTTCCAACATTGTAAGTTCGTCCAATATGGACGAACTTATACCCATGGGAAACTTAGTTTTGGAAAAGTTTCTTTCGTGGTCAAAAATAAATGGTCTTAAAATAAACACTGTAAAGTCCAAAGCAATTTTGTTTAGACCTGTAAATAAGCACGTTATTAGTAATTATACTCTAGAGATTGGAACTGACCAGATTGAAATAGTTAAACAGCACAAAACGCTAGGTGTCATTTTTTCAGAACATATGCAATGGGATAATCACATCGAATACTTAGTTACGAAACTGTCAAAAGTTGTTGGAATAATATGCCACTGTCGCTCCTTGTTGCCTGTAAATATTAAAATGCAAATTTATCATGCTCTGTTTAGCTCACAAATTAACTATTGTCATTTGGTTTGGGGCACAACAACCAAATCTAATATTAACAAACTCACGATCCTACAAAAGAAAATGCTGCGTTTTATTGCAAACGTGCCTTACGACACTCATACTGAGCCATTATTTCTTAAATTCAACATCATGAGGATTGCCAGTGTATACGAGTACCGTTTGCTATGTTCTTATTTATTTTCGACCGCTGAGTTTGCTTCTTTTTTGTCTAATGTATCCCATCTGACAAAACGTGAATCCTTCATCCTTGTCAGACGCAGAGAGTTCTGGAACGTGCCTCATTTTCGTACAAATTATGCACTCCAATCTATTGCGCATAACCTGCCTTCATTACTTAACAAGTTCCTTATAGACCACAATGATATTCACTGTTTAACAAAAAAAGATGTACGTGTTTGTTTTGTTTAGTCAAAGTGTATTCTGTAGTACTTGTTTTTTTTTATAATGCCCTGTAAGTGCAGGGGCACCAGGCCCAGTCAAGCTACCTCATGGAAGCTTTTTGTCTGGTGCCCTCAGCACAATATTGCTGAAAATAAATATTACTTACTTACTTACTTACTTTTGAGATTAAAACGTTATTAGTGATTTTGCAACACATTGAGTGTGGCAACTAAGTAATAAAACAATAAATCAGTTAAAATATTTCCTAGAATTTTAGTAAAAATCTGCACTCAACGTTGTATGCCTCACATGTATAGCAACATACTGCAAAAAAAGTTCTAGTTCTAGCTATCCTAGACGTTGAGATATCCCTCCTGCAAACCTGCAAGGAGCCCGAAATTTGTGCTTGAAGAAAATTCCATTTCAGCATCAACTTCCAATGCTAAATAGGTTGTCAGCGAGAATAAAACAACCACTTTGTGGCACCTGACTTTATCCAATATTCACCGCCATTTGGGAAAATAACTGATGTATCCCCGATTACACCAAAAACAATGCATATCAGTTAAAAACAAACAAAAAAACATTGTATACTATAGGAGAATGAAAGGGCACCATGAAAGATTGTGTTAAAAAGTACTTGTACTTTACTTTGAAATACATTGTACTTATAGTATTTTACTTTACATTGTGCCCAATGTGCTTACTACTTGAAGTACCTAACCTCTCATTTACTTTGTACTTCACATACCTTTTAGGCATATTTACCCAACACTGCCCTCTCTACTCAAACCTAGAACAGCCTGTGAACAAAGCCTATTCATGAACCGGCCTTGTTCATAGCCAAGATCAGAACTCCGTCATAATCTTAGCATGACAGATTGTTGCGTTAAAATTGTAGCCATACATTCCATGCAAACAATGCAAAGCAGACAAGAAGGATGCTCTGAACGTGCCTCTTGCTTCCGTTCCCGCGTCTCGTGCCTCTTCACACTCCGCCGGTCATCTTTCCTTCGCATCGAGTCTTGCATCGTTCTCGGATACTTTTTGATCTGCGGAAACAAAGACGGCGCAACTTTGAGGCTTGTTTTCAGTCGCGCAATGAAGGCTGCATCCACAACATTCGTGGTACTTCGCACACACTCCAAAATTAAGATGAAGAAAGTTTGCACCACGAGTACGACGATCTAACGGCCAAAACCAATTCAAGTGCGTCCCTTTTCTGCGCTGACTCCGAACGCATAACCAACCACCAAATGAAGTGAAGAAGCTGGACCGAGCTAGGAGGAACCTGCATTAATTTGTTTTAACAACTTTTAACATATATGTGATAGGTTAGCCTGCTAGATTTTAGTGCTAAAATTAGAAAATGTCGCTGTTACTGAAGACAATTACCAATTGACAAATTGGAAAAAACCCTCCACATATGAGTTACCACCGACAAAATCAGTTTATGCAGTTTCCACAGTCTATATGGCAACTCTTTAACCACGGAATTAGACAAAGGTAAACAATCAACGACGAGAATCTTTATTGGACACGCTCACTTTCTCCCATCGAAGCGAAATGTACTGATGCTGTGGGATTGATTGCGATGACTTTGTAGCTCTTTTTTAAGACGCCAAATCGTTGTCAGATCTATGCATTAGGAAGCTTTTAGGAACAAATCACTAGAATACAGTTCATTTATCAGCAAAGCCCCCGATTTCAATTGCCAGCATTTTGAGGAATCCCGTCATACTTGCGTGCCTGAAAAATGCAGATTGAAAACTTCCGCTGAAAAAGTTGTTGGCCATTAAACCCGATGTTCCACCTCTAGGACACCACAAAAATGGCTCAACTTCAAGGCTCCATCCTAAAGTTACCAACACGAAGGCCAAAGGCTTCTTATCAACATCCTTGCCTGCGCCTTTTTGTGGGCTACCTCGGTGGCTTCCTAGGCAGCTCAAGAGAATATTTGAACCCACCACCTGGCAATCCATGAACCATGGGTTTGAATTTTGGCCGAGGTGCCTGAAATCTGACGAAGGCCTATTGCCGAGAAGGCGCCATGTGACCGAGATTTCGGTCGCACCCTAAAAAATCTAGCTGGTCGCAACTAAGCGTCGGTCCTCCGACGGGGCGTGCCAGATACCCTTTGTTGGTTCGGTTCGTAAAATCCCCAAATTTGACTTTGATCTTCTCGCGAGGACATTTCCAAATATACTCACAAACTCGGCGTCCGGCTCTTCGAACCGGTAGTTGAACTTGTGCTCAAACGTCTCCTGCTGCTCCAAGGTTGCCTCGTCTTCACTCAAATCCTCTTCCTCTTCCACGCGGACCGGCGCCCTGTTGTTTTTTTCCAGGTAGCGCTTGTTCAGGATGTAGTCGCGCAGAAACTCTTCGGACTTCTCCAGGCTGTCGCTGTTCCAGTAGCTGCGGAGGTAGCCCTAGAAGGAGTCAACCATCCCCAGTCAAGCAAGCTGCTTGTAGTTTCTGTGCCACTTCAAATCTGCTCAGCTGTTCAGAGATGAACCAACAGGGGGATCGGTGGCCGATTGTGTTAGCGCACTGCAGCTCAGGGCACGTGAAGTGAAAGCTCACACTGCAGAAGCCAGAGATCCTAAGCTTACTTCCCACCCCTGCCCGTTTCGATTTGGATGAGTATTGTACCGACGTGCAGTTGTGTAGTATCACTATTGATACACAACTGCACTTTAAAGGCCCCAGGCTAGCAGTAATACTGCAATGGCTAAATTTCTCAAGACAGATTCACGAAACAATTTTACGCCAAAAAAGTGTGTACCACAAAACATAAGCACAAATTCATATTCACAAAGTGAAACGTGTTTGGCGTGAGTTACGCCTGAATTCTACGACAGTTTCAGAAGTGTCTTATGCACTTTTTTACGATCGAAGCATGGCCAACAGCGTCGCTTAGTTACTCGTAGCGACGACCAGCGGGCATTCATTTTTCTACATGCTCATCACATGTCCCAACACCATGTCGCAAGGAAAAAGAAAGAAGCACTTTATACCGACCACGACAGAGATGAATGCTGGATCACAGATATCTGGAAAAAGCTACAACGGCAATCATCCCATTGACCAAGCAAACGCCAAGGGCTGGCTCGGCACTAGGCCTCACGAGGCACTCTGACAGAGCATCGCTCCAACCGTCCCTGGCCAAAACTGTCTACCCACGACCGGTGAACCCAGGATTAATTTTGCAATCAGTTCAACGAAGATTTGTGCTCTGCAGTGCTGGCGTAGCCGATGCCTGCCGCAATGCGGTAGACGAAAAAGAACCATGTGTCTTGTCTGTTTTTTCTTTGTCATTGGTTCCGACGGCAGGACGGCAGTTTGTGCGCCCACTTTCGTAATGAGTACGACGAAACGGAAGCGGTTGTCTCTATCAGACAAGCTCAAAATCCTTCAGCATCTGGACAACAGTCAAATGCAAGTGGACGTTGCGAAGGACTATGGGATTCCACCGTCGACGTTGTCAACTATAGTGAAGCAAAAGCCGAAGCTTGAAGGAGAAACTGCGTCAATCCCAACAGGAAACGACTATGCACGGCATATTTTGAGCAAGGGGACGATGCCGTTGCGGTAGGGCTTTGTCATAGCAACAAGCTGTGCCAGAGGAAGTGAAAAAAAAAAAACAGCTTTGTTACTTCATGCACTTTAAGAGCGCTGGTGTAAGAGAAAAGTACAGATTTTTTTCCAAAATGAGAAAGGCAGCAATGCAACTGTTATGCACTTTCTGTATATCGATGTACATGACTCTATAAATTGCATTTCACACTTTTGACTCGATGTATGCTGCGTCCTATGCAGTTCCGTATTCTAGCGAATATATTCAGTTTAGTGAACTTTCAGTTAAGGGAACTATTTCCTTGGGTCCCTTGATGTTTGCTCAACTGAGAGTTTACTGTATCCAGAATCCACGTGTTGCGAACTATGCCGAGCTCTCCAATTGATTGTTTGTGTTGCCAAAGCTGCTGTCGCCATAGCAACAGCCTGCTCTCGTGTACGAGAACTTTGTTTTCGTTCTCTCACTTAAGAATGCGTTTGTGAATACCAATTTCTCTACTTCTTATGATGCGCGTAACTTATAAACTTCTTAGCTAAGTTGTCGTAGCCTAAAAAGCTCTTCATGAATCTGGCCTAACGCAAGCTTTGAGTTCTTAAGAATAGTTTAGGGTAGGGTGGATTCTAGGAAGGAATATCATTTCCAACAGTTTTAATCTGTGTGGATGTTGCACCCATATTTTCGCATGGAGGTTGGTGCAATGCTGGATCTTTTTGCAGCATCCAGGTAAAAAAGAAAAAAAGACAAGCATTGGATAATAATAATAAAAAAAGTTTCTCACCAACTTCTCTGCATCCTTTTTCTGTTTGAGCTTGTCCACTTCACCTTTCAGCCAGCTCACATACTCTTGGTCATTCTCAGCCTGCAATGAAATGAGCGGTACTTTTCCTTATCCTCAATTTAGTCAGCAGATGAAGGTAGTGCATTCGAAAGGGAAAACTAAAGATGAGAATTATTTCTCTCACTGCAGTCAGCTCTCGGCTGACTTTGAAGAATAACATACTAAAAATGTCAAAAGACAGGGACAGAGTAGGTGCTTTTGGCACTTTTAGTGCGTAATGAACCAACAAGCCCAACCCACCCATTTTGTTGAAGAATAACTCCACTGCCGATCAAATTAAGACTAACCTTTTTTTCTTTACTCTTCTCGGCAGTTTTCAGGAGAGAATCACCATCGTCTGCATCACTGTCGTCGTCTGCCAGAGCAGCTTTGAAGCTAGAAAAAGACGGCTTTCCATTTAATCAAGTTTGTGCCAAGTACTATTTTAAAACTCTATCTTTAAAAGTAATAAACACTAAAAGATGAGGCCACATTGAAAGGATGCTTATGGCAGAGAACACTGCCCAGCAAGATAGGTCACCTGGCAGATCCTCGATTTCAAAAAGTAAGAACTCCCGCTTTGACAGTGGTGAAAAGTACTTTCAGTACACTGTACTTACTTGGGAAGTACTACTTCAAGTAGGTTTAGAAAACTTGCACCTTACTTGAAGTACATTCACAGCATATGTAGGCAACCATTTAAGCATTACTACTTATGTTGCCACTACACAACTTGAACTAATGTTTCAACTGAAAGAGCTTGACTCAGGAGCAAGAGTTTAATGCCAACTACCTCTTTTCATAACATGATACAACGAAGATCTCAAGCATGTCAAGCTTTACCTTCTTTTAAGTTGTTCCTCTTCTTCGGCTGTGGCATATTGGCCACTATGCTTGGAGGACTTAAGATTACGAACGCTTTCTTCTACATCTTCTTCGTCGTCGGAAAACACACTGCAACGCAAAGAGCCACAGGTTTGGTCAGCACATGTCAGCTTAATGAACCTAAACTGAAAACAATAAAAACTAACTTTTTGAAGTAACATGCATTTTTTTTAATCTGAAGAAGCTCGTGAAGCTAAGGCATTTTTCTTCAAAGATTTCGATATAAATGGTTTTATGAACACATGTTGTACAGAAAAGTTAGCATCTGCACGACATCTCCTGTGATGTAAACACAGAAAAATTAATACAGGAAGACTTTTTACACTGAGTGCGAGGCAGCTTGCATCTACTGTGCGATTATGCCGTGCATAATCACCCAGTAGTGTGATCATCAGACAGTGAAGTGATTTGGTGTGATTATGCTGTGCATAATCACATTAAATCACTCAATTAAAAAGGTGAATTGTAAAGCCCCTCTCAAACAACTTTTCCAGCGCCACTGGGAAGATACCATCTACACTACTAAATGCAAACTGAAACCTCACACCAGCGTTCCTTTAGAACCTGAGCGATTTTGTAGAATGCCCACCCTTCTTTTTCCAGGATCACCTTCCGTTCGTAATCCTTGAGAAACATGGGCTTCTCTTTCTTGCCTTGTCCTTTACCTTTGGCAGCAACCGCATCTTCAAATCGAGGGGAAGAAAAAAAAAAAGATGAGGGAATGTTAAGTATTGTGCCAACTGCTGGCAAATCACGTTGTGCATACCGTTGAACCCCTCGAAGAAAACAGTGTCCTTGTGGTAAATCTTGGGATCCTTGCTCTTGAGTGCACTGAGAGTCTCCAGAAATTTTTTCTCAACGTCTGGAGTAAGTTCCTGCGTCCCGAAAAACCAATGAAATAGCCTTTGGTTTGTTTGCAAGCTCTTGCCTCACGTTCCCTCATAATATAAATAGTGGATAGAATAAAACTGTAGCTTAAAACGAAGGAGTATTTACATGGAGCATTTACCCCACTCGAATTTTACAGGCAGAGTTTGGAATGAACAGAGATTTGGCCTAAAAAGCGGGTAGGACATGGATGAATGTTCTTTCGAAAAATTAGTCTTACCGATATTCCTGCTGTGGGAAAAATAACTGTCTATGCGATGATATACTCGTGCCCCATTTTCTCTTAAGCAATATTTTGTTTATTATTGTACAAGTTTTCCACGAGTTGATGTATAAAAACTCAGCAAAATATGTGAGGCAGTAAAATGCCCTCTCGAGAGAAGTTCCAACTCCCTGCTGCCATACACCAATTTTCCCAATACGCAAAAACAATGAAAAAAAAAAAAAAAAAAGTATGAGTAAAGTTATACGCACGAGCTCGTGCAACTTGACCGAAAATCGCTATACGCATGATGCGAAACTCGTATAAAACGAATGGTTACAACGAGTTTCCGAGGCGTTAGCGTAGCTCAGTGGTAAGATGTCTGCTTTATACACAGCGGACGCCGATTCAATCCACGATATGGGCTTAATTTTGTTTTTCTCAAATTTTTTGTTGAGCATTTGGTGATATTTACGACGTTTCTTTTTACGACTAACACTGAAAAAAGACAAATGTTGTCGACGAAACTTCACTGAGCTAAATGGTTTGGGACTTTCTTTCTGGAGGTGCAATGGGGGACAGCGGGGCTTGGGTTGCCGGCTGGACGCCGCGAAGCGACGTGTTTGGGGGTGCCAAGTGGGTTGATAAGTTCGTAATTATCAGCTGCAGACTGTCACCGCAAAGCAGCGTAAACGCAGGCGGGGGGGTGGGTTAACATGCTTTCCAGTGCTACACGCGTCGTCTGAAAAGGGTGACCCAAATAGCGTGAGCTCGTGCATATGGCTTTACTCTATATATATATATATAGGGTGTTTGTCTTTTTAAGCTTAACCAGTGCCTCCTATATCAGTTACACTACGCCTGTCAGCTTCTCTCCAAGAGGTGTCCAATTCCCATGCTTTACCTCACAACACGCATGTACAGCTAGGTAGCGTCGCCTGGTGGACTTTTTCTATTTTTCTAGCATGTTGTATTTACATTATTATTGAAGATATATCATATATATGTTTTTTAACAACATGTGCAACACTGTTCTGGATGTGACCGCCCCGATTCAAACGAGTTTCGTTGAGGCAAAATACGAAACTACCAAACAAGCACAGCCAGGCTTCGCTTTTGCAGCGCGAATGCGGAGAACGCTTGGCCGCTTGACCGTCTGCTTTGGCGGCAGTTTGGGTTTTGGCGGTCACCCTGAATCGCGTGCATAGAAAGAGTTGACGCCGTGTCATGTGCGGGTGAAAAGGTATGAAAATGATAAGTAATATTTCGTTGGAAAATGGCGAGCTGGTCCCGAACTGTCAGTCAAAAACATTTAGATTTCTTGCTGTCGGTGTTGATGGGGCGACATCATTGAACCTCCTACAGAAGAGATGGTTGGCTTCACTACACGGCAGGTTTGTACGCCTAGGTGACTCCACCGCACGGCAACCACACATACTATTTGCCCTCTCCCTTCCGCTTGCCAGTGCTCGGAGCTGACAGGCATAGTGTAACTTATATAGGAGGCACTGGCTTAACAGATATGTTAAAAAAAAGGAAAGTTACACTTATGTAGTTTGTGCAGGTGAGTTATACGGCCAGGGGAACATAGTATAGGGGGCTAATCATAACGATCAGTCGGCTAATTAATTCAAATTCGTTAATTAACTTTTAAGTTAATGAAAATAGAGATATGGTTCCAATTCAATGCTGAGCAAGTTTCTAATTGGAACCATGTCTATTTTCATTAGTTAAAGTTATTTATCGAATTTTAATTAATTAGCCGATTGATCGTTACGGTTAGCCCCCTATACTATGTCCGCCTGGCCGTATAACTCAGTTGCACAAACCGCATATGTGTAACTTTCACAGTTTTTTCTCTAAACATATTCGTTAAGCTTCAAAAAGATAAATAAATATAAACACCCTGTATATAAATATGTGCGTGTGTGTGTGTGTTTAATTTGAAATAACAGTGCTTGCACCGCCCGGGGGCCTCGTGCTTTTTAGCGTACGCTGAAAGCCTGGAACTCGCTCTTGTAGCTTCTGCAATGTCCGATAAGTCTGCTGGATTCAACTTTTGCACGTTTCCAAGTCGGTGTGTTGGTGAAACGTTTAAGAACTCACCTCAGCATCTTCGTCTTCAGATTCGGACGAACTAGAAGAGCTATCCAACGTTGCACCATCCCCATACTTGTCCTTCACTGTTAAAGGACCAAACAAATACACTCGGATCGAACCAAAACACTGCCGAGACAACTGGGGCACGCGTTTCCACGAGTTCTATCAGACAGATGCGACGCACGCGTTTGCCCACGACCTGCCCACGTCTACGAAAGACGATCATCGGGAACAATTTGAAACCGCTGCTCACGTTTCTGAAGTTCTTCCTTCTCCCTCCATTTGTTGTAGTTTTTAGCGTAGTCTTCGTTTAATTTCAGCTCAACTTCTTCATCAGAGTCGCTGCCGCCAGCGAGAAGGTCGGCCATCTTGTAAACTGTCCAACGTTGCCAGACTCGGAAAGGTTTACCGCTAACAATGAAAGATTTGGCACGACACAAAAAGAAAGATTTCAACTTGGGTTTAACTGGTTCAATAATTCACTTAGTTGCATTGCTTATTACGTTTATAAATTAAGCGGTCATTTTAAATTACATTGTTCATGTAAAAGCTTACAACAACCGTCATCAGTGTTCGTGGTGTGGACACAAATGAGGAATGCACACAGGCCGAAAGGTTGATCGATGTATTTGTTCATTGACTTTACTTGATATTTTTATTCCTTTGTGAATATTTTAGGACCGCCACTTTCTATGTCATGCATTCTTGTTAGTTCTTGGATGCATTGGAAGATTCTCAAGTTGAGCGAACCCTTTTGCACAAGTGCGATGTCAGATCGAAACTTTGGGTAACTTTCACTGCAGGGCACCGAAGCGAAGCAGAAAATCCAGCTTTCCGTTGCTGCTAGGTGGATAATTCATGCTTGATTATAAAAAGAGCAGCAATTTTATTTATATGGTAGGAATACTTGCACATTCTGAGATGCATCTGAGGCACCACGTAACTCGAACGCATGCACTCATCAAAAGTCAATCCGTCGACGAATATTTGGATTCGCGTTCGTGATCAATGAGTGACGTGACGGCCTTATCATCACTTGTGAATGACAATTCCTTTGGTGTGCTTAAAATGCACGGTGGAAGCTCGGAGTCATCACCTCCTGTGCCCAAGAACGTCACGGCGACGTGATTTCTCATTTCGCTTTTAGAGCGCAGCTCTTAGGGGCCCGTTCCCGGCTTGAGCGGCGTCGGCGTCGCCGTCGGCGTCGCCGTAACCAAGGTTATCCCAAGGTCACGTGGCTCCCCAAGGTCATCCCAAGGTCACGTGACCTTGGGGTCACGTGACTGGGTGTCACGTGACCCCAGGGTCACGTGACACCCAAAGTCACGTGACCCCCTGAAGTCACGTGACCCCCTGAAGTCACGTGACACCCCCAGGTCACGTGACCCCCGCCGAGGTCACGTGACCTTCCCGATGACGTCATCGTCACTGATGACGTCACCGACATCCGCATCGTCATCATCACTGATGACGTCATCAGCGACGTCACTAATGACGTCATCAGTGATGATGACGATGACGATGCGGATGCCGGTGACGTCATCAGTGACGATGTCATCGGGGAGGTCACGTGACCCTGGGGGTGGTCACGTGACCTGGGGGTGTCACGTGACTTCGGGGGGCATCCGCATCGTCATCATCACAGATGACGTCATCAGTGACGTCACTGATGACGTCACCGACATCCGCATCGTCATCGTCGCTGATGACGTCATCGGAGTCCGCATCATCATCGTCACTGATGACGTCATCAGTGACGTCACTGATGACATCATCGGCATCGTCACGTGACCCCCCAAGGTCACGTGACCCCCCCCCCCCCCAGGTCACTTCACCCCCCCAGTACCCTTCCCTCCTCCTCCTCAAGAGCTGCGCTCTAATTCGGTGTTACAGGGAGTTGTAAACGGCTTTCACTTTTTTTAGTTCAGGATGAAAGCTAAGGAGGAAGAAGTTGAAAACTCGTTTCAGGATGGGACAGTGTGAACAAGATGGAGACTTTTACATGTCCGTTGTCTTACCGTGCCCGACGAACTTTGGTGGATAACTGAAACAGGCCAAAACTATACCATCAATTTCTGATGATGGACGACGACACTTCAGAAATCCACAACTTATGCGTAGAAATTTCCGTTGGAAAATATGTGCGTCGACTGCAACAGGGTAAACCATGCCAATACAGGCTTGCAGCGACGAATTTAAATGTGAACAAGGTTGTGAGTTCCAGCTACACTTGCTGAAGTTTTAGAAGTACAATTATAAAGAAATGGTGCATAAATACAACGACCCAGGAAACAGAAGCCCATTTCTAAGTATACCTATGTTATTTCTTTTTTGCCGTTCAGGTTTCAAGGCCAATCGTTTGCGAGCTATTTTGAGATCTGTCCTTCATAGGTTTCGTAGATCTAGCCACATGTCGTTTTTCGAGCAAAACTAAAAAAACAAACAAAAAAACACAAAACAGTCAGGGGGTCTGTAACGAATATATTTCAGGCAAACAACAGTGCAGTCCGAGGTAATATACAGAGCTCTCTCATTCCCTTCTATAAAAACAGACAGACACAGAGAGAAACCGTGAAAACCAGCGACCAGTCAGTGCCCTCTGTGCAGGGGGCTATAGTTAACACGCTTCTTTTGCCTGTACACTCTTAAAAAAAAAAAAAAAAAAAAAGATGTGTCGTGCGCCTGTACGGTCAGCTTCCATTCTTGGAGGGCCAAAAAGAAGAACATTTGTTTCAACACAAAACACAGCAGGAGGAAACGCGAGTTCACATTCGCTTCCCCATCTCTATGTTGCCATTCTTCGTAGTAGTGCACAATAAGAGAGTGGTGTCACTGTGTCGTTTTTTTTCTTCTTTACACGTGGGAACGTTGATTCGGTTTCGTACGAGACCTTCACCACTTGTGTAGTCTTAAGATATTTACACGGTGAGTGAGAACCCTTCGAACAAAGACTGTGTCTTCCGTTGGTCTCTCTTCAAATCCAACCTCGCCGTGACAGAACTAAGTATGTGGGTCCTAAGAAAACAGAATGTGGCAAAACGACGAATGGTTGGAAGAAAAACAAAAGAGAAGAAAAGAAGCACGGTCGTCGGCGTGACTTTGACTTTGCGGGACAAGGGTATGAAGAGAGTTACTTAAGTTAGGGCCCCCGCCTCTTTTCTTCGAGTCAACCATTCCTGGTTTTCAAGACGAAACCTCGAGGAAGCGCGCGCACACACACACACACGCAAACACACAGCTATCTACAGCACATCGCGGCAGTCTCTAAAAAAAAAGAAGCGAAGGGCCGATGATTTCTGAAAACGACGACGGAAAGTCTTGCCCGCGAAAGGATTGAGAGGATGGATTCCATTTGTGCAGTTCAAGAGGCGATAGCGGACTAAACCATGGTGTGGACCTTTGGCATTTCGAACCCTGAGAGCTGGTTAGCCCTAAACACGTGCCTGCAAGGTGCGAAAGTGAGTTTAAAGCAGCTCGATTCTCTTCGCAAATGTGTACAACTGATGCCTCACACAAAAAAAAAAATCAACAACAAAAGAAAAACAACAACAAAAAAAACCTTCAGTTACTTTTTTCTGAGTTTCTAGATTGCGAGATGGACAAGTTGTGTACGTCGTGACTAAACGTTGTCGACTCCTATCTTCGACAACTGAAAGTGTTTTTTTATGCTTGTCCTAGGAAAGGCGTTGTCTGTTAGCTGAATTTGGCAAACTTCTCAACACAGATACGAATGATATTGGATAGAGAAGGGAATGGAAATGCTACGAAATGGCTCAATTTCTAAACAGTGCTTATAAAAAAAAAAATGCATGTGCATCATTTCCTGAGGAGCTTTAAAGTCATCCGGTAAGACTGTCTAAACTGTTTGGCTAGTTTAACAAATATCTCATTCCATTCACAAACTCCTTAGAGAAAATGAATGAATGTACATACTTTCAGACTGCATTGTTCCAATTCCTTCTCAGTGAGACACACACATACTGTCAACTCATTATTGAAAAACATTTAAAAAAAAATGCACGCTCAGCCCTAGCAGACGACTCTCCTCCGATCAATGCTGTGTTTTTACTAGTCCTAAAAAAAACTCGTTTGTACAAGGAACACTTATAAGGAGTAAAGGGCTTAGGTGCATCACAGCTTTATGCAATGCGACAGGTGGCAACAAAAAGAAAAGAAAAAAAAAAACCACAGGGTCAATTTGGTAGGACCGCACAGACTACCCGACGCCTGATGAGCGAAAGCAAACAAAACATGAGTCGGAGAGAGAGAGAGAAACGACGCCAATCTCAATTTCACGTGAACCGGCGCCCTCTTTCCGTCGTGCACTCTAAAAAGAGATCAACAACACGGGACGCAACTATTGATAAACCGAGTCAAGGGTGCAGGCAGGCGAAGCCACTCCTCACGCCAAGAAGCAAACAGAACGTCGACTGCCGGGCAGCGGGGGCACCCCACGAAGACAGTTCTTTGCTCGCCGTTTGTTGGGTTAGCTGCTACTATTCCTACACAAGCCACAACCATCATGCTTTTCTTCACACCTCTCTCAGAGTCCGGGAGTCCTCGTCCCATTTCGAGACACGGCTGCACGAAGAAGACGGCGCGTCGCTGCCACTCGGATTGCATGAACCCCATTGTTCAAACTTTCGCAGACGAGTCCAGCAGCCACAAGGTGGCGGCCCTGAGTGTTAAGTATGGGCCGCCACCTTTGCACGCCTCCGGTGCTGCCGCGGGAGTTTGCGGCTTCGGCGACAGAGAGACGAAAGGTTCCGACACTGCAGCTGAAGTTGGTTGTTGCTGTTGTTATTGACTAGATGCAATGCTGTTTCTTTGACCCGCACAACACAGGATCCAGACCCCGTGGAGGAAGCCAGAACGAGATGGCCGCTAGGCAGAGTTTTTTTTCACGAAACACACCCCCAGATGTGGTTGAGATCTAGTTTGTTTTTTGTGGGGTAGGGAGGGGGGATATGCTAGCACTGAAGTCTGGTTTTTTACAACGAAGAAAGAGAGTGAGAGAGCTGCAGGGTGGACTGAGTCTTCTCTGCCACGCAGGAGTTTGCAGCGATTTGTCATCGAAGACCTCTAAACATCCTCTCGAGCACTCCTTGAAACCGCCGAAGAATGTCCTCGGACTTTGCAGACACTTTCCGGAGACCGTCGAAAGGCTACGGCAGGCCTACCTTGAGCCCTTCGAAGCAGGAACGCTGCCGGAGTGCCTCAAAAAAGGATGCAGAGAGCGGCGAAATGGCCAAGAGTCTCGAAATGGCCGAGAGGCTCATCGAAACGGCAGAGGGTCTCTCCGAAACCGTCTTTGGGTCCGATGGCCAAAACCGGACACTTCCTCGACACGATTGCTAGTGAGAATCTCCTTTGTTAAGCATCTAGACCGCACTTAAGCAACGAAGAAGCGTCGTCGCCGTGGCGCGACGAAACCTCGCGGGCACGCTTCCTCTGCCCGCATGCGCTGCACCAACGGCCAAATAAGTTAAGGATCCCGTGCCAGCAGCGGCAGGTCTCGGGACGGCTGAAGAAGCGCTTGGGCACCTTGCGGACCGCTTCCGCCGACGGCAGCGGAGGGGCGTGAGTCGTGCCGTTGCTGGCCTTCCGACGACCGCGATCAGTCTCCGACGGACTTTGGATCCTCGGGGACGACAGCGTCTGCTAGCCGTCGGACGACGTTGGGCTCTCTTCGCGGATGCAGTTGTCGTCGTCTTCGGGCTCCTCTATCGTGATCTGGAACTTGATCTTGTCACCCGAGCCCTTGCCGTCATCGTTGTCTGCGTCGGCCGAGTCCGGAGCGATGTCTGGCACGCTCGACGTGGGGCTGATCGGGATCATGTTCTGGTACCAATCGCGGTTCTCCTCGAGCCGGTCCAGGATTTCTTGGGCGTCCGGATGAACCAGATCCGCCCAGGTTTCCCAGAGTGGATGTGCAATGTAGTCGATGAAGCCCACCTGTGGACAGAGCAACCGTTTAAGTTGTCATCGCAAGTCAGGGGGCCTGAGGGTTCGGGGACAGAGGGAAATCAGAATTTGACATACTTTCAAAAGTGATGTTTATATAAAAAATAGTAGAACATAATAACCTGCAAGATTATAGCATAATAAAACATCTATTAATTGTCCCTCCGCATTCAATCATGAGAAACAGTGCAGGTTTCGAAATTGTCCCTCCATATTCATTATGCAATCGTCGATGCCTAAATATCGGCAATGTATAATCCTGCTCCTTCTTTTGTTAACAACGTGATGTCTTTATATGTTTTCTATGTTTTCTAATTTTGTACCCTATCAGTGGCGTAGCCAGGAATATTTTTCAGGGGGGTTAAGGTGTTTCGGATGTCTAGGACTCGGGGTGCCAAGGGGGGCGGGGTTAAGATGCATGCATATTATAGGGAAGGTTAGGTTTTGGAAAAGCCTCTCCTCCGGCCGTGCCACTGTAGACTACTAAGCAGACTAGCAAATGTTTTCATCCAATATACTGCAAATGATTTACCTAACTTTTTTCGGGCACAACATTTAGCAAATTTTGTCAAGTGTGGGTTTCGAAAATATTTCCTGGGTACAAAATTTTTTAAATAGAGAGTGGCATGCAATGGTGTTTATTACTATAGGGTGCATAATCTGTTTGCACGATTTATTTTTTGAGACATTTTTCAAGCATAAAAAAACTGCCAAAGTGATTTACATTCTAATCCATTAAATTTAACAACATTAGCTCTTATTGCAAATGTGACAACACTTACAATAAGAGCTGATGTTGTTAAATTCAATCTTGGGGGAACACTGTACAGCCCTTCTTAGCCATGAGGCAGCTGCCAATACAGGCTGGTGCAGACTCAGGACAGAGTCGTCTCTCACCTGAGTCTTCTCGATGGTGGCCGTGTGGCGGTCGCACATGGGGCTGATGTCGAGGTTCTCCTGCCTCTCCTTGTCGCCTTGCATGAAGAACTCCGACATGACCAGGTCCACCCAGTTCCGATACAGGTCCAAAGGCTTGGTGGGGTTGCTCAGGTCGGCGCAGTGGATCATGTTTTGGAGCACCTGGACGGAGCAGACATCGAGGTCAAACTCTTCTAGAATATTCCCACAGATTTGGATATCTGTTCGGGTAACCGGAAGAAATCAAAGAGCCGAGAGATGACGGACGAAGAAAGCAGAAAAATAGACTGACTGCAATGGGGGAGGTTACATAGTCTTAACTAAGGTTGGCTTGCACAGCTACATTTAAGCGTGAGCACGCGTTTAAATGCGGAAGAGTTCCGGAGCCACCTGACAGATGGTGCCACTATATTTTCTTTTCGTAAGCGTATTTTCTCTCTTCGCTTAAAACATAGCTTGAAACGTAGCCACGTGAGGAGGAGGATTATGAAACTTCAGCCCCCTCCCCCCAAATGGTTCATAGCCATGCCACCGCATTCGTGCAGGTAGCTTCGATGGCATCGGAGCACTAAAAAAGCTACGCGAGCCCGACAACATTACGACTAGTACAGACGGAAAGGGACACCGGCGGGACGGAGGGGCAACTGCGTACCTGTATCCTCTCGGTGTAGTTGTCTAGTAAAAGCACCCCGGAGCCGGCCACCTTCTTGGTCTCCACCATGGTCTTGAGGTCGGCCAGCAGGCTCATGTGCTTGGACATGTCGGTGGCCAGCACCATGTCGATGACCATCTTGCGCAGGGTGAGCCGCTGCTTCTTGTTCAGGCTCTCGAAGATGTTGCAGCTCTCGTCCTGGAGCAGCTTGAAGGACACCGCCAGCGAGTGGTTCTCCAGCACCGACTCGTCGTTGTACATGATCGCCAGCTCGGAGCCTGCGTGGGAGGAGGGTCTCAGCGTGGCCTCAAGGAGTCATCGTGGGGGGGCTTTGGAAGACTCCAATCGGTACGATGTCTAACGAGGTTAGAAGATGTATTGACCAAGTATTGGCACCAAAGCGAGTTTTAAGCTGACATCACACTCTTCTTACGTCGTACAAAAGCTGTTTGCTGTAGATGTGATGCGAGAATTATCTGTGGCCTTCAGCACGTCCGAAGAATGTTTGCTTCATACGTGTGTACGCTTAGAACAAGTGTGCAGACAGTTTTTGCTTGACCCATGTGACATGGGCGTCATACACGGAAGTAACACACCTTTTGTGTTTGCCAGTATGGCTGCGCGGCTTTAGGGAACTCCAGTTGGTGAAGACTACGGCCTAAACGCTATACATGTTTAAAAGTTTAGATTTTATGAGGTGCACAGACTATACGAGGATTTTTTTTTTTTTTTAAGATTGTTTATTACGACAAGACACGACGGATTTTGTGCACAACAGAATATGTGAATGACGAATTCCGTAAAACACAAGCTTCTCTGCCTATTAATAAAGAGGCCAGTTTGCAAAGTGTCCTGTGCCCAATTTTACGAGAAGAGTATGCACCAGGTGCGGACAACAATCTGGAAAATACAGTACTCTCGAAGAAGATGGGATATGTCTAACAACGATACTAGGCACCGCATTGTATCCTACTCAGTAATGATACCAGGGTGGGCTTAGTGTGTATACACTTTTGAACAACATAGAAAACCTCTATATTGAAAAAGATGTGAACCATTCATCTCCTACACCCAGTATATATTGAAATCAAAATAGCTTTAGGTAACTCCAGTCAGTGCCTAAACTTTTAAACAAGATAGAAGATATGTAATGGGAATTAGAGGAGGTCTTCAAGAAATTTTCAGGCGAATAAAAAGCATAAATTGCTAGATGTACAAATGAGGGCACATACTTGTGTTGATGAGGTACTGATTGGTGACGCCCGGATGATCAACGTCGTGGATTGCGCCCGCAAACAAGGCTGCCAGGATTTCGAGGTCTGTGAACACCGTCTGTTAAGAAATAAAAAAAACAGAAAAAACCGGCATGCTTTTTTTTTTAGATATTACAACCGTACTAGAAAAACGTGATATGAATTCAGACACAGCATTTCACTGGATTAATAAATAATATATAAAAAACAAACATTTCGTGTTTTTTTGTTTCTCCTGTAATCTTGGGGATGTAACTAAGGTCCAGGCTGTACCAAATAGGAATATAAAACCTCAATTATGATTCCTTCTTTGAAAGCCATCTTGAGTTCCTCAAAACTATGAAGTCTTTTTGTTTCGGACTAATAGAATGCAACAGATTAAAAGTTAAAGGCACAACGTCGGTTTACGAGCAAGGCAAAAGATCCTCAGTCTCCTCAAACTGTGTGCGAGGGTAGCAAAGAAAGAAAAGAGGGACATAGGAAAAAAAAAAAGATCTTGCTCGGTCTCCGAGCACTTTCTGTCTTGGCTTCTACTCTAAAGCAGGGGTTCGTAAAACTCTACCACTTCAAGGAACTCATGTCTCTCTTGGTTGGCAGCCTAGGAAGGAATTCCCACCGGTCCCGACACCGATAAAGTAAAGCAGTGTCAAAGCCTACAGTCCTTGTAAAGTGTAATGCACATGCTACAGTGAATGGGAAGAAAAAAAGAAAGTGAGTGAGGGGCTAGGAAGTAACCGTGGATGTGTAAAGTGGGAAGCGCAAATGGTACTTTGCCGTAAAACGCAACTCCATCACAAGCTGGGTGCAACACGGTGAAGGCCACAAGTGACTGCATGAATAGATGGGCATGCAGAGAGCGGAGGAACGTACGTCTAGCGCTGGAGACAGTAGCAGGACGTGTATGGACTGGGCGACGTCCGCTGCGTGGCTGCTGTTGTGGTAGGGCACCTTGAGGTAGTGGTCTTCCAGGGTCAGCAGGAATGTCAACAGCTTCTTGGACGAGATGTCAAACGTCTTGAGCAGATCTCGGTCCTGGGGAAGAAAGGCCGAAGGAAAAAAAGGCAGACCTTAATTATTTGAGCCAAATTATGCGGAAACCTTTGTTGTCGACTCAACATTTATTGAGAAATACCACTCTGACATGGTACTCACTCAAAATGAAACGATACTACCAGTAATATTTCGTGACGAGGACCAAGAATCTCTCCTTCGCGAATGGTACTGCTAAGAGCTTTAATACTTTTCAACCATTTCCCCTTTTCACGAATAAAGAAAAAAATAATAAGGTCTGGCATTAACAGCAGACATTGCGAATAAAGCTCCAAGCTAGTGGCACCGCATTGATTAATATATTACATAGACAAAGTAAAACAATGAGTTGGAATAACCTCACAATCGAGTAAAGTAATCAGAAAAATAAGGGATAGTTTTATACTACACTTACTTATATATTTGAGGTATGTTGATATGTACCCCAAACACCTGAGTCACCATTAAAAACATACTTCAATACCAGCTCATTATATCCATATCTTCACTATTTGAAGTTCTACTTTATAAAATGTGATGGAAAAAAAACATGTACTACACACCATAAAATACCGAGCACGCGCCCACGTCGCAATGAGCGGCCACCTCTGCTCCTTAACATGTTAAATATAAGGAAATCATATCAAGTGCCCACCCCAGCAAATTTCCATGCCCACCAAGCCAATTGAGGTGTTCCTCCGAGTCAGCTACCGCTCCTAGACACTGGTGCTAGCTTTATGCGCAAGCACCACCGGTGCGAGTGTGAAGTGGTGGAGGGGCATGAGATAGGGCCCACCCTATGTCATGCCCCTTTTGCATCCCTGCTTTCAGGCAGCTAACAAGCACTTATCCCCAATTTTTTCGTGAATCTTCAACTTTTGAGTGGAAATTCGCTCAGCATTTTACGGTGGTTCGACGTTGCTAGTTCAAAGAAGCAATCGCAAATATTTTCGTTTTTCACTTATGCCCAAGTTTTAGTACTAGAGCAACAGACAGAAGCAACCGACACCGACAAGCCTCGAACACGTGCAGCATGCACGCAAAAGTATCTTTGGCAGGCTTCCGATTGTTCGGGCTTCCTTCCTGAGCATCGAGAGACTACAACCCTGCCAAAAGTACCATAGCGTGCATATGCTGCATGCAACTGTGGCTTGTCGGTTTCGGTGATCGGTTCTGTCTGTCGTTCTAGTGGGTGGGCCTTGGGTGTTAGAATCGAAGGGCTGTTGTTTTCAGTGGGACGTCTGCATTTGAGGCACTAACCGAAGGACTAAAACTTGACACCCGCCTGTGTGGAGTGCAAGTTCGTCTGTGTTTTTTGCAAAGTTTGTGGCGAGGTCAAAACGTCAAGCAAGCTCTGATTGGCTCTGATTGAAGGAACATGGATAGACCTCAAAATAAGCTGCCTTGAGGTCAACCCACTATCCGTCAATCAGAGTCAGAATGCCGAGCTCTGATTGGCTCTGACAGAAGGATACTGGATAGACCTCAAGGCGAGCTACCTTGAGGTCTACCCACTATCCATCAATCAGAGCCAATCTGAGCTCGGCATTCTGACATCACCACAAGCCTCGCAAAAGAAATGGGAAAGACTCGACACCCGCCAATACCCTTTTGAAGTGAAATGCGAAATGCTTTGCACGGTGTTGTGACAACACGCACCTTGAAGATGGTGTACATGACTGCCGTGAGGGGCTTGCCGTTGGAGTACTCGGCCACCTTGAAGATGTTGCAGCCCCAGCGGTCCAAGTCTTGGAGCACGAGGCCGAGCTCCTGCTCCCGGGCGGTCTCCACGCCATACTTGGGCAGGGTCGTCAGGCTGTTGGTGTGGCAGAGCGACCGCCGGATGCCCGTGATCTGGGACATGGCGTCCGAGGGGCGATGCTGCCGCAGCTTGCCCCCGGGGGCTGCCACGACGCCCGGAGTGCCCCCTGGCACCTGGGCGCCCGTCGGAGGGATGCTGCCTTCCTCAGGCCGCATCACCTGGACGTCCACGTCTTGCACCTTGTCTGCGAGAAAATCGTAAGACGCTCAGGCGCCGGATGGACCCCTCGCGAAAGACCACGAAACGCGCGCACGAAGACCCGTACGCCCCTTGCCACCTACCGTGTGATGCTACGGCGCTTGGAATGCGTCTCAGAGTAGCGCGTTTAACGTGTTTGTTTGTTGCTTCCAGAATTTTCGGCACACATAAATTGAGTTGGTATACTATGAAGATGAAGTCCAGAATCTTTTTAGAGCACCTTTAAATAAAACCTACAGATCTTCTTGCAAGCTGCTTGTTGCAGTATTTTTTGGAATTTACTAGAGCTTGGAATGTGTGGCCATCTTACTGTCTTATGGTTTATAAGATAGTGAAACTATTTCGTTCAACAGATGAGTGACAAGTTGGGTTATGGATAGCTCTAAGCTATGGCTACATACATAGCTTGGAATGGGGAAACTAGTAGATGGAAACAAGTCCTCACCCAGGAAAGTATTGCAGATGTACTCCGATATCTGGCTCCCGGACTTGGATTCGGAGAAGTGGCTCAGTTCTTTGTTCAGCATCCTCTTGAACTGTTGGTTTGGACAGACAATATGAGCCTCTGTTAGTTTGGTCACTTCCTTCCAGCACTGTTGCAGTTTACACAACACTGACAAACCCGAGACTGGGAACCACAAAACTAGGGTTTGTTTTCTCTAGCAATGAAGCATGTTCTTTATCTTTGTAGACACTTTTAAAGTTATGAACTGATGTTTTCCTCATGGAGAGGATACTTACTTTAAGTTACAATTGAGGCATGCAACTAAGCTGTGTATTCTTGCAAGAAAGCGATTTCGAGTTGAGAGCACTTTTACTTTTACCCTCAGTCCACCTGTTCTTTGGTCTCCTTTCCTATCTAAAAATACGTTATTACTAATAATAGTGGCAATAATGTTATCGAAAATTTTTCAATTAACAGACCATCTGCATTCTCAAACGTATACTAACTTCACCTCATTGAAGCTGTATATCTCCATGAAGTCAGTTCAAACTGACTTCATGGAGATTACATTCATTACATTATTTAAAAAAACACATTAATCTTCATTCAAGGAACACATTTAAGAGCCCCTAGTTAAAACATCAGTTAAAACATTCCCCTACTTTTCTACTTCAAAATTCAAAGGGATCAAATTGTCAAGAGTAAGAAAACATGCCTTGTATTAAAGGGCAATATTTTGCAAAAAATTTGATTTTTATTTTTATGTTTTTTTTTTATCTCTGAATTTTTGTTTTATAAATATTGAGTGCCGGTTATGATTACGAAAGTAGTCAAATATGAATTTGAAGACCTTCCGGCACCCCAGAATGGCATACACTTGGGCCTTTTTTTTAATGTGGTACGTCAAATTGGCACATCGCCTGTTATCACATTTACATTAACAGGTAGACCTAGCAGTCTCTTTTCCATTGCAGTCTTCTGTAGCATTAATTTCTCATAAAAATTATAAATAAAATAATATTTTTCCCACTGCAAACGAGTATTGCTCGCTACACATCTGTGGTAACATTAGAAGATATTTTTCTATGTAATTTTCAAATGTCTTCACAGTTTGCACACAATAATCTTTGTTCTTAATATTGTCCTATCACAACCAAATTTGGTTTGCATATGCTTTAGAATATGTAGAATGCAACTATCTAGATTAGAATAAAATGTATCTTTGTTATATATTTATGAAAAATTAAAGAAGCCTTTGCTAGCTCTTTAAAAAAAGCTATTTTGCAATGTTCTTTTTTTTCTAATTTTAAAATAAGAAGTTTCACACACACTATTTCTGTTATTCATTGCGGTCAGTGGTTTGAAAGGACCAAATTAGTTTAATTTACTATGCTCTTTTAAGTGTGTTGCCATACCCCACGTGTGCGCAAGAACATGGTTTTTTCTGAATGTGCATTGCATCCAGAACATAAAAAAACAAGCTATATTATATCCAACATCAGATTTATAGAAAAGATCAAGCAAAATAAACTGAAAGTTTTACTTAGTTATTGTAAATAATCATCAAAAAATGTTGCCCCTAATGCATGTAAAAAGAAAAAGAGAAAACTTATTAAAAGGTATAGCTTACTTTGCTAGAGGCCATGTCACCAACAGATCGATGGGACTGTATTGTTTCCAACTGTTCCAGGCACCATTCCAACTCCTTGACTGTCGAAGATGCCAGTTGACTGTACTCTTCCTCTGGAAAAGCAAACAAACAACAAACCAACACCGTAATTAGTTCCGAGATACCATTTTCTCCAGCTGTCATAAACGTGTAAATTCCCACGTCAGCACGTAACTGAATTTACATGATAAGTTAAACCAGACCCTAATTAGCCGAGCGCACGCGCGCGCTGTGTCGTTTTTGAGGATCGCCTTTCCTCCCAAGCATCGGCGCCGTGCGGAGAAGCGGAATGACAGGCATCAATTATTTCGCAACGCGCGGACATTATTTTTATGTAGATTGTAACGTGAAATGGGAACGATGTTATAAGGCACTAGAGCACGCAAAGGCGTCGGAGTTTCGAGTGATAGTCATGTAACCGTAACTTTAAGGATGGAACACTATACTGTACACATAAATAAATTTAGACAAAAAATGCGTAACGTTTTGTAATAGAGAAACGCTGCGGGCATACAGTTCTTCTGCGCGTGATTTGTTTAGCTCAGGGGTCTCCAATTTTTTTGGTTAAGGCGCCGGATTAGCGATCAATTGCAGTATATAGGGCTTAGAAAAAAAAAAAAGTAATTTCAAACGAAGGAAAACTAAATAAATAAATTTAGATAAGCATTTAAACACAGAACTGAACGTTTGAGTAAGGATTAAATGAAACCCTATGGTGAATGAATTAAATATGCCTGAATTTAAAATTTATTATTTAGAGAATTATGACATCAGACCAGCACGTCTGGCGAAGAAAACTCAACAGGCAAAAATCAAAGGCGCATCGGAACTTAGGCACATGAGCACGAGAATGCTAAAACCAATGCTGACAGTGTGTAATAGCTGCTGCAGAGGACATTAAGCGCAATGTAACACGAGAACGCGATGGATTTTTAACGTAGTTACACAGCCACGAAGGGAGTAAGAATGGTAATGCTAAATGATGATCGACAATGCTCGATTAATATTATACGGAAAGTTCAGGTATCTTCTCTCATCTTTCCGATATATTAGTTTGCGCATTCGAAGCGCGTCACTGCCTTGTTTCTTCACAAATTTTTTTTTTTTTTTTTTTTTTTTTTTTTTTTTTTTTTTTAGCAGCGGGTTTGTGGGAAGCGGGGCGGGCTTCACCGGAAAGACCGCGGCCAGCCGCGGGTCGCGGTCCGGGGTTTGGGAAGCCCCTGGTTTAGCCGGCGATAACCTACAAAAACGACGAACATCGTAACCTTGCACTTTTGACAGCCACTGCATGGTCGTAGGAAGCGTGCGCGGCGTTTGGCATTCCACGGAAGGCAGCTACTACACGTGCGCACAACCCGTTTCAGAGGCAGCTCAGCGGACAAAGATGGCGGAGAGCAGAAGGCGATTATCGTAATTGAATACAATTCGTTTTATTATCGATAAGGCAGATTCATGATACTAAAGAAACAGAGGAACCCCTAGCCAGTTTATTTATATACATAGGCAAGTTTATGGGAATCAGAACCGCGCACTTCCTGTTCAGTAAGCTCTCGAAGGCGTTCGGTTTAACTGAAGCACAAAAAACAGTGACTTTCAGAAAAAAAGAAAAAAAAAAGAAAGTTTGTCATTTTAGCGACGAGACAGCGCACTCCCAGAATGTTTTCACCCGTATCCGATGATGTTATCAGAAGGAGGCAGTCATTGACATGCGAGCGACTGCGTCCGGGAGCTTCGTATTTCGTCGGCCGTGACCACGCTGAGCGAATTTTGAAATTTGAGAAGACAGATTTCAAAAGACGCTGTCACGCCGCTGATAGTTCTTTCTTTCTTTTTTTTTTTTTTTTTAATTTTCGATGCGACGGCAAGCGGAGATCACTGAAGACGCCGCTGATTACGCTTAAAAAATTATAAGGAGCGGAGCTCAGTTTCCAAACAGAACATTATTTTTGTTTCTTTTCAGTTTCTCGAGGTACTTAGTAGTTGTTTTCTTTATCGCTGTATAGAGACAAACAACTTTCGTTGGTTCGACTGTGCAAATAGCGGGCAGTTTTCATAGAGCGGGCAGTTTTCATAGAGCACGCCACCACTGGGACGGCGCGGAAACGATCTATGAAAGTTTCGTAATAGATCTTGACGAGACGATCGATTTGCTAACTGCAGTCGGTTATGAAGTACTGATCTTGGAGACAAACTCACCCGATAGGGACTGGGTACTGGCGATGATGCTGCCAGGCGAACCAGATGGCTGCTTCATTCTAAGCAAGAAACAAGAAGAGTTACAAACGGCGTCATCGTACTATCCTTTATAGCACTCACTTGCCAAATCTCTAAACCTCCATAAACGTACACGCTCAGAAATTTCACAACTTTATAGTGTAAACAAGGTGTTTCAGAGGCTTACACGCATTTCTAAACTCTTTCCGCAGTCTTATCTCGAGTAATACACGATTATTCATTGCATAGAACACCCTTGATTTCCGAAGGGTGTAAAATGGGTGCGAAAAAGTGCTATGGTAAAGTCGGGCGAACAGCCCTTTTGAAGGGTAACATCCTCCCAACACCCTCAGGGTGCTCCGGCAGCACTCCAAGTCCTTAGGACAAGTTGATTTACACCCTTTAGACGGTGAACGTTTTCAATGTGTACACTTTCGAACGTGCGCACGACCGGGTGCTCGAAGATGCTTAAAACACACAAACAACAAACAGACGAACGGGCACGTGTGCACAGACGCTAGCACTGAGAGACACACGCACACGTGCACGGTGTATAGCGACACAGTTACGCGACCGCCGCGTTTTTATCATTTTCGCCGGAGAAGATAGCGACGAATATCGAGTTTCAGCGGCTAACGTTGGAACGAAGGATTAATCGCATTCTACCCTACTACAGTCGGTGACAATAGTAGAAGTTCCGTCCTCCGACACGCGCCCGTCGCCTTCCATCGTGCTTCGGCCGCTTGTGCGCCGATGTGTAATCTGATGTAGAGATCTCGCTCTCAAGGTGGAGCTCCCACCCCCCAGTACTTAGCCTGTCATTGACATACTTGGTTTCATGACCGTCTTGAAACTTAAAAAAAAAAAAAAGTATTAAAAAATCCGCGCTTATTTGTTTGTGCTTAGTGAGCTTCGCTGCATATTTAGAGAAAAAAAAAATCAATTCGAATAACCACAGATATCGGTACATTGCCCGGAAGAATTATATAGGTGGCAATAGTAATTAAAACTAACTAGACCCTCCTGAATGTATGCTTTCGATTCCTGAACCCGATCTGGTAAAACTCCCTATTTGTAATAGCGTCGGACTCGTAGCACGCAGTTAAACTAAAATTTTATTGCTTCCACAATAAAAAAAAAAAAAAAAAACTTTACTTCTTAGGGGAAAAACACACAAACACACAATAAACTTAGTGTCTAAAAACACACGTACGCAAAAATAAAAAAACAAAACACGCGGGAATCCACAATCCCCCCTTTCACTTAAAAAAAAAACAAAAAAAAACATGCGCGTTAATTTACAATCCTTCTTACCCCTTCCGTTTCCCACCTCTCCCATCCCCCCCCCCCCCCCCCCAAAAAAAAAAAAAAAAAAAAGTAAGAAAAGGGAGGTATTGCGTGTACTCACGTGGGAGGTACGTCTTTGGTGAGATGCTTGATGTTGTTGAGCACGCTGCGCAGGGAGGCCAAGATTTGAGCAAACGGAGTGACGATCTGGTCTTCGCCGTGCCTGCACCAGAGACGGGAAGGAGGGACGCTGTAAGCCGCCGGAGGCACGCGGTAACAGTCACGGCACATAGCGATCGAACGAGCGCGTGAGCTATGTCCGGCCAAGCGCCAACTGCAGCCGACGACACACGCGGCGCCTCGCGTAGGCCGGGTTTACGTTGCAGGCGTTCGAACCAATCGCAGCTTTCGACGCTGATCGTCGGCGCCGAGGTAAGAGGTAAAAACCCCGCGCCGAGTCAATGCGATGAAGACAAGGCCGACGCCTTTGCCCCCGAAACGTCATCGCTAAGCGCGTTTCGCAGCGTCTCGGCATCCCTCGTCGAGCTTTAGCGTGTTTTGCCGGTTTGGGGTCGGGTCGGGGACCCACCAATGATGACGTAATGCATAGGCCTTGTCTTCTAAGCTGTCTTCTTTTTTTTTTTTTTTTTTTTTTTTTTTTTTTTTAAAGGGCCGCGGAGAATGATACGCGAAGCTGGGTGATGTCATACAGGGTCGTACTACAGATATTGACCATCCGGTATTTCGAGTGCCGTGCGAGGATATCTTAGAGATTAAATGTTTTTTTTTTTTTTTTTTCTTCTTAGTACTTGATCTTTACGGCGCACACACACTCCGACACGGACAATCCCGTTTCCGAAGAAGCTTTTAACTGCTCAACCGCTTCAACCGCTTTTTTTTTTCCCTCTACTAGTTACACACGTGGGATACAATGTGCAGTTATAGGAAAAGCAACGCGTTCATGTTGATGATAATGATACCAGTTCGCGGCCACAGAAGGAAGACAAACAAGACCTTGTCTTCCTGTAGGATGACGCAAGTCTCCCCCTCCCCACACCTACACACACGCTACATATACCACATCTACACTCTCAGTGGTGTTACACTGATTTCCGATGTGTTACGAAGTGTGTGGATGTGTATTACTTTCTTTTGTCCGACATTGCACTTTCAAAAATACACAGTAGAATACATTAAAGATCACAACAAGGACAGGGATGAGTGTCTGTATGGGGGAAGCAAATTAAATAGGATCTTTGCATATTACAAAACCATATCTCTTCAGAAAAACGCCGCAATGAAATGTTGTTGTTTTTCCTTCTTTCTTGAAGGAAAGATTTGACACATTAAGAAACTATCAGGTTTTAAGTACAGTGCTGGTAATTGAGAAAGCTCAAAAAAGTCCTGAAATGCGGATTAGGGTTGTCCAAACAGGAGAATTAAAAAGTGAAAGCCGTTTACAACTCCCTGTAACACCGAATTAGAGCGCAGCTCTTGAGGAGGAGGAGGGAAGGGTACTGGGGGGGGGGGGGGGTCAAGTGACCTGGGGGGGGTCACGTGACGATGCCGATGATGCCATCAGTGACGTCACTGATGACGTCATCAGTGACGATGACGATGCGGATTCCGAATACGTCTTCAGTGACGTCACTGATGACGTCATCAGCGACGATGACGATGCGGATGTCAGTGACGTCATCACTGACGACGTCATCCGTGATGATGACGATGACGTCATCAATGACGTCACAGATGACGTCATCAGTAATGATGACGACGCTGATGCCGGGGACGTCATCCATGACGTCACTGATGACGTCATCAGTGACGATGACGATGCGGATGCTGATGACGTCATCCATGACGTCACTGGTGACGTCATCAGTGATGATGATGATGACAATGCGGATGTCGGTGACGTCATCAGTGACGATGACGTCATCGGGGAGGACACGTGACCTCGGCAAGGGGTCACGTGACCCTGGGGGTATCACGTGACCTCCCCCGAAGTCACGTGAACCTGGGGGGTCACGTGACCTTGGGGGGTCACGTGACCTTGGGGTGACCTTGGTTACGCCGACGCCGCTCAAGCCGGGAACGGGCCCCTAAGAGCTGCGCTCTCATAAACTCGTTGACGCAATCGTCGTGTCCAATCAGTGACAAGCGTTGGCCTTCTCTGATGACGACATCTCGATCAGCACTACGGCCTTGATATCTAGGAGGTGTCGAATAGGCGCACCATTGGCAGGGCGCGTATGACGTCAAGTCTGACGCGGCACCGACGTCACAGAAAAGCGGCGGAGGCGAGGAGGAAAACCGTGGCGTTTGCCTGGTGGACACCCAAACAGAAAACGGAATGTCAGACTTCAACTTTCACCTCATACGGGGCGGTGAAGTGTCGCTTCGCGTGTTCTGAAGTACCCCGTTTCAGAAGATCTACAGTACCCTAACAAAAAAAGATCCGACGACGAAGCAACGGCTACCGAGCGAAACGAAAGGCGGACTCCGGCAGCTCATTTATCTCAGTGGTAACTAGCGGAACGCATCGCACGACACAAGCAATAACCATTTAAAATGAAAGGCAAGTATCTCGAAAAAAAAAAAAAAAAGTTCACTTCCTAAATTGGGTAGAAAATAAATATAATACACATCCTTTATGTGTGTTATATACTGCTGCTACATTCTTCTCTTTTTTTTTTTAATGCAAAAAAAAAAAAAGAAGATTAATGTATATGTCTCTAACTTCGTTCCCGATTCTTCCCTAAGGCAATCTTCGATCCCCATTCAAAATTAAGAGCGAGGAGAATCGAAAACCTCTTCGTCCAAATGATTCGCGAATTCCCCACGAGACGATTCCTTCTTTCCCTCGGGGGAGCTCCTCCCAGCTTCCGAAAACGACGAAGCACAAAGGCCTAGTGTGTCGTATTCGGCGTCGAGAGATCTCCCCGGACCACTTAGCCGGATGAAAACTAGTCTGCCTGGATTTACGAGTGTCTCCAACTCCTGGGTCACGTGATTTATGGGTCGCGTTTGAAATACATGTAGCGAGCAGCGTCTTCGCTTCCCTCTCCGCTTTTCACCTTGCCCACAACGGGAAATCAAACGCGCACTTGCAATCAATCTGCACGGTAGGCGTCTGGTCCGCTATTAAGTTGCAAACGCTCTCCGGGGGTTTCGGTAGCCTCTCCATATCTAGAAATCGGCTGTCGACTGCATCGCGCTCGCGCGGAACTTGGCAGTTGTAACAAAGCATGCTGCGTTAAGGAAGATGTTGGGTTTCAGACTGCTCAATGGAAGACTTATGGGAGTAAACGCCCGTTTACAGACTCGCGTTTGCTTACGACCGAGCTTTTGCGATTTCTTACGACTTGAGAACACGCAGCGCCATCTGCGAGGTGTTCCTGCAACTGCGTTTTTCACTAGAGCGAAGGTTTTGCGGTATTTGCGAAATAAAATGTACGTACCATCTACGACAACAGGTAGTTTATAAAATTCTCAAAAATTCTAAAAAGCACGTAAAAAAAAAAAAAAAAAAACGGAATGGGAAAGCGTTTTACGGTTACCAGACAGATGGCGCCAGCGGGTTCTTTTGCTTTCGTCGTCAGAGATCACAAGGGGTTGTACGGCAGTTGGTTGTAAGCGATAGCAATGGGGCGTTTACACAGACGGTGCTGAGTATGAGCGCTCGTGTTTGCTATAACCTAACGAAAAAAAAGAAAAAGGTTCGCTTTTTTGCAGAACACAGAGAGAACCAGCTATGGCGAACGAAAAATCCCAGCAAAAAATAAATCCAAAATACGAAAAAAAAAAAAAAAAAAGCACTCCAGCCCAAAAATGCCATGCATCTGCAATGCGTACACAAGCAAAGTTTTACGCATTGACGTCACGCTCAACTCCCAGCGCAGACAGTTTTTATGTTTTTTTTTTTTTTTTTTTCATTTTTAAGGGGGTGTAAACAAATTTTTATCTCCCCTCCGTAGACTGCAGCGACTGGCTCTACCAAGTGCTTTGCGGTAAGGTACAATCACCGGATTTCTTAGAGTGTACCGCGAAGAACACGTTATAGTAGAGTTCCACGTTTCTAAATAAACCCCCTAAAATAGGGGGAAAAAAAAGTCGCCGCTAAATTCTTTGTTAATTCAAATAAAAAACAAAAATATCTGCGCCCACACAAAAAAAAAAAAAAGACTGGTTTATCAATAAGCTTTAGACGAGCACATGATCAGTGGCCCTGAGGAGATACGCCACTTCAGTATCCTTCGAAATCTCTAACCACACACAAAAGGAATCTCTCTTTTAGCACGTCGAGGAATTCTTCCGGGACAAATAACGGCACCCGGATTTTCTTTATTTTCTTTATGCATTTTTGAGATATAAGATCACCGTAAAGTAAACTTGGATTTTCCAAGAATAGGGAATCTAACAAAAACAAACTCTGACAAAGCCCGACTTTTCGTCGAAAAATAAAACTCCGCAAACGCGGAATCCTATTATAGCAAACCATTACCTTACACAGCTCTCCCTACAAAAAAAAAAAAAAAAAAAAAAAAAAAAACAACAACAACTGTGGTTTAACGCTTAAAAGGAAAAGTAAAAATGAAGCGTAATTTTATGAAGTGTTGGGAAGAATATGTAACGAGTAACGAGTTAGCGAAACTATACGTTACTCGGAATTAGTAACGAAAATAGGTTTCCCGTTACAGATAAGAAAGAAAAAAAATCCGACAAGTAGGTATTAACGTTACCGGCAAAAGTAACTCGCTAGCGGTAACGACGCCGTTACACGGTAACGCGTTACCGGACACTGTCGACGATAAGGCACTTTTGGAGCTGCTTGATCCGCCCGAGCGTGTAGCGACGGCAGCGGTCACACTCAAACAGAATGAAACAGAAAGCGGTTCTTTCTTTTTCCCTTAAAAAAGTGTTCTTTGTTTTAACATAAAAATTGATTAGACAAAGAGCCCAACAGGAAGACAAATCGAACGCAATGAAAGACAGAGGTTAATTTGATCACGATCGAAAGAGAAGAACAAACACCGCAAGAAGGAAAAACGCACGCGGTAGACCGGGTAGAGTAAAACTAAATCGATAGTAATCACACAAAAAGATTGGGTTAGAAGAAAAAGAAATATATATATATATACACTTAGGAAATGAAATAAAAAAAGAAAAGAAAAGAAGGTGCGGTGGCCGTGACGCCGAATGACAAATCGGTGAGTACGA